GTGCGCTGCCCGCCCATGGGCGCAGCCCCTTAAAATAAATAAATAAATAAATAAATATATATATATCGATCGATTTTAGTTTTAACTTTTTTTTTTTTTATAAATAATATTTTTGTTGTAGAAATAGACTCATAGTCTCCATAGAGTATTTTTCCGTCATATCTTCATAAAAAATCCTTAAATTTGATCAGAATCAATTATTGAAAGATCAAAAATATTCAATCATTTCTTCAAACCCCCCAACAGATCGTCTTTTTATACTAACCGCTAATAGCTTCGAGACGAAGTGGATACGAGAACTCTATTACTCGTCAGAAACTAATCTTTTCGAAGTGAGAGGTGAGATTAGAAACATCATCTTATTCATCAATTAGTTCACTCTCAGAGTGAATTCAAGAAGGAATGTTCGTTCCTTTGGGCACTTGCAGCTGGTCACCTGGCATGCCATCTACTGCCGTGGGCTCCTGGATCTTGATGCGGAGGACCTCAACGATGGGTCAACCAAACCAAGCAATAGGGCATGGGATTGCTGAGGATCCCTCGAGCTGGAGCTTCCAGACTTTGGCTTCCTCACGCAATCGCCAGCACAAGCATCATTTGCAATGTCTCTTGGTAAAGTGCCTCGGGTCTTCTGCTTGGCCAGCGCTGTCCTGCACCCCCCCTGATTCTGACAAAGTGAAGCATGTGTTGTTGCGTCTGAGTCCTTGGACAGTTCGCGACATCGTCCAAGCAGTTCGTTGGAGGGGTCTGGGCTGGCAAGCGGAGCGGACATCACCTTTCGTGCTGCGTCCGGTGGCAAGGCTCCGAGCGCTTCCTGTGCTTGAGGAGAGACGGAGTGGCGAGCACAAAAGCTTGCAACATGGTGACCATGTTCCCAGGCTTCTATTCGACGGACACGAGTCAACACTTCGAAGGATGGATTTGCACCAATAGGGCCCTCGTCCATTACACGCCGCTGTGCTTCAGGTGCCAGCTGTCGAAGGTTTCTCTCGACTTCCGCATCCAGACTGTGTTGCCGACAGAACCAGTCAACTCTTGGGTCGTCAGGGGGTCTGGCCGCTGGAACAGGATCGCCCCAGCTTGCGCCAACACCCCTTCCATTGGCCGCTGCGTGTGGTGCCCCGGCAGGCTGGCCCCAGGCGCTCCCAATTCCTTCGGCCTTCGCAATCGCTCTCGACATGAAACAATGTGAACCCGTCGGACACCCATGTAGATGCCATTCCGCTCAAATTTCCTCGACATCCCGGGCCTTTGGTGCCGGCGCTGCCTTTGGTGGCAGAGTCTTCGCACCCGATGCCAGAGTTGCCTCTAACAGTTGCAGTTTTCACATGGGACATGGTCGGACATGGTGGTCACATGTCGCAACGAATGCACCGAGCTCCCGACGGTGGCTCCGTTGCCTCAAGCCCACAATAATCACAGCTAGGCCTTCTTTTCACCAACTCCCAGTCTGTTCTGGGAAACCAGCCGTCTGCAGTGTGGCTGTCCTGAGCTCCGAGGCGGATCCGAGACTCTGGGAAACTCCACGCACTCCGCAGGCTCACATAGATTATGCATTCTCCGGCCTCTCTCTCTTTGGTTGGCACAGGAGCTGGAACCTGCCATAGTCCAGGATTCGCTTCAAGGAAGAAAGGCAACTTAATCGTTGTAGTTGTAAACACCAAGGATGTAGAGGTTGGCTTGTGACAGTGGCTGCTCTGGTTGGTAGCTTCGCAACTTCCTGCCTTAGCAACCGGCCGCGGCAATGGGGCTCCTGCAGGTGTTCTTTTGCTGTGTCAGCATGGTAACCTCAATCTGGTACCCCTCCTGGATAAGGTGGCCAAGGGTATGCGTGATGCCCTCAGCACATGAACTGCAGATCATGCTCCCACTTGGCAAGCAGCAAGCAGCTTGAAGGTCAGACCGCAAACACCAGGTCGCCAGGTAAGGCTGCGACCGCGAGGCACGGGGTGCATGGGAAGTGGATGTCCCGGGTGAGGATGCGCTGGGTGAGGATGCATTGGCATTGCATGTGGGTGCACTGGGTGTGGATGGAGCGGGGGGGGGTGTGGGTGGTGGTGAAGGTGCGGGGGATGCACAGGGTGGGGCGGATATCCAGGTGGCGGATGCGCGAAACCTGGATCCAAGGAGGCAGTACCATCAGTTGTCAGCAACCTGTCATGTGTTGCTTCGACTGCGCCTGGCGGGCCAAAAACTTGCGGCCTGGCAACCGACATTGAAGTCACGCAGCATGTCACACACGGTGTGTCGCTCGTGACGCAAAACGAAAGCCCCCACGAAGGCCCTGGGCCCTGCGCCCTGGTGGATACGCTGGGAGATGGGGTGCCGGGGCCTTTCCTTAGCACCCGCGCTATATTGAGCCTTCCCACACATGTGAGTTAATGTTGGATGTGAGCTCAGCCTTTTGCCGGCTGGAAAGGGCGGGTATGCCGCCTGCAGGTGTTCAGCATATGCTCTGTGGTAGCACTACTGAGGCTAGCGGTCCAAGTAACGGTGCCTGCGGAGGATAAGCTCCATATGGATACGCCTTAACCAACGAAACAACATGGCAGCATCGCATTTGGCCGGGGCATTGTCAGCTCTGGACTGGTGCTGGTGCCTTCGCTGCCTGAAGTCAATTACATGGGACTACTACTACCAGCTCATGCCACTCGCTTCTGTCGCGCAGGAAGGGATGACTGGCCTTAGTCTGCGAAGAGTCCCGCCGGCGCCTGAATGCGATCTCGACATGAATGTTTAAAGCAGCCGGCACCAAACACAGAATGCAAAAGCTCACGGACACAGGCTGTAGCCTGCCGTGCCGGCGTCGCCGGTGCCGCGAGGCACTCGCGCTAGCCTGACGGCCCGCAGAACATCGCAGAACGTGTGCTCCGGAGATCCTCCGGAGTCCCTTGCGACAACAGGTACTACTGCTTGGAACTTGTCGGGACTGCTGAAGCCTCGCGGCGCCGGCGATCCCTTGCGCGGTCCTGCCAGGAGATGCAGCTTGGGGCATTTGAGTCCTTTTGATTCAGTCTGCTGCTGAGTGTCCTTCTCCTTCTCATGTTTGTCTCTCTGCTTCTCCTTTGTCTTCTTCCGCCTGAAGTGAGGTGTGCATTGCCGAGATTGGGACGAGTGTGAAGGGTGCCTGGAGGTGGCGGAGGAACTCGAGCGTGAACGGCTCCGCGAGGCTGCAGCTGCCACAGCCACGGCTGCCTGTGATTCAGCAAATCCAAGACTGACACGAAGTGTCGGATGTTTGTACCATGTGGGCAGAAGTGCAGGGTGACAGAGAAGCTAGACAGGCTCGCTGCAACCCAGGCGCTTGAACCGGAGGTGCTGGCGGTGGTGTCGCCTGGAGCCCCACAGTCCAAGAAATTGGAAGTTGAGGGTTTCGTGCCGAGGCCCGAGGCTTGTGCCTTGGGAGGCGGAGCTCCCTGAGCTCCTCATGCAGCTTGCTCAGTGTTCATGCTCACGCAACCTTCCTAATCATCTCATTACACTCAACATTCACTGTTTTGTTGAGGCAAGTGCAGCAATGGTGCAGGCCGCTGAGGCTTGGCAAGCGCAAGCTCCATATATGCAAAGTTCCGACGCCAAGAAAGGGCATCATGGTGAATTGTATCAGAGCTTTGCAAAGACAACTTGAACTTGGGTGGCATGACCCTGTGGTCGTGCGGGATTAGCACGCCCCATCTTCCTGTAGTTCTGAAGCGAAAAACTGAACTGCAAAGCAAAGGCAAGCTTCCTGGGGTAGCCGTGGGGGCTGCAGGAACCATTGTCGCAGATGCTGCTGCTTCTGGCCTCAGACGAGCAACGTGCCAGATGAATCAGAAAAGGACGCATTCGATATCATGCGTCATGTAACCATGACTTGCATGATTCAATGGCACAGGCCCTTGCGAAGCTGAAGAACTGGACGACGAAGAGAACTGCAATCATTAAAGCGGATTGCTATGCTGATTGCTTCTGCTGACAATCGGTGGTCGGAAGGAAACAGTGTGCCGCATCCTTGCCTCGTCATCTGACTGAATAGCCTCTCACTCGCATGGCTGCCCACAAGAGGCAAGTTTGTGCTGTGCTTAGCGTACTCTGCTGGCGGCCTGTGCTCCGGGCCTCATGGTCGCTCAAAGTTCCGAAATTGCTTGTGGTCACTGTGTGTCCTACGTAGTGGCATCGTATGTCTGGGGGCAAAGCACTGTCACTGGGAGTGGCCCGCCAGGTCTGAAAGGATCGAAACCTTGCGGTGAGAAGCGTGCAACAAGTGCCAAACAAAGCGCTGAGCAGTAAACATTGCTTTTTGCAAGAGACTTCGTCTTGCTGCATGGACTGGTTGTGACTTGTGTACGATTAGCTGCCTGACAGGCTCCTAAACATTAGCATGAAGTCGGATCCAGTAGGATCGAGCACTTTGGAAAACGGTCTTGCAGGCATGCAGTAGCTCCTGGCTCTTCTCCAGAAAAAGCAGGAGTGTCAGAATTTTGCCTTCACCCCTTCATCCGCCCACCCTTGGTTGGGAAGTGTAGGGGAGTGTATGTTCAGCGACCACTGCTGGATGCCATGTCCGTGGCCGGGTGGCAATGCCCCTGAAGTCGTTTGCTAGCAGGTGGATACTTTTATCCAACGGCGTGCACACGAATACAAATGATATGAAAATAAAATGACACGGTAACTCATTACCTTTATTCTGCACGCGATATTTTGAGTTCATTAACGGGGCATTTATATCATTAACGTTTGGCCTCAAAGACTTTGCTACAATGAAAGTGTCGCGAAGTAGTGAACCAAAAGCCCCATGAACAACACTAAATTGCAGGGGCCTTTTTGGTGAGCGAGCACATGCCAACAAAACTTTACAACAATGCGAAGCCCACGGAATTCTCATCTTCGCGCATCATTTCTGGATCACTTTGCAAACGCGAAGATACATTGAACAGTCTCCGAGTGCCAGGCCCCAGTCACGGATGCGCCTGAAACGAAGGATGCATGAAACTTCTAGCCGGTTCAATCTGGAAGGGTAGCGTCGCGTACCATCGCTGCTTGACTCCGTTGGGCAAGCAGTGGAGAACCTTTCGCAAGGGGCAAGTGAGGTCCAAGTGCGCAGATGAGGATGCAAACTTTCGCAGCCTCGCTTTGGCCGAAGGTTAGGGTTCCGCCCACGCCGGTTGCCTAGCCACAGCAGTGTCATTCCATCTGGTTCTTGACCACAAGGGCAACTAAGTTGGATAAACTCAGGCCCAGTTGAGATGAGGCATAGACAGCGCACTGACGATGAGTCTTTTCGCTTCAAAGTGCCAAGGTTTATCAAGTCGAAGTACTTCAGGGGTCCTGAAAACCATCCCTGGGCAGCCTGGTCATAGATCAGGTCTCCGGACTTGCTCTTGGACCAAGCCTCCAAAGCTGCATCACCAGAGCATTTGGTCTCTGAGCTGCCGATGCGCCAAGATGCCTTGCTTAAACCCTAAACCCCTTTTTTGCTTCAGGGCTCCTGAACCCTAAACCCTAAACCCTAAACCTAAACCCTAAACCCTAAACCCTAAAACTTTCCTTTCCAGCCACCTGGCCTCCTCACGGATTCGAAGCCGCCCCGGCCGCTCGATGTCGCCCCACACTGCCTGGGTGCACGTAAAGTAAGGGTTTAGGGTTTAGGGTTTAGGGTTCAGGGTTTAGGGTTTACCCAATATACACACTCACCAAACTTGAAAAGGAAGCTTATATACACTCACCAGTAACAGTAGTATAAACCCTGCTTCATGTATGTGCACATTGCACTCCGGTGACTCCCTCACTCCGTCCACCCTTTCCTGGCCTCATAGCGAGTGTGGAGCTCTTCCCTTGCAGAGGCCTCGAGTTGCACTAAGCTGCACTAAGCTGAACTCTTCTAGAATCCTCTCGACATTCTGCCTTTTTATATTTTTGGGGGTGGGGGAGGGGGGGAGCGACGGAAAAGCCGCCATGGGGCGCCCCCAGGGCCCATGGCTTCTGAGCTGCCAGCTCCGCCCAGGCAAACTTGGAGTTGATCCAAGGATGCGCAGCATGTACCCTGATTGGGGCACTTTGTGATCTCATCTCAGATCATCAAACTCTCTGAGGCTCGAGCCGAGGCAATTCCCTGGGAAGCAACCATCCATGCACAGCTGATTCCTCTGATTGTGACTACCGGCATCTCACTGTCCTGCCCCACAGGCAAACCGATGACACGCCCGAAGCGGTTGCCGCAGAAGATCCAGTAACCTGCGAGCAGGAATAAACTGAGTCGAACTGAAAGCTGCTGATTGGGAAAGATGCTGCAGGGACCTGTCCGCGATGGTCCTGCGGAAGGTTCTTCGGAAATCAGCTCCAACCTCGGTAGCCGAGCCCATGATTTCTTGAATCCATACCCCACACTGCAAAGCACCCGACGCTGCCACAGGACCCGTTTGAACTCGAGCCCAGGCTTCAATGTACCTTCAGGCCCACCGTCATTTACTGCACAGTGCAGCTTCACCCAAAAGGAGAAGCAAAAGGCGGACTCATCGCGGAAACGGCCACGAGGATAGCTCAGCTCCGCAGCCATGACCTGTCCGCAACACGCTGATGACGTACATTTTCTGCATGGCCACAAGATGCCGGGGTCCTCCTTGTCAAACTTGACCTGAGTGAGTCAAAATTTGCAGCCGAAGCTTCACATGGCAAAAACAGTTCCGTGCCTGTGTGCAAAGAACCCGCCCCGTGGGTGGTCGGAAGTCAACCACGTGATGGCGCACCTCAAGACTTAAAAAATAAAACATCAGACTACATGCCCTCTGGGTGATTCCTATGTGTTAAGTTCCTTTGCTACCCAGTAGGTGAGTTTGTCCAGGCGCCCTGCGCTCATTTGACGGCCTCCACTAACTTCCACGACAGAGTGGATTCCCGCACAGGAGGCCTCCCGTGCTGACCATACTTGCACTGATCTTTCTCTGGCTTTGCCCGAGCCTGCTCTGTAGCTCCATCCTGAGGGATCCTCACCTCCACGTAAACTCCAGATGGCGCCTGCAAGCTCAATGCTTGCGCAAGCGGTTCATGCTCCGAAGCTGATCTTGCGCGATCTTGGATATCAACTCCCTCACAGCTATGGCCAGGCTTAGACGCCCAAAACTCCCGAGGAGGGGTTGAGGACTGCTGCAAAGGCTGCAAACGCAGCGGGGGTACTCGAAGCTTCTTATGATGCTACTGGCAAGAACTTAACAAAGGTTCTTGCTGGCAGAGTCAGTGAGATGCAGCAGTGCTGCTTTGTAAGCTCACTAGAGCGCCAAGCCAGCATACTCTGGGTCCCAGGTCTGGGTGTTTAAGGGCTCAGGGTTTTGGGGTTTACAGTTTGGGGGTTTCAGGGCCGAGGATTCGAGAGTGGCACTGTGCAGGCTGCAGGGTTCATGCCCTAAACCCTAAACCCTACTACCGTCTTCCACTCTTTCTGCCGAAGCCCGCGAAACTCGAGACTTCCCAAAGGGGCTCTGAAGTATGGTGCCTCTGGGGTCTTTCGTGTCTCTACTCTGGTGTACTCTTTGACTCTTTGAGGTTAGGGTACATGAAACAGCTCTGTTCTTGTGTACATTTATAACTGAACTTAGGCACGGAAATACATCCTAAACCCATAATATGAGCTGCCCTATTCTCAAAGTGTAAGTTCCTGCGGTCGACACGACAGCAGAAAACTTCGCGAATCAGTCCCCCCCCCCGTCCTTTTCCTCTTCCTGGAAACTACACACCCTTAAAGCCTTAAACCCTATATAACCCCTGAACCCTCAAGGCAGGGCTGGGCGGCACAAGCTCGCCAGCAAAAGCCGAACTGTACTCTCAACCCCCAAAGGTTTCCGGTAACCCGGCTCCACATTCAGTATGGGAAGCTAGTAAAATCCACAGGGTTTCAGGTTTGGGGTGTAGGGTTTGGGGTTTAGGGAGGGTACCGCAAGCAAGGGGAGCGACATGGACCGATGCTGTGCTGGGTTGCAGAAAACAAGTGCTTTCAAAGCACAGCAAGAAGCGAAGAACGACGGTGAGCCTGTAAGCGCAGAGGACCTCCATGCGGCTGAAGTTCTGGTGCGAACCATCATGCATCTACGAGAAGCACACATCCTGCCTTTCGCATCAGGCTCCTCGACGGTCTTGCCCACGGGCTCCTGCCGTTCGTTCACCAATCTCGACCAACACTTTCTTCTGAAGAAAGAAGCTGCTCCTCTCGGCGAGTCAAAGACCAAGCTCCCACGTGCTCGGCATTCTTGCTTGACGCTGCCTTGGACTGTCCCCAAATGAAGCCTAAGCGGAGTCCACCTGACATTTAGGTAATTTAGGTAAACTCAGCACAGCACTGCATCCTCCTGAGGCCTGGGAGGGCACACGCGGGCCTGCAAGCAGCAAGCAGCAAGCAGGTAGGGAGCCATGTGCATTCGAACTCCTCGTTCGTGCCAAACTGCTCCAACAACTTCGAGAGTCACCAAGGCCCTGTCAGCTGGACCGATGCCGTGCCCAGCACGAACCAGTGCCACGCTTGCTGCAGCAAGGTCTTCCTGCACATATTTGCACATGGTATGCCTGATGAGACCACAGCTCTGATGACAACGTGGGGCCCAGCTGCCACACCGACACATCATTTCAGCTCGAAAGCAACTTGCATGGGATGCTCTCAAAGCTCCAAGAAATCACCCGTCCTCTCTGATGAGGAGCAGGCAGGGTGCCTGCAAGGAATGGGATCTTGGCGAGGAGGAGGGCCTGTTGCTAGCATTTGCAGGTACGACTGCCTGGCCTGGGCAGCCGGTAGTGCACGCCTGGGCAGGCAACTCGACCATGTTTGCAGGAGTGCTGTCCTTGAACTCTCCAACGCAATATTGGTTCCTTGTCTAGTTCCTGTTGCAGTGGGTTCGGGATGTAGTGGGATGCATCTCAGCCACCCGTGGGACAGTTGGTGGCATTTCTGGGGCTCCGGCCACCTCACCTTCACCGACGACAGGACGGGGGCTAGTGATGCCAACACCAAAGTGTCCGACAAGGACCTGGCACACGAGTGCCATAGCTGAATCTGGGAGTGCTCTCAGATGCTTTTTTATTAAGGCCTCTTGCAATCTTGTGCTGCGAGCCCGAGATCCCCCCCACGCTGACGTCAGGAAACAAAGCCCAACCGAGAACAGCGCACCGATTTGCGAAGGAGACTTCGAGAGCAGCCCAAGGCTTGTCCTGGGCATCGGAACGTCATTTTCGGGTTTAGGGTTGCGGTCACAAGGCTCGACCGTTCTTGGAACCCTGCGCAAACTCTTCATCCGCCCAACTCAAGTCATACGCTGTGTTTGATCTTGTTTTGTCATGATGTAGTCCAGGAGAGTCCAGGAGAGAAGGGCCGATGAATTTGTCACATCCCCAGCAGCTTAGCAAGACTCATGAATGGAAAAAGCGATTCCCACGCCCTCTGGGTTTTCAAGGTTGCAATATGTCACTGCTGTCCGAGACTCAAGTTCACTTCGTAGCTTCTCCCCGCTTGGCGTATGTAGAGGGGGTAACACTCCCAGTTCTTTTCGGAGCACAGGTTTTGTTTGTCCTCACTTTCTCTGGTTTCAGGCATACCTTTCTCTGCTCCTTTTCTCTCCCCTGGATAACTGCGCAAGCTGTATCGCGCCTGCCTTTGGCAAGGATCACAGTGGGTCCACAAGTCGGCAAAGAACCATATTCGGAACAAAACTATCACTCCTTAACAAGTGCTCGCCTCGAAATCCATGCTATCTTAAAGCGAAGCAAACACATCTACAACAAGAGATGCTCACGGGCTTCCAGTCAGATTTAAGCCAAACTCCGCCACAAGCTTGCGCACCCCCAGAACTAAGCCCAGATCTGCGCGAGTCATTACTCCAAGGACAGAATGCAACAACAGAAGTGAAACAACATCTGCGCCTTACACCTACTGCACGAGTGAATGTCTGCACCTGTCACACCAGTAGATTTCATGTTCGGCATTGCAGGCCTGGACTTATTCGAAAACGGGAATGGATGATAAGAAAAACAAGATCAAGCCAATAAATTGACAGTTAAGTTCACTGCCGGTTTCTCTTTGAATCACAAGCCAACACACCCTAAACCCTAAACCCTAAACCCTAAACCCTAAACCCTAAACCCTAAACCCACCAAGTAGCACCCCTTTACCAACGGCAGCGCCTTGGGGGCTTGCTGTTGCTCTCCTGGTTTGCTTCAATTTGCCACTCATGTTCTCCTTTTGTCAATTTTTGTTGCTAGTTTGCGCTTTGTAGTTCTTGTGAGTCGCAGGCATGCGTAGGTCTTCATTCAAGCTGGAGAGTGTCATAGCATTCCTAAGGCTATCTTGTTTCCCTAAACAGTGCCTATGTGTACTCTTTGCATGCTGCCAAGCAGCGACATTGGCCCCAGGTGGTGGAGGAACTGCGCGTAAAGCTGACTCCTGCGGATGCTGTGCTTGCGGCGCAGAACTGTTTTCGGCGCTGACAGAGCCTTACAAAATAGTCTTATGTGCTGAGCCCGTCCGGTACCACCACGGCTGTGGAATTGGAGCCGCCTGCGCTGAGAGCCGCACAACCTGCTCGGTCAATATGTGGCATTGGGTATGCTGCCGCTCTGTCGCTTTACATGGGCCACCTCCCTTAGCACCACCAGCGTTCCGCGCTGCTGGCAAGGCTGTGGCTAGCCAATCCAGTGCCTTGCAAATAACAGGTGTATGTGTGTGTGATGAGCAGCAAGATCCCGTTTATTGCATCGTCGTCATAGGATCTGCTGCTTGGCGAGCCTCTCCGCCTTTCCCAGGAAGTGACACCTCAAGGAGGGCAGCGCACGGTAACACTTCCTTCAAGGTCGGCTGTCAAGGCAATGATTGTTGAAGGATTTTGAAGGCATTGCTTGAGCTGCGGACAACCGCCAGGCTCTCGACACCCAGGACCTGTTGCTGGTTGCGTGTCAACAGAAGCACTACAGGTGGAGGGGTTGCTGGAGAGACTTGCTGTCAACACCCCAGAAAAGACACGGCATTTGTCTCGTGATGTGCAACAGCATAGCTGCAAAGTGATGTGATCCACGCGTGCTGTTTGTGGTATCGTAAAGTCTTCTAGGATTGTAGCATCTGGGATATGGGCATGTTGATTGCAAGGTCGATTTGGCATACAGTGGGCAGTCGGCAGGCATCACACGCTGGTTCAGTCAGCCGTTTCTTCGAGTGCGTGTGGCGCTGGTTGCGACTAGCCTGTGAGGATTTAGTCGCGCACAGTCAGTGGAGTCAAGGCACTCTCGTATCTCTTGCCGCCTATTCGGCTGCTCTACCACAGCCGCAGCCTAGTTGGTGTTAGCAGCTCAATTGGTCGGTGCTTGAATTCGAGTACAAGTAGCAGCAGGGTTCTACGCTCTCTATTCGTTGTCAATCCAAAGCGCCGGCGATGATTCTTTCATTGCCAATGGCCCACAAAATAAAGCAAGCAATCGACCGCTGTCAAGCTTCCTGCGCCAAGCCCAAACAAACTCAACGAAATAGCAGACTCCTACCATCGACCACAAAGAGGATTGTGGCATCCCCTAGCAAATCATCTGGAAGCTGACGACCTTTTGAGCATCGGGAGATTGAACAAGTTTTATTCGTGCGACGAAAGGCGGCAAGCCCTTCAAGAAGGGCAGGACCAGCATGGTCTTTCGACGATGAGATCGGCCCAGCTAGGCGACACTCCCTGACAAGCCTGCAACCGGAATGGTCCCACCTCAGCAAATGTCTGACAGCACTTTCTGTCCTGTGCACGGTGCAAAACCTTGCAGTACGGCTAGCTGGCTTGAGGTCCGTCGAGGTGCGGTCGTCATAGAGATGCCTCTGGCGACGAGGCACAATTTGCGAAAACCTAGAACTACAAGATGCCCTCAAAATGAACGTTCCTACACAGTAGTGGGGTTTTTCGAAACTCAAGTCATCGCTGGCATGGTCCATGAGGAAAGCGAGCCTCGCCAGATTCCGCGTGCCAACCGCTAGCCAGGGAACCATGGCTCCCAAGACATCGTATAGCTAAGGAATGCTAATGAACATGCGTCCTCATTAATGACTTGAGCTGCTGGGTACTGCTCTGAAAACTTTAACGGCTTTGCAACCCTCGACATCATGACCCACTGGGATCCTCATTTGCTCCCTGTGAAGTGCTCGCAGCCAGGTCCGCGAAAAGCGCAAGGTTGACCATGATTGACCTGCAAAGCCTTGGCCTTTGAGGACTAAGATGAAATGCTGGCCTGGGCTCGGCCGAATCCTCTTTCAAAGGGCCCTCTTTCTTGGTGTTGGATTTCAAGTTGAAGCAGCCTGCTCTCACTCCCATGGTATCTGTTGTATTCTTGCTCGCTCCCTGCATGTGAAGTCGCACGCCCGACTTGCAAGAGCTGTCCCCGACACAAGACTCGGACAGCAACATCACAAAACATGCCGTGCTGGCTTGCGGCCTACATTCCGGAAACTTCCACAAGAGGCTTTTTGTGACTATCTGAAGCGGATGGAGCGCAATCCAGATGTCACCTGACTCAGGTTTGGAAGCGAGTTTGGCGCATAACCGTGTATTACCCGAGTGACAGTGACAAAGCAACCGCACACTACACACAGCTGCACGTGCCCATTTGCTAAGGCGCGTGCTGTGCTCTGCGGAGGCGCAGGCGGTCCAGGTGGTGCCGGGCTGGCAGCTGAGAGAGACACGTGGGCACATGGCCGAGACAAACCGGGGCTGGGAGGTGGAGGCCGAGCTACGCCAGGTGGCGAAGGACGGGTTGAGCTCAACAAGCTCGGAGGAGCAGGAGCTGATGTGGAAGGCCGCGATGGAGTTGGTGGTGAGGGTGCTGGGGGTGCTGGAACTGCAGGTGCAGTCCCAGGCCGTGATGACCAATGGGACCCCACGGCCGGACTTGGGATGCGAGGTGCTGAAGGTGGTAATGGGCTGGCAGAGGGAGGTGCTGGATGACCAGGTGCTGCTGGAGGAAGCGGTGCTCCTGGTGCCCGTGGTGCCGCCACCGGCACTGGCCTCGGTGGTGCAAGTGGTGCGCCTGGTGCCGGAGGGCCAGGTGCCGAAGGCACAGCTGGACTGGTGGCAGGTGCGCGTGGAAAGGTGGGTGGAGCCACGCCGCCTGGAGGCAAGGGCGCTGCCGGCGCTGTTGGAGTGGCAGGTGGTACTGGAGCGGGGGGTCTGGCTGGTGCACCTGGAGCTGCCGGAGGGAGTGGCGTGGGAAGTGAAGGGCCTGGTTGGGCTATGGTTGGTGGCAGCGGACGCGCGGCTGGAGGCGTTGGCAAGGTAGGCCGAGGTCCAGGAGGTGCGGGGGGTCCCGGGGGCGAGGGCGCTGCAGACGAATATTTGGGTCGATCTGCTGCTGCACCTGTCCCATAGAGAGAACTCTGCAAAGCTCCGAAACTGACGATATACTACATGAGATTCTAAGCTTCGAGCTCAGGCGGCGTAGGAGCTCCCGGGAATCAAGAAGGCCATCCTGTCTTCATCAGATGGATGTCATAAGCTTACAGAATCTTACAAGTCATCGAGGCACCGACGCACGCCGTGTCGCATTGAAGCATGACCTCGTCCACCTACACCGGTTCACGATCCCTTCGCTTCTTGACTGTTGATGCTGAGTCTGAGATGTTGGCCTCCGAATCTGACAGCTTGAACTGCGCGGCTCGGAGCCTTGGGGTGGCGGAGACTCCAGGGTCTCCTTCAAGACCCTTCCCGTCAATTGTCAATTGACCACCGTGCTCTTTAGCTGAGTCGCAGTTCCTTGAAGGACTCCCTGTTCAAGAAACCAGACCTGTAGGAGTTGCGCAAAAAAGTGTGACAGAAACCTGCTGCAAAAGCACCTTTTTTCACCACACTAGATAGGTCAATTCTTTACAGCTGGATCTCGAATTCTGAAGGCCTCGGCTTCTAATGCAGAAACCGGCCTTTTCCGATCATACACAGCCAGAGCCTTCTCCAAGCCTCAAGAGGATTCGAGGAATCAACTTTGAATGCAGGAGTAAGGTGGGGACGACAGAGAGTCAAAGGACAGCAGCTGTGTGAGAACCAACACATACCAAAATCGGGCAGTGCAACCAAGCTGCTGTAGCCGCGCTTGTGGAGCAGGCGCGCCAGCTGGGCCATCTTCACCTCGACCACCTCTCAAAAGTCGAGCTGCAGAGTGGCAGTTTGCCACATTTCTCTTATGCCCTCTTGGAACAGATCTATGCTATTGGCCCCACGATTCCGGTGCTGCAGGTGGCCTGGTCTTTCACGGTGCTCGGTTGTGCCTGGGAGGCCAAAGGGTTCCCAGAGTCAGGTTCCATACCCTGTGCACCAGAAAGTTCCAAGATCGTCCACCCCCGGAAGCCCTGTGAATCTGAAGTGGCTTTCAAGGCTTAGGGTGTAGGAGTATAGAGTACAGGGTGTCAGATAGCGGGGCTGTCCAATTATGGCCCTAGCTTTGGGGTTTCCGCTCATGCCTTCTGCTACCCCTAACACCTGCTCTACTTACTAGAACCATGTTCCGCTACCTTGTAAACAAACCTTCAAGAAGCTTCACCCCCCAAAAGCCCTAAACCGATCCGCGCAAGCGACGTGCGTACGATCGCTGAGCCCGAGGTTCATCACACTCAAAATTTCTGTGGAGATCTCAACGTTTTGAAGGAGCCCGTGCTGACTTTTTCAGTATGAGGAGTTACTCCCACACTGAACGCTAAGCTAAACCTCCCTAAGTCCGTAGAACCGCAAAAGGGTATTTTCCTAAATGGAGGATTCCCCCTATTTTCCCCCCAAAGTACTGTAATTCTAACTAATTCTAACTGTAGGAAACCCTCCCCACCCCAACCCTGAACCGAAAGTCCAAGCCTCAGAGTTTGCGCTCTTTTCTATGCCATGGTGGCACCTAGGGTCCTCAGTCCGCTCATCTGCGTGTACCGTTGAGTATGCAGATGCTGGTCCAATGTCCGAAGAAAGCTCATCATGTACATCTCCATTTCGGGGATGCTTGTGACATCTGCCTTCTCCTTGCCCAAAGGTCCAAGTGGTGGGAATGCTGTCATTATCATGGATTTGAACAGCTCGGGATATAGTGGCCACTGGTGATAGCCTGCATCATTCAAATAACCGGTGAGCCATGCACCCGCCTTCTTCATCTCGCTGTCCAAGTCGTACAACTTCGGTATGTCAGCTTTGATGGCATTATGCTTGGCAATGGACTCCTGTAACATGTCTCGATTTGTCAGCATTGCTGTGAGTCGTCGCCTAATGTCTCGGAGCTCTTTGTGGGATCTTTCGGCTATGTCTTCAACGCCACCATCCAACATATCCTCCTCGTAGTCCGTCCAATGTTGCAAGATGGGCGGTAGGCCTTGCTCGCGGCGTTTCTCGTTGACGTGGAACCGCTCCAAGCCATCTAGCCGCACCCACTCGCGAGCGCTCATCGCCTCATACTCCTCCATCTTCTTGTCATCCAAATTCAGCACTTTACTTTTCCATGGGTCCTTTTTGGGAATCAATCGCAGCAACGGCAAGAACAACAAGAATGCCAACATGGAGATGCTGCCACATGTCGCCAAGCAAACTGACTCGGCCATCTGGAACTCAGCTGCCGGACTCCCGTCTGCAGGTGACAGGCTGGAGTACATAGCAGACATTAGCAGCGGGGCGAAGCATTGACCAAAAAGGTTTGCGCTGTTATTCAAGCCCATCCATGTTCCCATCTGATCAGGTGGTGCAAAGCGAGGAAGCAAGAAGTTCGTAGCCAAGGTAGACGTGAAGCCAAACACCTGACTGGTACTCCAAATGGCTATGAAGCCTTCGAAAGGCATTGTGTTGGGAATGACAGCGAACTGGGCGGCCGCACTGCATAGGTTTCCGATGACGCACCAAGGAGCCAAACCTAAACGCCTCGAGGAAACCAGGACCACAAACATAGCAATGACAAGGCCAAAGGCCTTCACCATCAGCAAGGCCATGTTAATCCCTACTTCCTTTCCTGCAGGGTACCGATTGGAGAAGATGGTGTTGCGAGCAAAGGTATTGCCCTGATCGCCAAAAGCATCAGCTGCGCCCCCAATAATGAGCACCACCAAAATGCGCCGCACATACGTCGGGAGTGCCTCCTTTGGGCCCTCCATGAACGCTTGCTTTTCAAACCGGGGTGCTTCTGGCATCTTGAAAAGAATTACAAGAAATAGCAGGAAACTCAGCGACGCACAAATGGGACCTGCAATGAAAAGGTTGCCCGAAATCTCGTCTACTTGGACAAGTGAGGTGGCCACACCGCCAAGAAGGCCACCCCCTGCCCCTCCGAGCATGAAGCAGAAGAACAGGATGGGCTGCACCTTTGGGAAATCTGTTCCCCAAATGTCCTTTACATATGCTTGGATGACTGTCTTGTTTCCACCGAACAAGCCATTGACAAAGGAGCAGCTTAGGAATGCCCAAAAGGACCTCATTGCGATGCCCGCAACATAGTAGAGTGCCAGTGATGCAAGCCCGCAGAACAAGCCCAACAGCATCAAAGGCTTTCTCCCGTACTTGTCAGACAAGGTGCCCATGGCCATGTTGGAAATCATGTTTCCAAGCTGATTGACGATAAGAACCAAGTTCACGGCAAAGGCGTAGCTCACGCCGCTGAAGCTTTCCCGAGGGAAGGCATGTGGATGTCTATATCCTTCAGGCCAAGAGGCTGGCCGGACCGAGCCAGGGGCGTTGCTCATTATCATGGGCACAGCAGGTTGTAGGATGATCGCACCAGCAATATCAAAGAAGGCTGCGGCGCAAACGATCGCAGTCACGGCGCGCCGAAAGCCCTGGTCACTTTGCAAACGAACCTGTTCTGGCGTGAGCTGATCTCCCCGTCGAATTATGCTTGGAGCAGCATCTGCATGACTGCTCATTGCTCTCTGTGCAGAAGAGGCAGGAAGATGAAGCAGAGAGAGCAAGAGATGGCGAAATCACTCTGTGCCACACAAAACCAAGAAGTACTTCTCAGCCCTGTTCTACTGGATGCCCTGCTGTATGAAAGTGTATAACGCTTGCGATTTATTGATGTTACGCGAAGGTCTGCGCATGTATGACTTTTCTTTTTTGGTCTAGACGGCCCTGATGAACCAAGCAACCATTGCATTCTGGCATCATTTCCTATCACATGTGTGAACAAGCTGACCAATGAGAGCCCTGCGCGATCAGCTTCAATTTGCAGTTGGCGCAGGGCCCACACAAACCTTGTGGTACAGCACGTGACACATCTGGAGCGAGTCACGAGTACGAAACTGAACTTGCTTTGACAAAGCCCGACGCAGCCAGGGGCTATAAATTGTATCTTAGAGCAGAGCTCGTGAAGTACAACTTGCCCATCTTGGTCGGAATCCGCCAGACGCCACAACCACGTCACGTCTTGCTCACTCAGGTTGGGCTCCTGTGGTGAATAGGTTCAAGAAGCTGATCGCAGCTCGCAGGCAGCAACGCTGTCCTGCGTCCGTAGGAAACGCTCGAACTCCAAAGAGCTCAGACAGCCATTCCCATCCATGTCAAACCTTGGCCGCAGCCCCAAACATCCAGCGATTCAGCTCAGGGCATTGGTTTACACAAGTTTGCAAAGGTGTCCAGGGACCCAACTTTTGGAAGACCTGCTCTGGCCTGACTCATCACGCCAGCAATTCACAACGCTGCATCCGGCAAGGGCTCCTACTGCTGGCTGCTGGCTTAGGGCACAGGCCCTGTCAAAGCTGCACTAGTTGCTTTCGCCTCAATCAGTGAAGCAGGACTCACGGCGCAACAGTGGACAGCCGCATCTTCTCTGAAGACGCTCATATCCGCGCAGGCTGTTGCAGCAGACAAGCGCGGAGCAGTCGAGAAGAGACCTGTGTAAGTAAGCTTCGCACGATTCGACGCAAGGCGCTGAGGGCCCACATGTCCTGCAGGAGACGGTTTTCAAAGCGCATGGACAGCTTACAGGCGTCACACAAAAAGTGAAGAGCTCATCTTCCATGTCAGGACTTGCCCCCTCACAACTCTTCCGTGTTACTGCCGTCCTGCCCCGGTGATCGGGGAGGCTCGGGGCTCTCTGGCCCAAAGCGCTGTACAAAGGCCGCTGTGTCGATCTGCACAGGGGTGAAGGGTTTCTGTGGCATTGAGGGTTGCCAACATGAAGAGTTGGACAAACACATGATCGGCTCGCAGGCAGCTACATCGGGCATCCGCCCCTGGAGTTTCTTCCTTGGCCTTCATGGCCGGTATTGCAATGTGTTAGTACTGTTGCAACAACATGGTAAGGCAAAGGGCCAGGAATGGAGATGGCCCAAACTAGGAAATCTAGGGTCGAGTAGAGATCGTGAAGTCTTCCGTGCCCCTAAATCCTGCTTCAAAGCGTCCTGCACATGTCAGCAGTCGCGCGACGCCCCTATTTTGCATCTGGTGTGCATGAACTCATCAACTCGACCAGGATGAAGACAATGGGACAAGGAAGTCACCTAGCCTTCAGCTGGAGCAACCTCCGAACTGCGCGTCAACCAGAACGGCCCTCAACTCCTACACTCCTAGCGGGTAACAACCGTGGCCCTGTGAAATGGCCTCTTCTGGCAAGCTTAGCCCCGGAGATGCCTGCGCTGCACGAGCCTGGCAAAAGCAGGCCGATCAATCCAATGTGCGACTGCAACAAAGTTTCTAAGAGCAGGCGAGCCGAACTTTGTCAGCTGCTAGCTTTTCCTCCCAATTGATCAGACACTTACAGGGGCCCCAGCTTCTTTCTCCAGTTTTTCATCGAGTTCAGAAACGTAATTAACTATACTCTAAGCCATATGACCCCAGCTTGGCACTCAAGATCGTATCTGTCATCCCCCCGGCCCGTCGCCTGCCCAAAGAGTCTCAGCAGCTCGCGAGCCTGTCGTAACTTTCGACAAAGAAGGAAAGCGCATACCCACACAGTAGGTACAAACTCATGCACCCGCATTGTATTTTCGCATAGGGCGTTGGAGCCCTGACGCGTGGAGCTGTCCATAGTTTTTAGAGGCTTCCTTGAGCTTCGAACTCTTGCGGCCTCGTGGCTTTGTGAGCACCCTCACAGGTGGTGGGCTTGTGTCATTTTGAAAACTCTAGATAGCGCAACAAAGGCCCTAAACCCTAAACCCTTAAAACCCTACAGACATCCAGCCCCTGCGAAGCCTCCAAGCCCGGCTCCACGATCAGGCAAAGGCGTTCGAAGTCTGGCTTTGTGAGCTTCCCACGCCGGCTGCCCCCACCCAGGCCTGGCAATTTGATTGAAGGTTTAGGGTTTAGGATTGAAGGCTTATGAAGGCGCGAGGCTGCACAAAGACTTCCTCTGGCCTTCCAAGCCCAGGCTCTTTGACAGAAGTGTCGGCTCCAACCACGCCCGGACGCGGCCTACATCTTCAAATCGAAGCAGCTTGAAAGATGCGTCTTTTGGTATGTTCTGATTTGGGTTTTGAGGTGAGGGTTGTGTTAGTCATCTGCCTAGCCACAATACAACGCAGCGGTGCAAACTGTTAGTCTCCAAATTCGTCCAGCAGAATCAGCGCTTCACTGGCCAAGGTGGTTAATACAGAGCATCCACACTTGGCAAGTAGCGAGTGGGGTGCACCCGCCGTTTACTCAACATAAAGTTGAGCTGGCACGCGTCGTTGCAGTTGCTCCCGCGCTTTGGCGACATTTTTGCGATTTTCGCAACTAGCAGCTAGCCTTTGCAGAACACTTGGCTACATGATTCAGCAGGATGTGTGTGTGACGAGGCTTCTGAGCGCCAGTCTAGCCAATGTCCGCACTGCTGGGGACTGAATCGCCAGAGAGGTCAGGGAGTTCGCCTCAGGCCTCAGCTGTGATGTCCATGCTCCGCGAGGTGTCGCTGAAAAGTGGTGACCTCCGGATGAGGCAGCTGCTCGGTGAGCCACGGGCTCGGTGCTGCTGTCCTTGGCTCCCCATTCTGCCCATGCTTTTCTCTTACATTTCCAGGCCCCAAACCCCAAAGCACCCACGACCGAACAGCATGTGGGGTTCATCCACATCGCGAGATATCGCGAGCTTTCTGCGCCAATGTTCACTGCACTGATCTGCACTGCGCTCAGCCAGTGGCGGGGCAGGTGCCGGCAAGCTCTCTGGTGTAATGCCGAAGCCTTGGACAAGACCATCTGGCGAAGGACATTAATTCCAGTCTGGACATGCTCTATGTTTCTTGAGGCTTGCTGAAGTTCGAGGAAGTGGCAGCGCGTGAAGTCTGCGTAGCCCACGCTGCCTCTGGAAGCTGACCTCGGTTCTTCTGGCAGCCGGAAGGTACTGTACTCGCCATCCCGCTCGGAAAACAAGCAACTTCCCGCTTCTGCTGCAAGATGGACGTGTCACGGCGACGTGCAGCTGATGAATGCTTCTGGCAAGCAGAAGCCGCGCCAGGTCTGCTGAGGCCATGGCAGATCAAATATGGTGTGAGCCATGTGCTCTGGCATGTACGGGTCAGCCTCAATGCTCAGAGTTCTTAGTCTTACCAGTTCTAGCCATGCTCTTGTCTGGGTCTCCGGCTGTTTGCAACAGGTACGTAAACTCGGCCTTGTCGAGCATGTTGTCGCCTAGGAAGCTTTAGGGACGAGCATGCTGACGGCACCCTCCGATATTTGCGATATGGGAAGGATGGTGGGGTCGATCTACTTGGCCGGCCTTGCCTGCAATTCCAGTACTAGCTCTGCGAAGCAGCGCTTCTCAGCCACTCCATGCTTGCTTACTGATATTGCTTGTGGGTCATTGTCACGCAGAAGTCCCGAAGAGCCTCGAGGGCAAAAGCCCAGTCAGAGCACCGGGCCGTTGGCATCGAAGAAACCTGTTGCAAGCCCGTTAGCTGTTTTTGGTCTTCAAGGGTTGCATGTTTGGGGGATTCCGGCAACTCGGCAAGGTACGAAACAGGTCAGCCAAGTTCGCGTTGTGCTCGCGCCACCAAGAGGCAAGCCTCACAATGTCCAACAAACTTTGTACGTACAAAGCGTCAGGGATCTACTTGTACCCGTCTAATCCGTGCTCAGTGCATCTCAGTACCGGACTGGTTCACCTTGGCGTTCGCTTCCTGGAAAAGCTCACGAGAAGTTCTTGCTGCTTTCACCAAAGCTACTAGCTGCTCCGTGGGAGTCTGGTGGGTAAAGATGGAACAAAAACCACCTTATCCGACTGTGCCTGTTTGGACGAGTCCAACTGATTCACCACCTCGCGGTAGTTCCTCGGTTTGCCAGAAGTTGTTCATGAGTGGGACTTCTCCAGAGTCTCTTGCCTTTGGTGTCGCTTGTAAGTGCCCGGCAGGAGGCCAGGTCCCGCACTGCAGCGCTGAAAGAGGGCGTCTTGTTCGGTTGCTGTCATCACCACTTGCACCTTGCTGGTGCTGGGTCGTGCAGCAATCTGCGCAGTCGGACCAACCCTCACATCCTGCAACTACTCGGTTGAGCTCCTTGCCCAATCCAGCAGCTTCATGAAGCCTGCCCGGTCCAGAGTTCCGCCTCACGTAACATCTACAGATGCACCGGCGGTCGTCTTATGGTCTCAACGCGACTTTGAAAGCCTTAACCCTGAAAAGCTCCGAGGCAAGGCCTCCGGTTTGGTCAAAGAAAGCGAATCCCTGGGCCAAGGAGTACCTCTCGAAGACGAGATGCTTTTCCGAGCGCAGGATGAGATCATAGGTGGAGCCCCAAAACCAGAACATGGGGTTTCCAGTGAAACGGTCGTATAATCTGTTGAATCATGTCGGCTCCACCCGCTCTGCTGCAGCCGCGCCCTCAGATGTTCGACCCGCTCCTATGCACAATGGATCAGCACATTCAGGGGCAGATGTGTCCAGTTCACCATGCCAAAAACAAACGATTGAAGCCTCAAAAAATGCCTTTACATCCTGCTTACGATACCAATCGCTGTGTGTGTGTGTGTGTGTGCGCTTCGTGAGTGCAAAGGGAGCGTCCTTCACTGGATCGCCATAAGCAGGTGCCGGTGCTGCAGGCCTTAAGGCAGCTCGCAACTCTGCACAAGCTCGGATACAACTTTTGGGGTTCCCTTCGTCCTCCTCTTCTGAAACCCTAAGACTGCGACGCATACCCGGGAGATATGGCTGGAGCGGCAGGTGCCTTGCAACAGACACTTCGGAAAATCAGCAAGCCAATGTAAGCAATCTAAAATCCATCAGCCCGAAAACCCTAAGTACCAGGTATCCGGAACACTTCTGTGGGGCCTGCGCCTGCCCACCGGAGCTTAGCGCTCTGGCCTGAGCACATTTGCTTTTGTGTGCGACCCTTCTTCCAACCTCGGAGAGGGCTCTCATCAGAAAGTGCTACCAACCTATTTTGCACAAGCCACAACCGGAGCCCTGAGTAAATCTCATGATGACTTTTTCAAAGAAATGCCGCGTTGAGTCTGCATGCGGGAATATGCCATGCGAGGAGAAGACTTTGAAGCTAACTCCTGCAAAGGGATGCCCATCAAGTCGCCAGACTGGTTTTTAGTCCGGTCAACATGCGGGATTCCAGAGAGGCGCGCCGTGTGCAAGCATGCATTTACAGACAGTCTCTGCTTTGCAGAGAGGGCCTTCGTCAGGGCTGCACGGCGCTATCAAGGTGAGACAGCCTTGTTTGCTTGCCCCTCGGCTAAGCTCATCAGAGTCTCGAGGTCCTTGAGGTCACCTGGCTAACATTTTGCTCGTGATTCCAAGGGAACAAAAGCAAGGGTCGGTGTAGCTGAGAAATAAGCAAACCAACAAGGATCGAGGTCTGAGTTATGAACTGGCCTTTGGACCCGAATTGTGTTGACCTTAACCACCTTAACTCTGAACTCTTGCTCGACAAGTGGCTTGCCTTGCTGTAGTCCAAGGCTTGGGGTTACGAGCTTCAGCTGCAGTTTAAATAGGCAAACCAAGGCAACAAACACCTCCAGTTGAGCGTGTTTTTAAGGTTCGTTGATAGTCTCTGGGTGCTCTGCCTCGAGAGCAAGCACGGGAAAAGAACATGCAAGCACACTACGGCGAACAAGGCCACGGGTCCAGGTTGTGGTTCGGGTATGTATGTATATTTATATGTATGTGTATATGTGCAGACATATGTATATATATATATATAGTGTCACAAGGTGCCCAACTTCGTGCTGCAAGTGGAATGCCCATGCTGAATTCTGGGGGCCGCACGTTCGATGCCATTCCGAAGCTCCAGGGCCTGTGCTTTTGATGGCAGCCCTCAGTCTTAAGTCCTGGGCACCCTCTGATGGTAGAATTGTGATAGCTTTTCTTTTCACAGGGCCGTGGCTTCTGTCGGTGGGCCCCTCTTTGATACAAGAAACGAGGCAGGGAACCCTTCTGAGCCTCCTTGTTCCGAGCTGTCTTTGCCTTGCTTGGTCTGGGATCGCTGAGCTGTTCGTCATCGATCTGCGCGATGCGTGCCTGAGCACATTTTGCATGTCTTAGAGCTTGGAGAATCACAGGCGCTGAGCAGGCTTATACGTCAGCACTCCTTGTGTCGCGTCACGTCGAACCCTGCGGACTTGCCATGTCTGGTCAAGTGGGTACGCTCCAAGCCCAAGACCTGTTTGCGTTGCACAGCCCCTACGAGCTCTTCGAAAATCTCCCGCTGCTCACCATCAAAGCCATTCCTGACTGATACTGAGGAGGAACCATGCAATGCCGTGAGGCACATTACATATCGTGACATCACAATGACTCTGCGATCAGGCAGCTCGTCGTATCTCCGTCGGTCTTCGCGGCGTGCGGCTGCCTGTTGCAGTGAACTCTTCACATGCCCTCTTACGTCGCTACAGATGAGAATCTTGCAGGCCGTTGCGTCTACCGAATCGGGTCGTTCTAAGTTTGGAGTGGGGCCATATGGTCTGGTTGTGGTGAGGTTGGATGGGCTACAGCGTCCGTTTGTCCCCTTGTTCGTGGATGGAAGACAGGCTAGTTTAGCTCTCAGACACAAAAAGTGGCAATTCAGCACCCTAGACTGTTGCAATTGTGAAGGTCCCCAGCCTGTCGGGATCAGGTGAAAGACATGGGAAGCTTAGGAATAGCCAGTAGCAACTCAGCACAGAAAGGAAAGGCGTCGCTGGGCTGGCATGCCTCGGAAGCACCGCCGATGGGTGGAACGCTGCCTGGCTCCACGTATCCCATGCTGCCCTTGGGCAACATTCGGCCGCCACAGTACCGGAACCGGTCCTGCAACGATGCTGCGTGTTGCGGCGAGACAATGCAAGCATGACGAGCAATGCTTCGAATGGCAAACAAGAGCTTGCAGGAGCTACTTCTATACCTATACATTGGGCTTACTTGCAGCTTAAAGTGCAAAGGCAAAGACAAATGCTTGCGGCTTGCCTGCAGGTTCTGCTTCTCATTGTCCAGATCTTTGCCTTTCGGGAGGTCAGGCTGGGTGCGGCGTCTGCGCGCCTCCTCTGCCTGTCGTCACATTATGCGCTGTTCAGTGTCAGATCCCGGCTACGTCGGCTCAAAATCCTGAGAAGACTTTGAGCTACAGATACGCAGTTATGCACCACAAAACGCAGTGGCACAGCTCCAGCTGCTGCTGCCTCAAGCTCAGCCAAGATCTCACGAGCAGGTCTCCTTCCGAGCTCTTCTGACCGATGTTCCAGAAAGGCAGCTCTACTTGCAATCAGGGGAAGTGGTTCGAGTGCGTAGCAGTGCCTGCAAGGAATGGGAGGCGCGGGCCACTGCCTCGGGTCATCCATGTCGCGCCTTCCAAGATGCGGAGAACTGTGTTGACACCGAGTCTACGCAAAGACACGGTGAATGCTGAGTCTTCTGAGCACTCTTCCTTTCACTTTCACTCCGTCAACCTCTTTCAGCATGCTCCAGCCAGACTAACATCCTCGCATCCTTACCCTCTCACTGTTTCGTTTTCGTCTGACTCGCAAGCGGTCGACACATCGTGTGAGTGATCATGAGAGTGCTTTTTCTGACAGTTTGTTGTGAGCTCCTCTCTCACTCTCTCTCTCCCCTCTCCCTCCTTCTTGGACGCAGCTCCTGCCTCGGCGCGACTGCCCGAGGCACCCGGACCACTGCCTGATGCAAACAAGAGAGAGGGCATCCCACTTGTAGGACTTGCAACATCCAACATGTCCAACAATACACGCCCCCCCCCCCCCCCCCCCCCCCCAACGTTTCACACCGTCTCTCCTTGGGCGCTGCCGGCTTGGCTTTCGGCGGGGGCTCCCAGCCTGTTCACCGTGGCCACCCAAAGGCTCTAGGTCTTAAGGCTGAAGTGTAGGCGCCGGAGAAAAGTCAGTCTCCTATTGCATTGGTAGATATTGGTAGTCACCATGACAGACGTATGTGTGCATTTGTTGTGCAGAATGGGTAGCTTGCGCGTGCAGTCAGGAAGGAATCCTCCGAGCGCCAAGCGTTTCACTGGGGTTGCCAGCTGAGGATACGAGACCTTCGATCCCAGTTCGCGGCTGCCAGCCTCGGCAATGTCATCGGATTGATTTTCGACGCACCAGAGGTCTTGGAACATCTTGGGCTGAGAGTTTCGGATCTTGACTGTGCAGCAGATGCGCGAAAATGCCGAACTTAGGCAAGAAGCAGCAACAGCAATGGTAGGTAGGTCTCGCTAATGACATGAGTCACGAGAACGTAGCCTTTGCGGTCCCTTGCTTGCAGCTCGACTCTTGATCTATAGCCTACAGGTTAATTACATCATGTAACCCTAAACCCTAAACTAAACCCAAAGTAGGCCAGCAGCCCCTTTATAGAGCTTCCGCAGCATGCGCCCAGCCTGGCACGGTGCACAGTGACAAAGCTGCCTTTCGATGCGGGACAGATGCCTCTCAAAGCCCTCCTTGCCTCGGTGTCGCAACCAAAGTGCTTCCAAACCTCTGCAGCAAGAAGTTCTGCACATTTGGAACAACAAATGTATTAAGAATGAAGACCCTGTTTGGTCAGAGTTTTGCGAGGTACCGGGCAAGGCGCACGCAGCAGCAACTCCAAAACCCAAACTCCACCCCTCGAATATTTCTGGCTCAGCAGGGGCCTCTTTGCTCTGCTCAGGCACCATGTAGTCTGCGGTTCGCGCCGCCCTGCAGTGCTTCCCGCGGTTAGGCTCCAGTATGCTCTCTTTCTGGGATCGCGGGATCTCGCTCGTGCCAGAAGCTGAGGGCCCCACGAACTGCTCTCCGAAGGAGTTGCCCTGCTGTGATAGGATGGTTTTATGGTGCGCACTTGCGCTCACAGCGCTTCAAAAGCCTCTGGGGGGCCTCTCGATGGCCTCAATCGCATCTGCTTGGACCAGCTCCTCATCAACCTCGTCGGCTGGTAGCCTTGAGCTTGTGCACATGCTGTCTGCGTGCACGGAAGATGACTTGTCCAGCTTGCGGGGGCGTTCAGAAAGCCATGTGAGAGAAGCCACAGGCTCTGAGACAGAAGTCGCAGCAAAGCTTTGAAGCTTCGCGTTTAAAGCCGACGGCCTTTGCAACCGGATGCTTCAATTTCAGCCGAGGGACACGACAGCCTCCTCGTCGTCATCGTCGTCGGCGGCTCCGTTGTCCTCAATCTCCGTCTCCACCTTTGACATTTACGTCACATCTTTGCAAAATGCTTCCCCTCGCTCCCTCGCATCTTTACTCACTAGTTCGGCGCTGTGATGAGATGTGGTGGTAAGGCTCCTCATTGTCACCAGCTGCGTCAACAAGTCGGTTTTGCAGAACCTTGCTGCCTTTGAGGTGCTACAGCTGCGGCTTCTGGCGAGGACTTCTCCCAGCAGGCTTGATACTTGTCAGGTCGTGCCATGTGCTCTCTCAGCTCTCTGAGCCTGCCTCGGCAGCTCGGCCGGTTGGGGAGGTTGGCGGAGCAACGTAGGCCATGCCCGCAGCCTGGACATGGTAGATGCTGCGCATGTATGGCCAGGCGTGCTTCTTGCCCGCCCTGCTCTTGTGAAGGCTAGGCTTTCGACATGAGGTAGCAACATACATGTGCCCTGAGCATGACGTGCAACAAGTCTGGGGCTGCTCCCCAATTCCATCAAAGCAACCAGTGCGAGTTGGGTGCCTGTGCAAAGCTGCTGGGGCAGCGAGCGGGTCTATTTCATGGAGCTGTTGGTGAAGAGCTGACGATTTACTCGCGGATTCGGCTGATCTGAGTATACTGCTGTGGACACTCCTCGTAATTGTTGATTGGCATGGCAAGGGCAAGGACTGTGATTGGCATGAGGCATGATGCAGCTATCACTGCATGGTGATTCTACTTTTGCTGAGAATGTCCGAGCCTGCACAGCTGCGCAAGTTCAACGCAAGTTCAACCCAAGGTACCGGGCCCAACACAACACAAGCAAATCTCTCACGCATCCTCACGCCATGTTAAACTTCCGGGCAAGCGGCCTGTGCCTCGAAGTCAAATTGTCGTGCCAGCTCGTAGTAGTTCAGCCTCGATTGTGCAGTTTTCAGCATCCTAGTTGTGGAGTCGCGAAGATGCTGGGGTGCGGAGGCTCCAGCGGCATGGGCATCTTGGGCACAAGCTCTCGAGAGCAAAGCAAGGTGAGAGGTACGGGGAGAGCGAGTGTGCGCGTCACTACCCTGTGGACCTCTCCCCAAGTAATAAGCAATTGGAGGTTCATGAGTGGATAAAAGTAGCGTTAGAAGTACTCCAAAATAATTAGGGTTATAGGTTATAAGCATAGCCACCTTACTGATAGGCCCACTTTTAACAACCCATGAACCTCCAAGCAATTGCAAGCTTTTCTTGGTCCGCTCTTCGCGCACTAGCTGTGACAACATGGCACGCCCAGCAGGGCCCGGGTCCAGCAGTGCGCACTGCAACGCGGAAATCATCTCCTGAGCTGCTAGACAGAGCTATATATATATCTATCTATATACATATATATGCAAATATTTGTATATAGAACATGTTTCGCGCTTTTGGTAAGGTACTCCTTACTTGCCATGACTGTACAATCCGCCACGTAGAGCAAGCTCTGGATTCAATCTGCAGTATGTGAATACATACAAAGGACGAAAGGAACCAGGCAATACTTCTTGTTGCAGGTTTCTGCGTGGCTCGCTGCTTCCAAGCCAGGTGCTGTGACGACCTGCAAGCTGCGAGCACATGTCGGCCGCATTCCAGCTGGGGCGAAGTGAACCAGGAGAACCTGTTCCCAAGAGCTGGAACTGGACTGGCAGTTTCCGAAGTTTCCGAGTACTTGGCTTGGATATGAAGATCTTTGGCCCAAACACGGCAAAGATCAGCAAAGTCCCCTCCCCAAGGACCAGGCCTGGGTGTCGGTGCCGGAGGCTGCCAAGTTCAGGATCTCGTCGCTTCTAAGCTCTCTTCAGGGTTGCAACTTCTGGGGTGGGATGGTGTTACAGTGCTACAGCTGTTCTTAAGTTGGTGGTCCTGTGCCTTCGTTTGCCCTCCCGTGTCTGCCAGTTCTACCAGTGGCGAAGCAGATCCAAGTTGTAAGAAAAAGGATAGCCAACAGGACCAACCAATCTGTATCTTCGCTCGCCGAAGTTTTAGATTTGTGAGACACTCTCGAACATGAGAAATTCCATTAAAATGCTTGTCTTTATGTCTCAAAGAACATGCAGCTTCGCCACACTTCGTTGGTATCTCCAGCACTGTCGGATTGAATGAGCAACTCGGCCACTCGCTCCTATCAAGGGTGAGGTAAGCAGCCTGGAGAAGATCGCTCGAGGCTACGACTCATCCCGAACGAGGTAGCCATCTGATGCAAAACCTCGTTTATCTGGTAGCCTCGGAGTTTCTCACACCGAGAAGTGACCACAAATCATCTTCTTCGCTGCCAGGCCGCTGCACACCTGAACAGGGAAGAAAGGCCATAGTATGGCTGCTTCTCACCGTCCATGTTAGCACGTGGCGCACGCAGTCCGGACTAAACAGCAGACTTAAGCCACGCGACAGAAAGCACGCTTCCCAGGGCGACCACTGGGCCCGTTCTGCTGCCCTCCCGTTATCACGTCATGAAGGGTAGTCAGGAGCTGATGCTCGGTGGCAGCCTTGCACGAGCATGTTGTGCATGTTGCCCAGCTGAACAAGATGTTGACGTGCTCGCGTGCCTTCCCTGCAAAGTGGTTCGCAAACTGCCGAAACAACGTCACCACCTAAGGTATGAGGCCGAGCAAGCATGCGCAATGATGAGCTGAGGAGCATCTGAAGTAGACCAGGTAAGCAGGGCCCAGGGCCCAGGGACCTACCAGATGTGTCCAGCCCGTTCAAATTAGCAGCTTGCGTCGCCGAGGCACAGGCCCAGGATTCTCCTCTTCACCCCGAAAGGCGCAGGAGATGCTGCAGCGGTAGTAGGCTCCATGCCTCGATCTGTTCAAAAACGTGGCAAATGAGCTTGCCTTGCTTCCGCTTGGGCTCCATATTACCGTAATATTACCTGTATCACGGCTTCAACATGAGGGATTTTATGCAAAGTGCTGGCTCCTGAAAAACTACGTCAAGCTCTCCTGCGTGCTTTTCTACTCGAATAGTTGCAGAATTCCTCTTTTGCGTACACACCAAAAGAGACCAAAAAAAGAGCCCCCAACTAACTCAGAAAAACCCTCAGGGGAGCGTTTGAAAGATTTCTTGGTCCCAGATGCGCCCGCCAAAGCGCAGCCAGGCAGCAGCGCGCCATCCTCCCCCCACTGGGGCGATCTCTGAGTTATCTTAGGGTTTAGGGTTTAGGGTCAACGGTCTGCTTCTCTGTCAGCCAAGGCACCTGGAGAGCTCAGTAGGCCAGTCGCCACTGCTAGCTTGGAAGTCTGACAGCTTGAGGTCTACCTTGGATCATGACGGTGATGTGGCTGTGTTGAATGTTTTTTTACCGACACGTGCTGAACCATTCATTTACCAGTCACTGAAGCGCAGTTGAGGCACATGGACGATGAACCGCAGGCAAGGTCCGACAGCTGAACTCATTTTCTCTGCCCTTCTGGGGCCTGGCCAGCCCAAACTCGCCTCCTGCGACAGTGTAATGCATCACTGTCCAAAAAATCTTCGTGCCCTTGCTCTGGACATCAAAGCAGCAGAAGAAGTCATAAGCAGCATGACGGCCCCTGCAGCTCAGGATGCGTTGAGGGGGCTTTGGGAGCTGAATTCCTCAAGGCTCCCATAGCTCGCCGGCGGCTTCCACGATGCCGTGCCCCTGAGCCGATAGGCCAGGCCCCCAACCATCGGCAAGAGACCACCGCTGGCATGCCAAAGCTTCAGCCGGCTCACGATCTTTGAGGTGAACTCCCCAGTCCAGCCTGAGAGCGCAATGAAAGATCATGGCTAGGAAGCGCTTTCCAGCTTTTCCTCTTGCAAATGCCCTGCAAGAAATGAGCTCTGCAATGCTTGAAGGTTCATGTCGGGCTTTATGATAAGTGGGGAAACCGTCTTTGTAACCTTGGATGAGGTACAAAAAGCAAACCGACACCTGAGGGTCGAACCGAGGCTCAGCCGAAGAAGCGGCCAGCCTGCCTTCTCAGCTGCCCATTCAAATGCGGCTGACTGCTCAGATGTAACCTTAGCTCGAAAGTTCGTCCAGCAAGCAACTTGTGGCTGCTTTGCTAGAATCTGAGGCCCCTGCAGCATCTGGGCAGCCTCAAACAAGCAAAGCAGGGCCACTCAGGTCAACAAATATTTCGAACGCCTACCCCTTTTAAATGGGGCACACAAGTCTTCCCTGGCACGGGTCTCAACGCCCGGCCATTATCCCTAGCCCCGTCGAGCCGCCCAAACCCTGGAACGCAAATCGTTGCAAAGCACCTACACGAGGTCCATAACAAGCTGACTATTAGGGCAACGGCTCATGCAGTCCCAGCAGCCCAAGAAGCAAACGACGCGACGTGCGGGAAGGGTAGCCGCGTCAGGAATGGCGACTGAAGCAAAGTGCCCGGCAATGGGAAGGCACGGGTAGGCTTCCTGAGTGCTTTGCTGAAAGCCGCTGCCATCATCGCTATGTTGGCAGGACTTGCGGACTCTTGTATGTGTACGTGCGTGCGTAATGTATGTGTGTGTGTGTATATGCATAGGTATGTATATAAATAAATATGTATATATATATATATATATGTGTATTTATGGGTGTACAAGTGATTTAGAATGTATGGCTCACAACAACTAGCGAGAGAAACGCTAACGCAACGATTCCCACCTTTGAAAGAGGCCAAGGCCACATGATGCTGCAAAGCGACATCTAGAAGCACGGCCACCGAGTCCTCAAACGGTTTCTTCGACAACAGCAAGGCGTTATGCACGGACGTCGGTAGACAACACGACTGTCTCCAACAGGAAGGAAGTGGAATCGCTCATGTCCCCAAAAGCACATAGCAAAACGAAGCTCCAGCACAAGGCGTAATTCAAAGCCTTGTCAGGCCGTTGGGAGCCGTGCCATCTTAAGCTCCGCCCGAAGAACTTCCCCCCTTCGCCCCTTCTTTTCCTGGGAGTGTCCCAGGCTGTCGAGAAAGGCCCGCGCGGACTCTTGCAAGCCACGGCGTCCTGCCACGGGGTGTTCCTAACCTTGGGGTCGCCTAGTGTCACAAGAACGAGGGGCAGCGCTGCTCTTGTATTATATCAGTGGTTGAGGTTCCTTACGAGGAAGCTTTCAAGGTGACATGTTCTCATGACTTGTGCCACCAAGCTGAGCTTCCTTCCGTCCTTCGGCTTGCGGATGGAACCCCACGCCACGAAGATTCTGGTGCTCCTTGGGCATTCATGAGGCGCTGCGAGGTTTGACGTACCGCTCTGGGGGCAGGTCCTGGCTGCCAAGTTCCTTGAACTTTTATGTCAAGTCGCAGCCCTCCAGGACATGCTTACTTAGATTTTCTTAGCTGTCTCGAAGGCTTGGATGTGTGTTGCAGCTGCGCATCTGCCACTTTCCGCAGCCGCTGAAGAATCCGGAACTCGTTCAGGTCCTGAGAACTTGCATCCACCCAAACGCCTCCGAGGAAACGAACGCAAGTTCTTCTTCTTCCCGACCCTAATTCAACCTGTGTCAAACTTCTTGATATCCGGGCCCCCTACAAATTGCACCACCAAAAAAAGGACCCATAATGAGCCAATCTTCTCTCATTCGAGCTCTCAAGATAGCAACAAGAAAAACCACATGAGTTGAAGTACCGAAGCCGCGTGCGCAGAAACATATCAAACGGGTTTCGAGCGGCCGATTCTTGGATTCTCTTGGAATCTCAAACGTTAAGCATTGTACTTGGAATGGATAAACATCTGGAGTTCCCAGTGCCTCTCAGTCCTCATTTCCCAGGAACCGCAACCACAAGCATGTCTGTTCATGCTCCTCAAAACGCTTCGATTACAGCTGGAAGGACAGAAAGGAAGTCACAGCTGTGAAAGTTCCTCCATGAACCAGGCCTTGGAAAGTGAACACAACCCCTGAAGAAAGATGCCAATAGACACCGGAAGTGAGTGAGCGACCGAAGTGAACAAGAAACTATACGAACGCAGTGAATCCTTGAGACCCAACCGCTGTTGCAAGTCACGAAGAACCATGAAGAACCCAGCATAGAAGCCGCACCATGACGAGACTATCTATGTGAATGGAATCCTCTTGACAAGGAACCCACCCGTGCGACCCCAACCGTCTGTGAAACCTTCCGGAGTATCCCTGTCACACCTTCTGAGTGTGCGTTCACACACTCATAGGTTGTTCGTTCATGCACTCTCCATAAAACCAAAGAGGGAAGGGAACGCGAAGGCTGCCTGGGCTTTTAGCCATGCTCATGCCCCTTTCAGCATTGCTTTCTATGAAAAGCAGTTCTGGAGATGCCATCCGTGTGGGAAGGTCCCACCCATCTAAAAACTCGCCAATGTGACACCATGTGACAGTTCAGAACATATTGTTTTGCGTTGGAGACAATGGATTCAGCCTATGTTTTCTCTTTCACACGTTGTCTGTTGTCTCTCTTCCGCCGTCTTACGTCTGACCTTCCGCTTAACCTTGGAAACCCGGAAATCCATACTGGTGGCCCGGGGTCCACTGGAAGGACTTTTGGAGCGGCTCGCTAACTTAGGCTTTTCAGCTTAATGTGGTCCGTGGACCAAAGGTAGACTAGTGATAGGACAACCAAAGCAATGATAAGCAAGAACTCAGAGTAACAGTGGAGTAGGAGTAGGAGTAGGGAAGGGAAAGGAATGGGCTTGAACGATGGGCTGCAACCTTTCTACCATCTGCATTAGCTTGTCCCTTGATAAAGGGTAAGCGCTAAACGCTCTTAGCAGCCTTGGCAACACCGCAGGCTGGAACACTGCTGCAACCGTCGAACCGGCCCATTATGCTGCCATGAGGCAGTGGTAGCCGCAGCGGTGACGTCACCAAGAAACTCTGGGCCCAAGATCCACCACGTCAGATCCCTGAAGCGCCTGCGGCGTCCGTCACTCTCAAAGAGTATGGCAGCTGCGGTGCGCGGTGCCTCAGTAGGCCAAACCAGAAGCTGCCCAAGGTCTATGTTAGGCTGCCCCCCCCCCTTCCCACAAACTTCGGACACGGCACGCTGGTGAGTGTCGTAGCTTGTAAAGCTGCCAGGAGTGATCTTGCTAAAGAATCTCTCCGGTTCCCGAACAGCTTCGAAGCAGACTTAAGGCCACTCCTGCAGCGAGGATGCTGTGTAGACTACGCCAAAGTCCGAAACTCAAACGCTCATGCACATTCTTGCGCCGGCCACAATCAGGCAGCTCTGTCTGCAAAAAAAGTGTCGGCCAGCCGTGGCGGCTGCTGCTGCCTCTAACCAGCAAGCAGAAGATGATTTCCTCATTGCTCATCTTGGCTGGGTGCAGCTACCAAGTAATGCAAAGGGGCGTGATGTCTTAAGTAAATACGGTAATCTCTCTCCACATGTTCGCATCTCCCGTGCTGAGCCCGCACGGAATACCGCACGTAGTCGCAACTGATCTTCAATCTGCACTGCCGCCATGCCGTGAAGGTACGGGGGTTTACCACAGGAGTGGGTACCTTATTATTGGGGGCCTTTTTTGAGGGGATCCCTTTATTTGAGGGATTTTGGGGGTCTGTTTTAGGTGCCCCCCATTTTCGTATAACCCCCCCATATGCTACTAAGCGTGGACTTGCCGGGTTTCCGCTGCCAGTGCAGGCCCGACGGCTGCAGTGGGACTTGCCCGACGACCCTGATGGCTGGGGATCTCAACCCTAAACCTTCCCAAACCCTAAACATCCCTAAACCCTAAACTCTAAAGAGCCTCCTGTACTCGACTAGAAGACTCGAGACAAGGCTAGATGAGCGCGATCATCGTTAATCTCTGCAGTAGCTTGACGCAAGATCGCCCCTGCTTGACCGCTCAATGCTTCGCGAGCTGCCAGTTTTCGAGGGCCGCTGCAACCTTGTTTCAGAGTTGATCGACAGCCGCGCGACTTCTCACAATGTTGACCTCAAGCACGCATCAATCCAGCAAAGCAAGTAAGTGCTTCTCCGGTGCGTTGTCTGGTGCTTCGCAGTCCTACCCATCGCTCGCATGTCGGAGTGCTGCCCACCTGGGGGGGCAACTGCCTACTCCAGTAACAAGCGCAAGGAATGTGTAGCTTTTCGCGGCGCCTGACATGCAAGTGTCTAAGCTGTCCACCCCCCATGTCGCGGGCCATTGAATCATTGTCGCCGGGCATGTCTGAACCCTTCGCCGAGCTCATTAAGGATTCAACCTTTCCTTTGCTTAGATAATCTTAGACCTGTTCGTGGGTGAAGCTTTACTGCAGCATTGTGCTTCACTTTGTCGGTCTTTCACCACAGCTGCCTTGAGCAAACGGGAGGCACACCACCAGGATGAAGAAAGCTATGCCAGCGCCGAAGCAAAGCAATCGCATCATCTGCAAGGCAGGACCAAGTCTCGAGACATACCGTAAGTGCCGAGCATTCCCCTTTGCCCGGTGTCGCAACGCAGAACCAGCTCATCCTGTTCCCAGTCTGCCTTACATGGGCTACACAGTGCTCAAATTCACCAGTTTGATCACTTTTGCGCTATGATTGCAGTTAAGGTGCCATATCCACACCTGATGCCGTCAGCAAGCGCCGTAGCCTGCGACAACTTTCAAAACAAAACGGCGGCGAGCGAAGAACACGTGTGCGTGACAAAGCCAACCTCTGCCGACGTCCCGCACCAAACGCTTCCGAGACCCGTTGCAAGGTGTGTCGAGATCTTCTATTTTGGCGCTTATGGCTCCGGGTTTTCTCTCCTTTGGGCTTTGGATAAACCCTGCACCTTCAACCGCAGTGTTGGGTGCGTTGAGGGGTTTTGGTGTGCCACCTCTGCAAACAGTATACATTCCTTTGTGAGGCCGAGGCAACGGTCCGAGGTCCAGACCCACTTCGGTCCAGGAAACCTGTGCGGCCCGCATCCATCCTCGTCATTGCAGAATCAGCGATCGTGCACCTATCCTGATTGCGGTTCACAATCGCGTTGCTAAGCTGCTGCACAAGGAGCAGCTCTTCTTATGACGAACTCTGTTCCGAAGGGGATGCGGTGGGCTTGGCGCTTCTCTGCCAGGACGTTTGCATCTGCCACTGAGTGCGGGGCATGGCGCAGGCCTGCAATAGGGTGACCTGTGCTCTGGCAGCTTACGATCAGCTCTTCAGCTGCTGCACTAACCAAGCACGATGAAGCAACTTCAGAAGCAACTTGAGATTTTCCAAACCTTGCAAGCGCAAAAATGCAACAAACAATTCAATGATCGGATGTCACGGATGGGGCCGCTTGCGGCTCGGTAGCAACTGGAACAGGCGCGCAAAAGCAGCAGCCAAGTCCCTGTACCCCGTCTGGCTGCCGAGCAGACTGACCTGCCGATCAATTTCCTCTGCCGACATCTCGAGTGAAGATGCGGACTGACTCTGGCACTTCTTCCGATCATTCTCAAGAATATTCCGCAATGAAATCTGGCCAGTCTTGGTTGAGAACTCCGGGTGGGACTGAGTAGTGAGGCAGTGCCGCCCATATGTCATACCCCAGTGTCCACCAGTGGAATAGCCCCAGCTTTTCCCGTAGCGTGGCAACACAACGGCAGTGTCTGAGTGATGAGAGAACATCTGGATTGTGGACTGGTCGCTCGGCAAGTCAAGACTGGCTCGAGCGGCATCGGTCAAAGGATATGTTTGTAAGCCGCCTTGGGTGCCCGCCGGATTCACAACGACCGTCCCACCCAGTGCTCGGATGATGGCTTGATGCCCGAAGCAAATTCCGGCCAACGGTCGCTCGTCTTCACACACCTTCCGCACGAAAGCTGTGAGGGACTCCAGCCAGGGTTCGTTCTTCGCTCCACAGGCAGCTGAGGAGATACTGCCCATGATCCAAAAACCGCTGTAGGAATCTAGGCTGGTCGGGAACTCATTTGCTGCAACGTTGCAGTTGTGAAGCTCGAAGGGCTCCGCACCAATGTCTTCAAGCATTTCACGCAACATCGCTGGCACAACTCGACCATAATGCTCATCGTAAGCAACATTCAAGTAGCAAATGACCTTGTTGCCATTGGTGAGTGGTTTGCTTGGAGATGCAATAGCCTGTTCTGAGAGCTCAGCCTGAAGAACCTCGCTGGTAATGATTCGGGCGAAGCCCTTCATGTTGTGGAGGCCGGCCCCGTGATCGCCTTCCGATCTCGCGGCGCAAGCATCCTCAGGGACGGTGACCAGGAAGCCTAGATCTGCAGCATCACGGACAGCAGACTCCACACATTGGTTCGTCAGCTGCCCGCAAACGATCAAGTACCGCACGCCCAGATTCCGCAGGACGTATGCTATGTTCGTCGAGCAGAAAACCGAGCACGAGGTTTTGGGCAAGATGATGTCATCTACCCGAGGTTTCAACTCCGGCAGCACGGCCGCGTGCGGATGGCCTTTGGGGACATGAAGCGGCCCACTCAGCTTGTAGTCCAGAGAGTTGTCTCTCCCGTCTGCAGTTAGTGACTCAATGACTGTATACAGCACCTCCACGCCTGACCTGCGTGCCGCATGGAGGAGCTTTGATATGTTTGGCACCATCACCCTCTCAACACGGTCGAAAAAATATGGCATTTCCGAGCGCTTCGTGGCATGAAAGATGCCCTGCTCTGGACGACTGCAGTACTCCTGAACGTCTACGACGAGGATTGCCGCTTGCTGAGCTACACAGGGCCGGTTCCTGGTAGACCCAGGAGGAACCAGTCGCGGATGGTTGAATGCATACGCCATGCTCTAAACTCGAAACTATGGGATGAAACAAGATGAAACACGACAGACGCTGTTGCATATTTTCGCAGTCGGTGCTTACCAAGATGCAGCCAAGAACCTGCCAGTACTAGAACCAACAACTCGTGGTCTTGAAGCACCCCTCTGTCAAGCCAAGGGCTGCAACGGCCTTCTCAACAAGCTCTCTTGCCCATTCTTGTTCGTCCATCTGTGCAACTCTGACTTCTGCGACTCTCCGGATTCAAAACGCCTCTGAGGCTCCGGTCTGTGATGGTTTTCGTTGTGCAAATCGCAAACTCTGAAGCCTGGGAGCATGACACCTCGGTTCCGGAAGCTGCGGTCGATCTGCGCCACGTGCGCCTTGCAACAAACATGCTGGAGGCCAGCTTGGTGCCAACATTCGCACAATCATGCCATACCATACAGCCAGCCTCCAAGATCATGTCGCGATCTACAGGGCTGGCCGGTGGTTGCGGCAGGGGTCTGCCCTGTGTGAGGCCCTGAGCATGGGAGCATGTTCTGAGAATTGAGCACAGAGGTACCGGACTGCAAGGGCTTTCGGGAACGTACCACAATGTATTGCAAACTTCATGCTCTGACATGCCGTTCTCATTCCCCACGTGCCCCACACTGCCTTGCCTCAAGCTGAGCTCGCCGAAGCACGGACACCACTTCTCCCAGGTCCACTCTGCCGTTCCCTTGTGCAGACCGAACAACAGACACTTTGGCAAGGGAACTGGACTGCACAATGGCTGCTGCAGGATGGACGAGTGAGGCTCCCGCCGTCGGCATCAGTAAGTCGCCACAAGGCTATCACGTCATCGCGGGTCATGCGTGGATCCTGGTTGTTCTGGTCAACACCACATATGCCTTGTCATGTGATGCTGGTACAGGTGGCCTTGGGATGTTCCCCCTTATACTGCTGTAACAGTCCTGTATCGTTTTCATAGTATCCCCTAATCGAATCCCTACTAAGGTTTGTTAGTATAAGGGGGAACATTCCGAAGGTGACCTCTGGACAACCCCCACCTGCGCCAAGAGCAGGCCCTCGAACTCACCATAGGACAGCCCAGTGATGCTGGTCAGGTTGAACCTCGCTACCGGAAGAAAGGAGCCTGTAGAATCAGACGAAGACGAGAGGTTCTACTCGCAGGCCAAAGAGGAGGGCAAACATGGTTCTATCATGTTGCGTAGCAGCTAACCATCAGCTCTCCACTGGCCTAGGAATTCACGCCAAGTGGCCGTCGGAACGTGTCGGGCGGAGTGGTCAGGGCTGGTGCCAGACGCCGTGCCTCCAAAACTTTCAACCAGGCTGTCCTAACAGTCCTTAATAGGGATTTGTGTACCCCCCCTATTATAATCCCTCATCCCAAGTTATCTATTTCACCGCGGCGTCTCCATCGATGCCCGAGGCTTCTTCTCAGGCCCTTGCCACACGCCGCAGTGCTGCTTCTGCCCAGCTGTCGCCGCCCTGCCTTGGAGCTTCCCAAAGGGTTTAGGGAGGGTTTAGGGTTGAGGGTTTAAATTAGCACCCGGGCCGCAGCTCTTCAAGACTGTTCAAGAGATCTGTACATGTGGGTCATGCCCTTCGCAAAGAAAAACCTCTATCCCCCCAGCAAAAACTATGTAATGTACTACAGTAAGGCGGGTCCATACTCTAGATCTCCTCCCCCCTTTCCACCCCCCCCGCCCCATCCCCCGCCAAAAATAAAAAAAACAACCCAAAAACCAAAAACTCTGCCTGGCGCCCGGGCGTGGGGCTAAAATGGACGAGCTCTGCAAGGCTCATCTCCGGAGATGGGCCATGGATCCTCTTCAACACAGCCCTAAAAATCCTTTACCGGGTAGGGTTTTTGAGGTTTGAAAGCCTTTTGCATCTGGTTCAAACCCTAAAACTCTAAACCCAAAAGGATTAATCCTTTACCGTTTTTTGGATTTGAGGTTTGAATATGACGTCAATTGCGTAAGCCTTGGCACACTTTGCAACTATGGCAAGTGGCAGAAATATCCAAGAGCTGGCATACTTACACATGGGGCCCCACATGTTCTTGGGCTTTGCGTCTGTAGCCAAACATGGATGTCCGAGATGTCTTGTGGAAAGGAATGTAGATGTGCCAACCCCCCCCCCCCCCCGACCCCCCGCCGAATGCCCAGAGCGGTGTTGGGTATGCCAGATTGTACATGGGCTCTGGGGTTGGACATGTTGTCCCATTGACCCACCAAGCTGCACCGTGTTCTCAGCAACCCCACAAGGCTCCTCCAGAGACGCTCCACGTCAGCAGCTGCTAGCTGTGGCTCAAGAGTGAGGACCTCGGGTATCGGGCTGAAGCTTGCGACATGCTGTAAGCTGTTGATTGTCGCGATGTGGTGGCATCTGCCAGCATGTGCTCGCTCTTTAGGGTGTGTTGTGTCAGAACTCAGCTAGATTTAACAAGCTCGGAAGTGTTTCGCCTGCCCAAACCTCCTCTGGACAGGCGCTCTGCACCCGCACACGAACGCTGTCACTTAACAATTCTTCGGCGTTGGCGGAGAGAAGGCGCACGTCGAATCCGCTTATTGCTCAGCTTCCCACCATTCGATCGAACTCCGTGCGGTTGATGCGATCACCTCACGAGTAGTCCCGCTCACATGCAGACTGGAAGAACACGACATAACACGACCATAGCAGCAATAAGACGATCCCTGCCACAACAGGGACGATTCTTGAGAAGGCCAAGCGCCACTGCACCCTGATACCGAAGAGCTGTTGTCGAGTCAACCCTCTCTGGGCCCTAAGGCAGGCATCAAGGTGCCACAAGCTCACGTTGCTGAACCGTACGGTAAGTCGCCAGCGCCCGGCTAGCGGCAGCAGGTGCGACAACATTGCTGGTTCCAACCTTGCGAATGAGAAAATTCTATTGCAGCCTAGTATTCTTGACTTCTTGACCAACTACTTTCCAGTTGCACTGGTTGGGCTCCTCGTATCTCCATTGCTAAGCAGCCCAGCCAGCTGCAAACTTGTGCTGCCTGCATTTGACGGCGCTGGTCCACCTTCAGGTTCGTCCAAGCAGGTTTCAGCCGACTCAAGGCAAGGGGATCGCCATCTGGCCTGCAGCGGTTTTCGCGGAGGCGCCTGCCTCGGAGTGTATCAAGAATACATTCTTGTCTCCAATGCAAACGGAGCGAACACGACATGCTGTCATGGCTCCTTGTGCGGGAGCCTGGCTGTCAGGTCAGCTTTGTATGGGGCAAAGAACTCAGCACAAGGCTTCCCCGTGCAGAAATCTCACGCGGTCTCGCAGTTCACGTGCCACATTGGGCACTGCATCGCCATCCAGCAGTTGCTGTTGCGGCTCACCGCTGTACTTTATGACGCCTCGGACCAGCTACACCTGCTCTGCATGTCCTGCACCAAAGACACAAACTCACAAAGCACCTTGCGTCTGCATACATCGGAACTTGAGAACGGTTCCTCGGGCGGCGCCGTCAGCTCACCATCCCACCTGCACATCTCGGAGCTTCGCGCTGCCGCCATGAGTTGCCGGTAGGAATAGGAACTTTGCAATTCCAACCTGTGGAATTGCAGAGTAAGCACTTAAACATGCACTTAGGGGAAGACGTGATTTGCACCTTGGAGTGCGCACCCAGGCTCGCAGAGGTGGAGCACCGAGCATCGAACGCTCCGTCAAGCAAACTTCGCATGGTGAATACCAAGCATCGCAAACGGTTGGATGCCTGGAGGGACGAAGGAGAAAAAAGAAGGGCATCAACCACATATAAAGTGATGCTTATTTTTGTACTAGCATGCCGAAATGGAACCAAAACCTTCATATCGGTATTGGTGCCAAAAAACTTCCCGTGTTGACATAAATCGTACATGATCCCACCTCATCCACCGGGTATGTGCGCGAATCTGGTGTCGCCTTCCCGTGAAAATCTGGATGCTGATTGCAGCCATTCCTTGCTTCGAGCAGCGTCTGCTCTCACTTCGTGAGGTTCCCACGACTCCAGCCTCCCCTAAAGGTTCCAAACTGTGATATCATGCCCGACATTAGCTGGGCAACCAGCCATCCTGCTGATTTCGCATCCGGGAGGCGGCCAAAGGAAGGATGCTGCATTTGTGCGACTGAGCGCATTCTGGATTTTGCTGGGAGGCCTGCGTCTTCAGTCAGCGTCCTGGGAGAAAGAAAGTGCACACTCCAAAACTCGCGACGCGGCTAGTGTGCATGTTGCTGTCTGATCAGTCCTGGAAGCTTTCAGCCAACCCTTCACCGTGACATCCACGTCGATCACGTGTTCCGGCTGAGGATCCAAGCCATAGCAGAGGACTATGTACTCTCCTGCTGCAGCAGAACGTCTTCCCAGTGCAGTCAACCACCGGGATGTTTTTGGAAGGCGAGAACATCTGACGTTTGCCAAGGGGCGATCGATACGATTCAGGGCTTTCTGAAACTGCCTGCGGCAAGCTGGCACGTTGGATGTAAGACTGCTCTGACTGAACCTGCAATCCTCATGATGTTTTTATCACTGGATCCGCCGACTCTTCACAATGCCGAGGGGCATCCACAGCAGTCCCTGAAAGGTAGTGGCTGCTATCACAAGTCCAGAACTGGCCACATCCAAACGGTGGATGAAGCCAAATCCATAGGCTGCATGGTGCAGCACGGGGCAGTCCTGCACAAAGTGCAGAACAGTTTGGGCCTTGCCATGCTCTACCCCGGCATTTCTTCACAGATCTCCTCCATTCGCCGGCTTTCTTGCAGATGTGTCGAAAGGCAGCGTGCTTCTGTCTGGTCCGAAGTCGTGTCCACCTCCCACCCAGGAGGTTTGAGTACCACCAGCAAGCCCGGGCTGTCAATTGTTACCCGAGGCATCAGGAGGTGGGCATCCACTGCCAGAGGTACGAGGGGCTTCGTTTCGCACATCTTGTGGATCCCAGCATCCAAGACCCTCGCCATCTGGCATACCGCTTGCAGCATGGTGCACTCCAGCTCAAAGTCCAACTCTGATGTGAAGCTCAAGGCCCATGTCAAGGACAAAATGCTGAATGCCAGTGTCCTTGCCTCCGGCACGAGGTGCACCGCAGCCGTGTGTTGTTTCACCACAGCTCCCGCCTCAGTGACTGCACCAGGGTGCACATATTCAAAAGCACTGCGCGCTTGTTTAAAGCGCCCCAAAATGATTACATGCTTGCAAATCGTTCTGCAGCCAGGATGCTCTGGCCCGGATCTTTGACAGTAGTGGTCGAGTGCGGCTCCCGCCGAGCATGGCCAATGCCCAGGCGAGGTTGGCGAGGCCCTGGGCATCGAAGGCCTCGAGCCTATCCAGCGCTGTGGAAAGGGCCGCGTCATAGAATCGGTTGTGGGCAGCCACTGTGGATGCATGGTGGGAGCTGAATGCCTCAGGGTTACATCAACTGACAGACAGAATTTGCTGGAAGTGTCTCCGGTGCTGATATGTGACCCATGCTGATCCCATGGCCTCATGCTCTGTGGACAAGCTCTCAGTGAAGGCGGCAGAGCAAGCTGCAGCAACATGGCGAAGGCTGCGCCCGTGTGACCCCGAAAGGCCACTGGACATGTGCCATGGCCGAGGCTCCAGGCTATACTCTTCACCCACCAACAGCAGCGGCAGGCAAGAACGATTTTGCTGCGATGGGCTGGAAGGTTGGAGGTCAAGCGAAGGATGGCAAAAGAACAAGCTTAAAACCGTAGCTACTTGCCCCATGGCGCCTTGATGCAGAGGGCTGTTGAGGTTGTTACACGGCGTTCCAATGCCTGATCTGAGGTTGGGGCGCCAGAGAACCGGGGTTCACGGAGAAGACCTGGACAGCTGCTGGGCAAACCTTGAGATATCTTGAGCTGAAAGACAAGGGGATGTCCGGCGTGTCATGAGCACGCATGTAGGTTGCAAGCTGCAGCCTGCCTGAGCAAACGTATTCACGTCGACCCGGCCAGAGTTCCTTGAGACCTTTCCAGCCAGTCGAAAACCCTAAACCCTAAACCCTAAACCCTGACATGTTGTCGGACAAGGGCGGTCCCACGTGTTTTTATGGTGGAGCCTCGGCGAAGATCAGGTCACTTTCTCGTTGGCTCACCTGATAAGATCATGCTTCGCTACGCCACTGCGAGTATCCCATTCCAGCATGTTCAGCCTGTGGGCGATTCTGTACGAAAAACGATGGATGTTGCTGTCATTTGCACAAGTATGAGCAACCTTATCGCAAAATGTGGAGGATTGACTAGACAGAGCATCGATGATAGGCTCTCCATAGCAAAGCAAGTAAACGTTCACTTCACAGTATCTTGGCCGGCAGATGCGTCACAAGCATCCGCGCACAGTTACCTCACAAACTGGGCACGGGACTCTGCAGTCACCGGACACTAGGAATCTGTAGAACTCGGTCTGGTCGAGAAACCCATTGCCTGAGTTGGCATTGTGTGCAGATGAACCAAGTGCAAGATGTTGCAAGCAAGATGCGGTTGGTGTCGAATATGACGAAGGCTTCTTGCACAGTGCATCCTGCCAACGCGCGCACATGTGGAGACTGACGGGTTTGTTTTCACCTGTGCGGTTTTGAGCTGCGACGCGGATGCAAAGCCCTGCCTCTCGATTGCAAAGCAGAGGCTGCCTGCGCTATTCGCGCTCGGACCGCCTGCTTCCAGTGCCCACAGCTTTCCACACACTCTATGCGCCTGGCTTGTAACTACCATAATCATAACAAGGCTTTGCCCACGCAGTGCAGCATGTCTTTGGACTTGCGGTCTAGTAGCACCCGGAGGGCCAAGATCTCACCGAACCACTTTTGCGGCTCGGCTGCCGCAGCCGGAAACTCAAAACCCCAATGCCCCTCAGGCATGTTTCCATGTTGCGAGCCTGATCGACATTGCTCTGGTCCTCAGCCGTCGCTAGGAAGCCCAGGCAGCGTCTGAAGCCTGCAAAGCTTGACCCCTAAACCTTAAACCTTAAACCCTAAACCCTAAACACTACGAAAATGGGGCTGGGGATGCTTCGGGGTGTTTCGAAGCAACACGTGCCTTCCAAGTCCACCATGCCGCAGCCACGGGGGTCGAAATGTCGAAATAGGCTGTCCAGCCTCACCATGACAGATGGGTGTTTATTCTATGAATAGTACGACTTATTGCAGTAGTAATTTAATAACCAGTAGCAGATTAATAATAGTAGTACTAGTAGGTGCGTTTTGCATGAAGCCACGAGCTCGTACGGGGGCCGTGAGGCGATTGAAGACAAAGAGCTGTTGCCCGGTGAGCTGATTGTCGAAGGCATAGCCCATGAGGCTGACTTCATCATACCTCCAACAGAAGGTGGCACACATACCCACCCACTCACCAGGAAGCTGGCAGATCACGACCACGGATCCCAAAACACCAGTTGACGCACGTCTGGTGCCTCAGGTAGCCGATGCCTTGAACGTCCAGCTTCTGAAAAAGGTCAGCGGCATCAATGCCAGCCTGCCGGATTACTTGGTGCTTCTTTTGCATTTTACGAGGGGGGTGTCTTGCCATCGCAAGGCCAAGAGCCCAAAGCTTCAGGGCCAAGGAATGAGGCTCTAGAGCTCAAGGAAAGGTCTGACCCATCTACAATGTTGCAAGACTTGGTCTGATTTGCAAGGGCGTGGATGATCGTCGACGCGGTTGGGGTTCCAGGATTAAGCTTAGCCTCCGAACCAACATAACCAACCATAAACATAAACATCATGTCAACGGAAAGTGGGGATCCAGGGGAAGAAGCTCCCTCGAAGGCATCACTGTTTTTTCACTGCTCCTCGCTGTCTGGGTCATGGACTGGTTGCAGCATTGACGAGTCCGCCCCTGTTTCAGGATCTCCCCAGGTAACCACGGTTCCGTCTTTCTTCACAGCCGCAAAGGCTCCAAAAGTCCCGCAGAGGTGCACAACCTCAGAGAGAATGTCCCATGCCAGGCTGCTGCCAGAGGGGGGGGGAGTTGGCGAGTTGACATGAGTTGATGCGGATGCGCCATGAGCCTAAGGGGCCTCGCCCTGCAGCCGATCATGTCCTACTTTGGCCAGGCCGCATCCCGGAGTGCCGAGGCAACCTTGGAGCAGTCTCCTCCACAGCTCGGATCGCCCCATGCCTCCACGGAGCCATTCTCCTTCCCATGGTTTCGTAGGGTTTAATCGCTCACACTCGGACAAGCCAGGCGAGGCACACATTCGTAGGGTTTAGGGTTTAGGGCTTTAAGCTTTAGGCTTTACGGTGCTTCATCCATAATTTCGTGATGCATGGCGTCGTGAGCATGTGCAAATCTACGCAACCTACATGCCGTTCAGTGAACTTGCAGTGTCTTCCTGAACAGAAACTTCTCCTAGATGCCAGCCCTGCAGCTTATGGTCGAGTCATTGCCAGGCGCCGTGAGCTTTCTGATGGTTCAAGACCCATAGAGAGCATGAACTATAAAGCTGTATATGTGCCAGAAAAGGGACCATTAGTTGGAACACTGGCTCTACACGCACACGAACCGAAGGGCCTTCACGGCAGCAAAGGCCCTGTAAGTGCTGCAGATGTCCACAACATTCTCCAGTCGGAAGTTGGCCCCGGCACCTGGTTCGCCCCAACACACGACCTGACGGCGTCTGGCATGAGTGCATGATCTAGCAAGGTGCGTAGATTCGTACGGTGTCAGCATCCAGACAGCTTGACTTCAGTAGTGAGGGCAGGGGGCCGAGCCGTCCGCTTTTCGCGCAGCAAACGCCCCACCATTGCCGCAAACCTGTACGACGTCCGAGCTCAGTTCATAGGAGAACCTCACAGCGATTTCTGCGAGTCACAGCAGGGACAAAACCAGCGGATGCTTGATGCTTATTGCACGCAGGCATGAAAGCCAAGTTCGACAGAGGAGCTCGAAAGAGTTTCCACCAAAGTCCTCATTTCCCCATGTCCTGACGTAGCGCCACAGGCACAGTTGACTGGCATGCGTTTGCAACAGGCTCTCGAGGTTCGATCGATGACTGGGAGCCTGGCACAACCGAGCCATCCTCCTTCCTCGCGGCGAAGGCGCTACTGGTGTGGCTGAGGTCGACGACTCCACCAGCAAGCTGATCCCATACGTCCAGGCTATCCCCTCCACTGGCAGGATCACCCCAGGTTACCACAGCCTCGGAACAGAACTGATGTTCAAGCATGTAGCGGATGCTGGAAGCCCTGTTTGAAATACAGGCTGCCAGGAAGCCCCAAGCTGTGTTCTAGCTGCAAAGGCACCGCCAGTTGCACAAATCTGCTGCACTTCCTGCAATGGAAAGCGCAATGTGCTGCGATTCCGTGGCTCACTCAAACTGGCAGGCAACAGTCCTGAAGCTGAGACAATACCGCCGAGCAGTCGCCGCCCCACCTTTCATCCCCCCACGTCACCACCTTTGCTATTGGCAGCAGATTGCAGCACGTGAGTGCCTTCATGCGCCGGAGCCACATAACAAGCGCAGTGCTAGCGAGGTACTGAACCATCTGTCGTAACTGCCTTGCATAGAAGAACGGACGGTGGCCCCAGTGTCACTTGTCACGCCACAAACTGTGTATTCAAAAGATGTCTCGTTGCTTGTCAAGTTGCTGCGCAGGCCTTCGCAGTGCCAGATACAAGGACAATGTCTCTCAGGTCAGTCCTGACCTTTCGATACAGTAGTGCGCTTGGAGATTCGACTGCAAAACAAAGTTCGATGCTGGGAGGGCACGACATGCTTGTGCACCATGGATACGCCGGGCTACTGTGCACAGTGCCTCATCTCCCCACATCGACAGACTTCCTGAGATGTCCTACTTGGCAAGAGCAATGCCATCGCAAGCCCCATCTCACATGACATGCTGCTCTCTGTGACTTCAGTCAGGGATCCATCTGCCATAATGCATGCAAAAAGTTTGTACAAGCCTTGGGCATCTGGGCAACATGTCTGAAAAACTCAGGTAACTACATGTTGTGTGGCCAGCCCGACAAGTAAAAGCAAGCAAAGCCAGGTCTCCAAAAACTCGCTTTGCACACGTTCCTGCACCGGTGGAAAGTCATTCAACATTGGTGTTATTCGGGTGACATTCCCGCTGAGGAACCAGTGCTGTTTTGCTGCCAAGCTGCTTGACCTCTCCATGCCTGAATTGTCACCCCCACATGCTGGATCTCCCCAGGCAACCACCTTCGCATTATGATGGCAATAGTGATACTCGGTAAGAGCCGCATCTTGCATGGGCTGATGGATGACTTTCACAAGTGGGACCCAATGAGGCCTCTTGTTTTGAACGTGAAGCCCGAAGCCCGAATCATCCATATCATGATTTTCGGCGAATCGTTGTCGTTGCTATTATTATTGTTATTGCTGGCCAGAGAACGGAACCGTCGGCCTTAAGCGCGGCGAAGGCAGCAGCTGTGTGGCTTACCTGCCCGCCAGACAACTGTAACCACACGAACGAGGGACAATCCGTATACTTTGTGAGCCATCATACCCGCTCCTTTGAAGACTTTGAGTGGCCCATCGCGTCAAACGAACTGCTACATTTCCCAAAGCTTCTATTCTGTAGATGTCTGTAGTGCTTGTTGAACCATCTCCTTCTACAGCTTGGAAGGCTTGGGATGCCCGGCAATTCCCGAATGGCGCTAATGTTTTGCCGTGGCGCCTCGACCACTCCTTTCAGGTGCCGAGCTTTCGAAGAGTCGCCGCCACACTTTGGATCTCCCCATGTGACGACTGACCCATCCACCTTTAGGGTTTAGGGGTTTAGGGTTGTGCCCAGCATCTAAGAGCGAAAAGACACCTCTCCCTGAACCTGGGCGGAGCGGGTTTAAGGACCGGTTCCGATTTTGGTCTTTCCAACCTTGGTAGCTGCAAAAGCCCCGCCGCTACCGGAGATTTTGGCCACTCCCACGAGTAGCCCGTCGTAGCTTGCGTCACTGCTGTCGAAGGCCTTACTGGACCGGTTCAGGGCCAGCCTTCTCGGACGTAGAAACGACAAGTACATCAAATTTTGGATATACTACAACAGAACAGAACATAAACATAAACAAAAACACGAACAATCATAAGCAATATGATACAGCAAACTGGGGGGTGGAGACTCTTCTCCCAAGCCACGTCGTCACCCAAGAAGAATGTGCCGCTGTCATGCATCTCCAGGAAGGCGCGGAAGGTTCCCGAAACCAACGAAATCATGTAGAGTTGGTCTTGAACGTAGGAGGAATCTCCTCCCCAATCTGCATCACCCCAGGTGACAACGGATCCATCCTGACAACATGGAAGCCCTGCCTTCCACAACAATGCAGCTGATGGTCTGTAGCAGTTGCCGCCCCTCTCTCTCAAGGAAAATGCCCAATGCCACAGCAATTCCTTGCCCCCAATTGCAGCACCCCGGCAAAGTAAATAGAATCAAGCAAAGTATATAAATGGAATCAAGGCGCCGTTTTCGTGGCGGCAAAAGCACCATACGTACTGCACAAATGAAAAACTCGCTTGCGTATCCTGCAAGGAAACAACGAATCGTCTAGTTTCTCACTCTCATCCACCTTGCCTTTGTGCCTCCCTGACGGGGAAATGCAACCCTGTGGCTGGCGTCTGTGCTCCTGCTTGCAACAGCTGAGGTCTCACCACCGCAAGCAGCATCTCCCCATGCGACTACTGAGCCATCGCTCCTCCTTGGGCTCACACAAAATGCACTTGAAACCATGCTGTTGCTTTCGCCTTATGCAAACAGAAAGCATGCGAAGACATGTGCAAGCATGAAGGGCTAAGAACCGCCGAGCTGCAAAGCTGCAAATGCACCATACGTGCTGCAAACCTGCAGGACCCGCACAAACACGTTCGACTGTACATATGCATATGCATATATGTATATGCGTATATATACATATATATGCCTGAGACCATCCGGGTTCTTTTGGCTTAGTTTTTACAGAGATAATTTAAAGTTATAAAAGAAAATCTAAATAAACTCAGACAAGTCCCTCTCATATATATATACAGATACATATATACATATATATATATATATGGTCCCCCCCCCCAGTTATCCACCTATTTGGGGGGGATAGGTTACTTCAGAGCTTCGTTACTTGAAAGCTTCAGTCTTTTATATTCTGATACTATAATGTGATGATCTTGTGTAGTTAGTGGTGTTTGTAGAGTGAATAGTGTACTTATATTTCAAGGCTTCAATGGTCAAGTACGATGAGGGACAAGGATTTTTGAAGTTCAATCCGGGTTTTGAACTTCAAAACTCCGGGATTCAAGATTCAAGGTTCCAGGGAAAAGTTTCCCGGGATCTTGAATCCTAGGTCCCCGAGTTTTGAAGTTCAATCCGGGGTTTTGAACTTCAAAACTCCAGGACCCAGGATTCAAGATCCCGTGGAAACTTGTCCCTGGAAACTTGAATCTTGAATCTTGGATCCCGGAGTTTTGAAGTTCAAAACTCACGGGTCTAGTATTCAACATGGTCGTCATATCCCGAGGGTGACGTGTAAGAATTTGTTTCTTTTTCGGTGTGGTTTGCTTATAAGCAGTTGGGTTGCTTAGAAGCAGGGGGGTGGGGGGAGGGGGAGGGGGGTTCTTCCAACTTAGCCCCAGGACCTCTGCTATCCCCCTCCCCCTGCGCTTCGCTCCCCTCCGCTCCGCTCCCTGATTTCTTTGAGGGCTTTTCAGGGCTTATCTCTAAAATTTCCATCGGTTAAGGGTGTAGGTTTTGTAAAGAGAAGCCACGAAACCCTATCGGGTTTCAGATGTTAATCCCTAGGCCGTAAAGCCTAAAGGGTTTAGGGTTAAAACTTCAACCCTCAACCTTTCAACCCTATATTGTTTCAAGGTGCAGCAATTAAACCTCAACCCTTAATCTTAAAACCCTATAGGGTTCAGCTTTAAAGTTTAGGGTTTAAGGTTTAGGCATTTAAACCTAAGCCGGCAATGAAACCTAGACCCTTAACCTATAGGGTTAAGGTGTAAAGATTCAGGGTTGAAGAACTGGGTAAAGTGTATAACTGCCCAGACCTTAGGTCTTAAATGCACATAAAGTATCAGGACTTAAGCCTCAAGTTTAGACATCTAAACCTTTAAACCCTTTAGGGGTTAAAAGCCTTAGGGCTTTCGGGGATTATCCTATAAGGTCTAAAGTTTAGGCAGTACCCTAAACCCTTTAGGGTCAGAACCCTAAAACCCTTTAGGGCTCTAAAAGATTGGAAGGCTGTAACCCTACAGGTGCTGAAGGCATAAATGTCCAGACCTAGGTCTAAGTGCATGTAAAGTATTAGAATTTAAGCCTCAGGTTTAGGCAGTTCAACCTTCTCTAAAAGCCTGACGGGGATAGCCTTTTTGGGTTTAAGCCCTATCGGGTGTAAGGTTTTGGCATTAACCTATAGGATTAGAACCTTCTGAACCTATAGGGCTTGAGGCTTAAATCCCTAACCTTAAATCCCATAGGGTTATTATGCCTATATTTATAGTATGTAGGGCTCGCCTCCTGTGAACATGTACAGAAAAAGTAAAAGGAGTACCCACATCATGTACGTTTAGGGTATATGCATTGTATATTCAAGTACAGAAAATGGAAAAGGAAGGATGGTAGGCCCGAACCATAAGACTAGGTCGGAAGCGTTCGAGCGCAAAGGGTGACGCGAAAAAGACATGTCCTGTAGGCCGTCGGGGACGCGAGAATACTGTAAGCAAATATCCTTTTACTCACACACATGACATCATAACCTTCCAATATACATGCAAAAGGTAGTAGAGGCGGGGGGTAGCATATTTTTTAAGCATACCATGGAAAGCAACAAAACGGTGGATAACAAGGGGGGGGTAGCACATATATATATATATATATGTATATATATACATATATAAATAAGTGTGTGTGTCTAGTGGTTTTACTGCGCGTTATGCTGAAGCCATGCGAATTTCGGGGTGGTGCGGGCATGTTGAGGAGCCTGAGTCACGGCCTTTAGCTCCTCAACACTGTCCGAGATGTCGCCGCCCCAGTCTGCATCACCCCATGTCAGCACGGTGCCATTCTGCTGCAAGGCAGCGAAGGCGCTGTATGTGCTGCAGATTTGCCTGGCATGGCTGTTACGCATCTTGAGTCTAGACTAGTGGGATGCCTGCTATTGTTGTGATGACGTGTGCGACGCCAAGCGGCTGGACGTTTCGCAGATCCGAATCAATCGCGAAAGTGTCGCCGCCGCAAGCAGCATCACCTAGGAAGGCAGCGGCATCCCTGCGGAACTTGGCCTTGTACTGCAATGCCTCTGCTGCCTGGGCGCCCCATGCTACAACAGTACCGTCATCTTTGATCGCCGCAAAAGCACCAAAGTTGCTGCAAACATCGCGCACTCCTTCAGGGAACTACAGCCCCATGACCCCATGTCTGTCATTGAAGCAGCGGAGTGACTGCGGCCACAGCACCAACACATAGTATGGGTCCTTGTCGAAGTCGAGTGCTGTCTAGCTGCTTGCCACCAAGGTCCTCACTTCCCCAGGTCACGACCGATCCGTCGCACCTCACCTCGAGCGCACTCGGGTGGGGTTTAGGGTTTAGGGTTTAGGGATGTTTAGCTTTAACTTGGCCTGCATCGATCACTCATGCATGAACGGTGGGCGCGAGATGAAAAACAAAGCTCAACTCGGCATCATGTACAGGTTGCAGAAAGATGAGCTGCTGCTTTTTCATCAAAAGCTCAAGTGGCGGTCCCATCAACTGACACCCTGCCACAAGGGCCACAAGTGGAATCCGAGAGGCAGCAGCAAAGGCACCATACGTAGCTGCAAGAAGCTTCACGCCGGATCGTAGATGCCCCTCCACCTGTCTCAAGATAGCAGGTGCAAGAGGGCATCAAGCAGCTACAAGCCATCAGCATTCATGAACATCTGCATTCATGAACTGCCTCACCAGGATCGCCACCGGTTGCAGGGTCGCCCCAAGCGACCACAGATCCATCACTCTTCAATGCCTTGAGGTTCAAGCCTGCTGACACTTTGTGCTGATTGGAGAAACTCAGATCTACGCCTGACAACAGCAGCAAGCCACCAGCTGAGTCAAGCTGCGGCAAATGCGCTCCGCGAAGCGCGAACCCTTGGAGAGCCAACAAGTTGTCTATTGGCAAATTCAACTATCTCACATGCGTTCCCAGGCGCAAGACCACTCCGCCAGTGAGGTGTGCGGCCACATCCGAGGATGAGCCTCCAAAGTCTGGATGGCCCCAGGTGATCACAGACCCATCTTCCTCTGGCAGGGTCAAGAAAGAACGTTCGCAACCATTCAGCCTTGCATGAAAAAGGTTGCCCCCGGCCTTGACTGCGGCAAAAGCGCCATAGGAGCCACACACAATGCGCACGCCTTTCCGCAACTGAGAGGCAATGGCTGAAGAGTCCCCACCAAAGTCGCTGTCTCCCCATGTCACGACCGAGCCTAGGTGTAAGCAGCTCGCAAAATCTCGTCCGTTCACAAGTGTGTTTTCAGTTCTCTGTGGCATCTGAGGCCGACTCCATTGGCCTGGCAAGCAGGATGCACGTGCTCTCAGAAAGGCATGGGCGGCTTTGACTCATGATCCCGCAACATCCTCTGCGCCTCTCAACATCCCGAAGCCTAAGCCATGCCCTTCTTTCCTCTCAGCCGCCTTTGGTCCTCTAAGCCATACCTGAACCCGAAGCCCTAGGCCCCTAACTGGCCTTGGTCGCAGCAAAGGCCCTCTTTGATCGCCGTGTCTCCATCTCCGGGTCCTGGTCCTCTTCCGCGGAGTCCACGTCAAAGGCGCCGTAAGTTCCGAAGACCTCTGGGCCATGTAGGGTTCACGAATACAAAATAAACGGAGAAACTATAACACCTATGACAAACATTACGTGTAATATGCAAATGCAGAATAGCACAATCGGGACACAAAAGACCAACTAGCACAAGACAGTAGAATCAACCAAAGAAGTGTTGCCCTCCTAACCGCCCCTAAGCCCTGCTACTGTGTGATGCAGTGCCCGCTCGCGTCCTGGACGGCGCCCTTCATCAACTGCCGTTGAGCTTTGGAGGAGTCCCCACCCCACTCTCGATCGCCCCAGGTGACCACAGATCCATCCACGTCGGACCTGGTAGATCTTAGGTTTGCTGAAGTGATGGCCAGGGATTCTTTTGGGCCTCCTGCTGTCATTCCTTTGAGGACTTAGAGCTGCATGCCCAAGCCGACTCACCCAAAGGCATGGTTTTCCCTAGGTTCTCCAGCTTCTGGCCATGACTTGCAGATGAGTTACCCCAAAACCCTTTTAAACCCTACTAGAAGCTTCATGGGTACTTTGAAGTAAACTCATGAGTAGGCCGGCTGAAAGAGCAACCCTACTCATGGTCTATGCAGCAGCTACACTCCTTGCGATCCATTGGCTTAAGGGCTGCGAAGGCCCGCTCGTGGCGAACAGCTTGGGCACCACAGCTGCCAGTCCACACCACTTGGAGGGTGGTGCCTGGGTTTCGGGGATTCTAAACCCTAAACCCTAAACCCCTAAACCCCTAAACCCCTAAACCCCTAAACCCCTAAACCCCTAAACCCCTAAACCCCTAAACCCCTAATCGGGTTTCGGGGATTGGGGTTTAGGGTCACACCAGGGTGGTACCTTGAGGGTTTCGACTCTCACAGCTCGTGCTCGTTACAGTCATAGAAGGCCATGATGTTTAAAGAAAACAAAAAGAGTTGCATCATGTTATGTCGGGGTGACTACATTTCAAGCGAGGGAGTGCGCCGATGATCCAGCGGGGTTTAGGGATTTGACTTCTTACCGAGAAGCCAAGCGCGGTATTGAGCATGGAGAGTCGATGGTACGGCTTCCTCGGCTCATTTTAGTGAGCTTCAACAACTCATGATGCCTGGAAAGCCGAGGCGAGGAGTGATGCTTCGATGCTGCTATGGTTCACTTCGCGATGGCAGTGGAAAAGCCGGCATGCAATTCCTGACAGGCTTATCAGTTTATCTTTGCCTTGTGATTTCTGGACTCTTCATGCGCCCCCTCTCGCACTCAGCAGTCTCTTCGATCACGTTTGCAGGGCAACGCCCAGTCATGAACGCGAAATGCTGACATTGGTGCATTGGCACTCGGATAAGCTCCAAGCCAGGCTTGGCAGCGCCAACTGACCGGAAGAGGGCCACAGCCTTAGCGATTCCAAACCTTCGGTGGCTTGAGGCAATAGCATGTAACCATTGTAACCCCATCCGTCTGAAAGGTTACACTGTTTTACACGCCATATGAGTGGAAGGACGAGAAGCTCGCTTATCGGAAGTGTGCTCTGCATGCCATAAGAAGCGGCAGACTTCATCTCCGGCAGAGTCCACCAACACGAACTCCATGGTTTATGCTGGTGACCATGGCATTCTGCATCGCTCTGTTTCGACACGTGCTTCGTCAACTGCTGAGGCCCTTATGACGTGACAAAGACTTGCCTGGCATTGAGACTCTTTGTTGCCAGTGCCGTGTCAGAATGGGCGTATCAGTTGCGTCGTGATCACGGAACAGTAAGTTTCCCCGACGTGCACCCTTGGCTTGACATTTCCATGATGAAACTTCTTGCAATCCAGGGTCCACCTTGGGGCCCTTGTTTTAGGTAAGGCGCGTCAGGATGGAGTTGGGGTACTACTTGAGTGCCTCCAGGATTGCGATCCGGATACGATCCAGAACCACCTGCAATGCACCGTCCAGCTGCGAGAGTGACCTGCAGCTGGGAGATTAGAGATGCGTGCAGCAAGGAAAGGCATGGAGAGCCAACCGGCACGCAAAAATATCCAAGTCCCAAATTTGGGGAACGACTCCTGCTCAGCAATGACTGATCCTAGTCTTCAGAACTTCTAGCCTGGATAAGCCCGAAGCTACAAACCTGTGGCCTCGCTGTCTCCTGTGAAGCGGGAGTGGCTCGGTGGTCAAACCCCAGCGCGGCACAGAACTCTGGGAGCTCGATGTAGCCTGGACCCAGAGAGCGCAATGCCCGGAATATGCCGCATGATTCCTATACCTGTGATGCGTAACCAGGACCTCTACACCATGCGAGTATGTAAAGCAGTATACCCTTGTGTTTAGGACCCCAAGAAGGGGCCCTGACTCAAAGCAAAGAACTGATGCATTGGGGCTTAGGGTTTCGCAAATATCACAAAACAAGGGCTGCTTGATTGAAGCGCACATTTTTGCCACCCGCCCAGCACTCGCATGCACCGTGCACATTGCAAAGGTCTGTTTGCGCGTGGATAGGCTGCGATGCTTCTCGTGACTGGAAGGCTTGAGGGATTCACCGAATTATGTCAAGGGTTCGTTGAGAAGAAGGAGCTCTGAACCTTCCCCCGGCCTGATCGATTTCGGCAAACGGTCTGGAACAAATCCCTGAGCTCGTCCACGGTGAGCTCCGGCCTGAACATGCTGGGAACATACTGGGCTTTAACTTGCCACACGGCCCTGCATGAGGGAGGTGCTTACTGGCTTACTGGCATTCTTGGGAGCGGGACCAGAATGTCTGTGCCATGACATTGAGGTCATGCGCTGACAGGCGTCCGGAACCTGCGCTCATTAGCACTGCTAGCACAACGGCAAATGCCCCGTGGGCTGTGATGAAGGCAACTCAATGGCACTCTTCACAAGATCGCGATAAGCAAACTCCATTTTTGCAGAGCCGTTCACTCAGCTCTCCCTGCTTCTCTTTGACGCACGGGCGTCCTGCAGAAGTCACCAGCAGGCCAAACGATTCCCGAACAGGGCTTGGGGGTGGAAGGAATAAGGAGTTTTGGCGTTCAAGCTTTAGGGTGAAAGCTTAAATGCTGAAGCCCTAAGTGCCAGCAAATGGACTCAGTCCTCGGCTAGGTGCGTGCAGGTGAGGCCGAGAGCGGTGATTGCCCGCTGCTCTTCTTCAGTTGCTTGCTTTAAACTTTCCTGCCAGGGGGAGAACAAGGACTACCTACTGCACCCCGATCAGCTGAAAACCATCAAGTCCAGCTCTCGAAGCTCCGGGCTTCGGGAAGTTTAGGATACTTACCAGGCAGTTTGCCGACACCAGGTTGTGCAAGCTGGGCCTCCTCCGCTCCTTCGGGCAGGCCTGTGAAACTCAGACCAACGGCCTCAGTCGTGAAGCGAGGGTTGGGATGATTGGGAGGCGTCGGAGGCATATGGAGGCATCTGATCACAAGCCATCAGGCACAGCTGAGAAATCAGACACACTCTCCCCCCTCCCCAGGAACACATGCAGGTGCCTCGCAAAGGAGCTGCAAGCCTGCATTCTCAAAGGCGCGCCGCGCGACACAACGCTGCACCTCGGGTCGGTTGGGGACTGGACTTGCTTGCGGGGAATAGCATGCAGCTCGCTAAGCAGGATCTGTCAGTTTTGCTCACTTCCCAGGTCGGTCGCTTGTACAGGGGGTTGAGGAATGCATACCTGCACGGTAGTTCCTGTGAGGACTCGCGGGAGTGGGGCCAAGTCGGAGAAAACCGGCTTGCTCCGTTAGTTCAGGCCCGGTTTACCCAGATGGGTTTTGAGACCGATGGCGACAGCTTGAGGAGTTTCACCCGGATCCGTAGTGCTAGGCGTATGTCGTACACGACATGGCCACTACCAAAGAAAGAAAGAATGCTCTGAACAAAAAAGATGGAGGAATGGTAAGATGTGCAAGACAATGCCAGATCCACATCAGCGAACAGGAGAGGACTTGGCATGTAAGATCGGCGCCAGCAGTGTGAAAGAATAGTCTTCGACAAGGAGCGGATCCTGACTGAAAGTGCGGGATGGCAGCAAACGGAACGGATAAACAGTTCCGACAAAGACACCAAACAAGTTGTCCATGGCCTGTGCGTCCTCTCCTTCCAGCTCAAGCTCGAAATCGTCCAAATTGCGTACGAGGTGGAGGTGCTGTGCCTGCAGCGTTCTACACATGGGTATGCGTCGAACACTTTGGGTAAAGTCTCGCGTTCTGCCTCGTGGGTTCTGCTGGACTGGCTAGTTCTCTGGACAATCCCTTGTGTGGGAGTGTCAGAACCTTTTTGGCGTGAAGCCGCAAACATGACGTGCAACCAAAGAACATCGAAGCCCAATTCAGCTAGGTTCCATGGCCTACAGCCTGAAGGTCAAAGATGCCTGGCCTCACGTCCTGTTCTCAGAATGAATAATTAAAAATGGAAAAACAGTAATTTTAGTATATAAAGGTACAAAGATATCTTTATTTAGAAATACAGTAATTCATGATAAAAAAAGTAAGATTCCGTAGCACAAAGCCCTCCCACACCTCTCAAAGCTCGAGGAGTTTCTTTGGAATTCTCCGGCCTCCAGCAGCATCTCAGCGTAGCTGCGAGAGCCGCGGGCGGCTGCAGGAAACGCTGGTGCCTCGACGTCCTGGTGACTTGGGCTGCGTGTTCGGATGTTGCCCCTTATAAGGCCCTCATAGTAAGAGTCCTTCATAGGGAGTATAAAAGGGGGTACTATAATCCCTACTAAGGACTGTTAGTATATGGGGGAACATCCCAAGCTATGTGTTGCTTTAGACTTCAAGTCATTTTGTCCTTCTTTCGTATGCATGAGCGCGGAGTTTTGAGCTGGAACATGATTAGGAATTTGACCTTTTCGCTTGCCTGTAACGCTAGAGCAGCAAACATACAAGCAGAACATCGGCATTCTGCTTCACATCGAGGATCCGGTTACTTCCAAGACCCGGGTTCAACCAGACTGCAGAGTGCACTCATGGAAGACATAACCGCGAGCATGCGCCCTTCAACTCAGGTGGACATCCTCCTTGACAACTCAGGTGTTAGGTCAACAGGGTACAAAGGTTCCCGTGCCAAGGCTAGTGCCTCTGAGAAGACAGGATGTAAAACTGAAGGGCCACTTTAGGGTGCTACTGTGGCTTGTAGCAGGCCTTCGGCTCTCGTCACTTGTGTGCGAGTAGGATCTTGTAGAATGATTAAATGCTTTGCGCTTGGGTTGCTTGTGCTCCATTCGGGAAAGATGCCTCGCAAAGGTGCCACAAGACGCGAGCAGCACCGCGGATGTCGGCATTGCAGAAGACCTCCTCCCAGCCAGTGGATGTGCAGCAGAGGCCTCAGACTCTGCTCAAGGCAGTCAAGTCCAATACGTGCCTGAATCTATGCAGCCATGCTACTGTTTTGTCTGGCTTGGCTGGGTCTTCCTGTATGTAGTCTGTACCAGAGGGTTCGAGTACAGAAAACAGGGTAAGGGCTGGAGAAGGCTGGGTCCATACGTGGCCGAATGTAGCGGCTCCAATCTATCGGAAGAAGTTGCTTTCAAACAGCAGCCCCTCAATGATGCGGTCCAGATCGTACGCAGCATCTTATGTACATTGTAGACTGTCCCCTTTTCTTACCTGATTGCTGCAAGAGATTCCATGTAAAAAATATGGCATGTAGTGCATGTCAGTCCACTTCCTGCCGCGTGTGGTGGTCTCTGGTCTACAAACGAGCACGGCTTCATAACAGGTCTCAAACATGCAGGACTTGCTGCTGAGGGGCAAATGGCCATGTCACTCAGTGATGCTGCAAGGAACGCCCCGAATCCTGAGCAGAATGGTGCTCGATCGGAGGGGCAACTGCATTGCACGAAGTGCACTTCAAGTGCTGCCTGGCGACGCTCCGTGACCAATCTGAAAGCTTCAAGTTTGAGTGGTGTCTGGGGAGGTGCAACCATGACCAGCCTCGATTTGCCCATTATGCTGGGTTCACATGCAAGTAGTAGAGCTGATATGCAGGGCGTTGGTAAGCACATGTAAGGACTCAATGAACAAATTGTCAAGCATTCACTTGTGTCCGAATATTTTTCACTCAAGTCAAGCGACATGGTGTTGGCGATCCTCGGTACGGTGCAAGCCACCCGGATCGTACATGTAGGCAACACAATGTGTGTTTGCCCGGACGACACCCCTTTGAGAATGATTTGGCACAATTTATGAGATAGTACCTCCTTTGCTGTTCAAGACTTAGTGCTGTCGTGGATCTGCTGTGGCGTGAGCGTCCTGTCTCTGTCCAGCCGAGGCAAGATGTATCTTCGGAAGTTGTCAGGCCGAAGAAAGAACTCGGTTCTCGGAGCAAAGTGCAGAATTGATCGAAACCTTCCGTGCAAGGGCTCGGAGAAGATGTCCAGAATCCCATGATTGCCCACCCGCTCATCTGCTTGGAAGAGTGCGAGTGTGCGCAGAATAATGTCCACGCCGCCGAACCGGAGAGCTTTCCTTGTTTGCAAGGGTGGCTTTGTGTTTGTAAACTGTTGCGTTGCCACAAGTTTTTTTTAAGGAAATCAAAAGAGTGACGGGCAGACTGAGCATGAGCAACTTTCGGAAAGACTCTCCCCGAAGTAGCCGCGGTGACCAGTGATCTCCAAATCTGTTGTTTGACTTTGGTGGAGGACGGCGAAATCGTTCCACAAGTCCTCTACGATGCATACTGTCAGAAGCTCTCAGCTGCACACGCATGCTCAGTCTTATGATGCTGCTAGCCGCTAGCCACGTTCATTGGACAAGCAATTCTGCTGCTTCTTGTTCCTGGAAGCGGCACCTTTTCTCTAGGTGTTTCAGGGACGATTTATGTTCCTTGAAGGGTTCGCGGTTGCACTTCGAGGTTCTCTCCACGCAAAAGAGTCAGAGGCAGCACCAGCAAAGAATGCTCAAGCAAAACCTGAAGAACCACGTACTGCCATGTACACCATTGCCCCGATTCTGCTCACGCAAAATTTTCTTGCTTTCGCAGAGATGATGCCCGACAACTCTTGAAGATCAAGCAGAAAGCCCTCCGTTTCAAGGCTTACGGCCTCAACACTTTGGTCCCCCGACAAGACTCACAAGTCCTCCTGCGGCTTGCCGCACCACATCAGAATCTGTCGTCCGAGCCAGCGGATGTCCGGCAATTGTGTTGCCACTGCTGCAAGCTCCTTGCTGAGGTGCAGGGGCAGCATTCGTGAATCAACCTGTAAGTTCAAGACTGGCAGCTGCAGCATCAGCATACGGGCGCCTGCGGCGGGCAACCTTTTCTTTGCCCCATGGACTAAGACTAAGAATTAACAGATTGCTCCTCTCACATTCTTTTAGTGGCACTTTTGGCCTCACAGCAGGTCAACAGGTGGTCCGTTGGCCTCAGCCATTAGGAGCTGGGTGTCGGAGAGCGGAGGGCCACGATCCTTTAGAAAGTTAAGAAACTGATCAGGATCGTCATCAATGCCCCCAAAGGCTTTGTCCAAGGCAGCCATTGGGGACTCCTCCTCCTGGATGGGCCCCTCCCCTGGCAGGCGCAAGACTGCTTGCAGCTTGGCGCCCTTCTCTGTGAGCCCCGCTGCGACGCCGGCACCCTCTGCCAAGCTGGGTGTGATGAGAAAGTCTACCTGATAGGCCTCCTCTGGAATGTCGGGCTTGTTGGAGGATGCGCCCCTGCTGAGAAACTGCCCGAACGCCTCGTAGGCCACTGCCGCGCCCGTTTCTAAGTTCACGAAGATGAAGCCTTGCTCCTGCCCAGGGAGATGATTGGGTGAGGCCTTACTTGGGGCAACGGGGGTTTCTGCATTTTTCAAAGCCCAGCGCGACCTGCTTTTCCCAAGGGAAGCTGCCGGAACCGGGCGCAGAAAGAACGCCAACTGCCGCCGCAGCCTTATCCTTGCCCTGCAAGTAGCCTGAAGACAGGGCCCATGGAGACTCAATGAGGGAATATACTCTAAATATTCCTTAGGCTATCTTGGGATCCTGAAGACATATTCCTCAATTCGGGTCTTGACCTCTTCGGGGCATTGTTGCTGGGTGTCACGTGGAAAATGGAAAACCGATCCGACTCGTCTAGCTGTGCAAACCGTGAGCCCATCCCTTGTCTTAGTTCAGCATGCAGCACCAAGCCGATTGCCACCCAAGCGGCACTGTCCACCCGGGCCATTCTGGAGAACTGCCAGGTTGCGTACCATCATCTTGGCCAGCTCTTGCCCTGCCTTCTGCGACGTTACGAACTTGACTTTTGTGAGCTTCATCTTGTTGACTGTTGGCCGATGGAAGAACTCCGGTTCTTCGGAGGAGAGGAAGACATAGTCGAACTCCTCATGTACGTTCTCCGGCTGCAGCGAGGAGCCCTCCAAATTTGGATTCACTAGAATCCTGATGCCTCCCATCTCCAAGATGAAGCTCCCTCTGCCTGAGCCGACTGCCTGCACTCGCAGGATACGTTGCAGATCTGCGAAGCCCTTGTCCTCGCCAGATGCCCGGCTGACTTGAACCAACCTCGACGAATCTGATGTCCCAGGTCTTCTTGTAAGCCTCGAAGGCTGAAAGCCCCAAAGGGGGCTTAGTCTCCGGTAAGTGGATGCTGACGCGCTTTGGTCGGAACAAAATGCCGGGCTTGTCCAAAGGGCAGTCATGGCAACCACTGTGACGCAAACAAGCGGACATCGTCGACTTGTATGTGAAGCCATTGGTGGCAAAGGGACGGCGTACTGAAAATCCTATCTTTAAGCATGTCTGCAGCCCAAAGCTCGGCACATAGCTTGTGTTGACCGTGGTCTCGCAAGATGTCTCAAAAAAAACATGCCCCGAACATCCGAACTGTGTAGTCAACAGAGTACTTATTGTATTTACTGTTGTTATTATTAATAACTGATAAATACTTTTCTTCTTCTTCTTATTGTGATTGTTATTGTTATTATAGAGTCGCCAGTAGCTGAGAGCTCCTGCCACGAGCGGCTTGAGACGCCGGGTGTCTCCGGGGTCAGCCCTTGCAACGGTGAGGCGCCCACGAGCCGCCGTGCGATGCTGTCCGAGACCTCCAGAAGCAAATGCATCTCTCTTGAACGGGCAGGGCTTAGGGTTTAGGGTTTAGGGTTAGGGGTAGGGATCTCGGAGCAGCCGTGCAGTGAGCTCTTTCCGAGTTGTCTCGGCTGTGGCTCTGAGAGACGTTCAGGCCGTTGCCTAACCCGGTGGTGCCTCCAGATGTGGCAAGCAGAACTCAGGACCAAATTCCAGACCACGACCACTGCATGGCCCTGTTCCAGCCATAGCGCTGAGGAAGCAGCGCAGCAGATCCCACAGCTAGCTGGGCTGAGGCTACGAACAGAAGTGTCAAGATATGGTGCTATTGCAGTTGAGCGGTTTCGTAGGTGGAAGGAGAGGAAGTGCAGGGCTACATGCAGCTTGGCCACGCAGCGGCTGTTGGCAGCAAGTCTGGCTTGGATCAGGCAGGGCAGTGCGAGTGAGAGCGCACGCGAGCGGGATAGAAAGAGAGAGGAGAGTTAGAGAGAGAAATAACCCATTGAGCAGGCAGGCTGTAGCTGACAATAGCTGACAGCTTGCAGCTGGCATGATTTTCGTGACTCGCCCGCAGCTTATCAGAGTTCGACTTTGCGAACCAGCCCAGCCTTGCGCAACCTTGGGGGACACGAGAGATGCATCCAACAATGCAGCTGCCACGACAGTGCAGCCCAAACCCTCACCAGCATTGGGGCACAGTGCTTTGTCAACAGTGTGGCATAGACTTGTTCCGCTCTGGGGCCCCTTCGGCTCAAGCAGGGAATACTCGACGAAAGCTGCAACGGACACAAAGAAAACCACCTTAGCCCTAGCTGCTTGCATGAATTGCACTGCTGCCATGCGCGTCAAGCTCGCTGACTGACTTCTTTGGGAGTAGGTGCATGGCAAAGTGGGCGAAGACGTAGACGCCGACCAAGACTGTGAAGTTCTTTTTGGAGATGACGCCTGCAGGCTCTGCAGGCTTATTGGCACTGTCCGGGTTTCTTGCACCTAGGAATGGGGTTGCACATCAGGCAAGCAAGCTTCGAGCCTGTGACAATCACAAGCTGTCCTGGCTGCGCAACAGCACGAACAAAGTGTCGCACATCCCCGCACAGCTACACTGTGAACACAGGCCGCTTGACCTGCAAGCACAGCAGCGCAGCCGCACAGCACCACAATGGCAGCAGGAGGCAGCCGAGCCTGGCAGGCTGATAGGCTCTTGTTTTTCGCATGCAGGACTTCCTTAAATCCTAAACCCGGCCTTGAGGCTGGCTAAGTACCATCTTGTCAGAACAATTGGGCCGCCACGCTCCTTCTGCAACTTGAACCGTAGAAGCGCAAAAAATTGCCTTGCTGCCAACTAGGTCCCTACGAGAATCTGCAGCGATGATCGGAACACATGGCCGGTAAATCTTGCGCTGCAAGGTCCTCCGGTGGCAATGGGAAGAGTCGGTGGGGTGCTTGCGGCCTCGCAAAGTTGCCGGCGTCAAATCTTATCCCCGAGCCTTCTCCCCTCTCGGCGATGATATGCGCGTGCCCCCGCCCGTGTTCTTTCGCATCAGCTCAGCACAAGCTTTCAACTCGAAGCCTTTTGCCGGAGTCGAGGCCATGGAGCATAGCCTTGTCAATCAGCTCTCGTTGACAGGAGTTCATATTTCGACAGCAGAGGCTCCCACCAAGTGAGCTGTGACATTCCCGCCAGATGTACCCAACTTCCGCGCGAACAAGACCTTTGCAAAGCAAGCGGGGGTTGCTCCCTTCCCCCCCCCCCCCCCCCCCCCCCCCCCCCCCCCCCCCCCCAAAAAAAAAGGAGCTTTCCTGAGTCCTGAGAGTTTGGCCCCCATGTCTGCCAACGATTGAAGCAAAGCATCGCGATCGGCTGGCAGGAGGCCACCCCCAAGCAAGGGACTCTTTGCCTGACAAGACAATGGTGCTTCCACTCTTTCCGCTTGCTTCATCCGAGCCATTTGCGCGAAGCCGCCAGGAATCCGTTGCGGAAGTTGGTGGCTTGTCTTACTGCGGGTTCTCTGAGCTTCCCAGCTCGCTTGAGGCTGGGCTGCTCTGCCACGCCACCTGCATGCCGGTCCACATTTCTAAGAGAATTCATCGCCCTTGGCCTCCTCCCGTTCATCTCATCAGCTAATCAAGTCCCACAGCAACCCAAAACCCTCAGCCCTAAACTGTTGGGACTCTCTGAATTGCTTGACGATGTGCTGTGCTGTCCTTTCTGCAACTGATCTCAGGCACTGGCAACCAGGCCAGGGCGCGTACCTTCCGTGATTTGAGGGCTGAGTCATTTCTATCGCTGGCCCGGCATCTTTCGACTATCATGATAGCAGATGGGGACGAGGCTGCTTGGTCTTCTACAGGGCCCCTTATTCTCTCTTGAAAAAAATGATTAGCCGCACGCCGCACTGCAGAAGTATGTAAGTTTTGCATCCAGGTCTCTTCACACTGCTGGGCAAGACTATATATGCAGTCGCAGAAGTATGTAAGTGAATCACGAAACCTCTCTGCATACCTCTCGCTTTCGGTGGCAGCTCCAGGGCACAGAATGCACTCAGCTCGCACGCCGAGATCTCTGAGGCCGTCCTCGAAAAACTGGAGCCCTTTTGCCGCCTTCTGGTATAGCGGCAAGTCAGACCTCAGCCAATCTCTGCTGGACGTAATAATATGGCTACCAGCACGTCTTTCAGCATGCGGCAGTTCCATGTCGGAGCTTGACCCTGAAAGCTGCTCCTGTGCTCACGGTGTGCATAATTTCAAGATTGCTCCGGCAAGTGATCGTGACGAAAGTCCTCTGCCAGCGCCAGTGTCAGAAGTGGCAAGACTTCGTCAGAGCAAAGCCTGGGCGGTGTTCAAGCATAAAGCCTTACCCCCCCCCCCCCCCCCCCATTCTCGAATAGCACCCCCTCCCCCCCCTCCCCCCCAAATACTCCATATAGCTAGAATGGGAGTATTCAATATTAGGAGGGGATAAGTTGAGTATCCAGTCCCGGCGGCGGTTCGCCCAGATACGCAGACTCGAAGATTGCGTCCGCAGCTTTCAGTGCCCGTGCGCTCGCCACCCGAAGGGCATGCCGTCTGCTCAGTGCCAGCCTCAGGCACTTTGGATCTTGCAGGCAAAATGCTTCAAAGGAAGTGAAGTTTGGGCCCTGGCCACTGGTGATGCTTCAAGAGCAAGGACCTTCCCATTCCCAGAGCAGCAACGCAGCACCGAAGGCCTACGCAACTGGCACCGCGAATCTTAGAGCAGATGGACAAGCTCTGTCTTGTGTGCACCTGGCCCAATGCGGCTCGATGCCTTATTGTTTGGGATCGGTTCCATGCTCACATCAGGCAGAGAGCTGCACTTCCCTGGGCTAAGCACATTCAACGTACGAGGATCACGTTGAGCCACTTTGGCAGTCTGTGCTACAACGTTTGGCAGTCTGCCCGTGGATGAAGATGATTCTGAAGGCCATTGCTTCCAAGAGCATCTTGCGAGCCAAGATGCCATGTGCGCAATCATGAGGCACCTCAAGGTCCCTCACCCCAGCTGGACAAATCCGGGACCTCAGCCCGGTTTTCTTAGGGCAAAGATGTCAGACAAGGAACTCATAGTTTGTCTGGCTCAGGTCCAGAAAGCACAGGCAAGCTTCAATGGCCACAAAGGCTCGAGCAAAGGGTCGCCGTCATGATCGAGCAGTGAGCTCCTGGGCCATTTCTCTTCTTCAGACGCTGCAAGGATGTAGAGCTACACGTGCCAGTCATACAAGTAGTTGTTTGTGCACCTGCTTCTTGGCAATTCCTCCCCTCTGGTGAGGATTCAGAGCCTAGTAAGAGCCAGGCACAACCGTACCTCAGCAATCTGCACTGGCGGATTACCGGCGGACTGGGAGCTTCTGTGCTGGTCAGGAATGAAAACGTCAGGTACAAAAGCCGGTAAGTTCAGCACTTATCGGCCAAAGCGGCGTGGCCTGAGAGCAGACTTGTTGCAACAACCTGTCCCCTAAAGCCGCAGGTGATGATCCAACGAGCGAACACGTTCTATTTTCCGAGAGTTTCGGTGGTCAGGCGAGAAAGGGGCTGTCAGACCCTTCTCTTCGTCCCCTCATGCCCGTCGTCGGCAGGCTGGGGAGCATCGTGCCACCTGGGCCGTGGCCTGTGTGTCGGGGCCCTCAAAACACGAAGGCTTTCCCCTGTAAAAGGCTGTACATCAAAAGCGCACATCTGAATTTTCCATCTACATTGAGACTATATACATCCGTGCACCTCTAGCACAAATACCAAAATGGGAAGGGGCACAGGAAACAGCTTGCATGCTACAGGCAGAAGCCGAGCACACTGCAACCTGTACAGGGATAAGAGACACAATCGTATCAACACGTGCCGCACTACCTGACTTGCTGGCTCCACTGGCCGCAAGTATGCGCAAAATTGTGCCTACGGCCAAATTGCCAAACAAGGCGATGTACAAATGCTACAGCAAGCAGTACACGCCGGTAAACGGCACCAAGATGAGTGCTGCCAAAGCAAATTGCAAAGGCGCTTGCAGTGTGCGTTGATTTGAGGCTTCGGACCATTGAAAATGCTGCCCTGTCCTGTCGAAACTTTGACAGAGCTGATAAGTGAAACAGTGCCGCTAGACGGCATCCGACGGAATTGGGGTCCCTGTGAACGGGAGCAAAACCAAGCCGTCTTACCGCACAGGAGTCAATGAACGATATTACTAGCCACGACCAGCTTTGAGCTACTCAGCCATCTCTAGAACTTTTCAGTTCAAACGGCAATGTTTCTGAGCACCGCTTCGTAGCCGATGAGGAAAGCCTGGGAAGAAGCAACCGACTGTCCTAGCAATGGGCGACTTGGCTGCACACGCAAACCTATCGTTTCACGAAGTCGGTCTCTCGAACTGTTGTTCGCTTCTTGTGTTGCCCTTGCCTGCAACGTAGTTTGATGTCGCTGAGATGCATATGTTATGCATTCTAGGTGGCCCTGCTGGTGATGAGCTTGCACATGGCGTTGTTAAGGTTTGCTTAGTGCCTCTGCTCTTGCTGCCAGCTGTTGCCAATGCCTGAGTTCCCTGCAGCTCCTTGCAATCCACTTGATGCCACTTTGGTTGGAAGGCCACGTCCGAACAAACCTGCCAAAGCAGGAAAGAAAACAAAGCCTGTAAAAATCATAAGACTAATAATCATGGTAATTAATGATGACCTTTCCTCCCTGATGGTATACACAAACCGATCCGAAACCCCGGGTGTTAACCTCGAACTCCGTCGTGTTGCAGCAACTCCTTGATCGCACCCTGGTAGGAAATGGAAGTTCCAGCGGTTTGCCGTATCGTTTTCAATACCTCGGCTGGGTCTGTAGGATTGCGCAGGAAAGTTCTCGCCTGGATGAGAAAAAACCAAACTCCACGATCACACTGGCTTAACTGGCTTCGGTGGCAGGTGGAATCATCTTGGCAAAGTGGCCCGAAGGAAGTTGCTACAACAATCCCCAGCCACATTTGCCGCAAATCCAATGCTGGCACCCCTGCAGAGAGTGATCACAGCTCTTGCAGCTACAAACAGCATGTCCTGCCTTGAACAATGGCAATGGGCAAAGCACGAGTATTCATCTGCTGAGCTTTTCCACATACAGCGTACGCAGTTTAATGCAATTGTTGCGGTAGTTGTGTCTTTCCGTGGCAGCGTGCCTCGCCTCGCCATTTCTGAATTGCCAAAGGCCGACACTGGCAACGTGTCGTGGAGCCAGTTGTTGGTGAAGCACCAGGCATAATGAGCAATCCACGTTCCCGTCAAACATCCTGCGCATTCTCAAAATTCGCAGATGTTTCTTTGTTTTCATGGGATGCCTTGAAGGTTTGGACTGGGTTCTTGGGTGCATACGAGGGCTTTTTTCAGGTGTTTGAGAGAGTTTGTAGAAGGTTTATAGACAACTTCTGGAATGCAGCCCGTGAGTCCTGCAGTGCCTCGCCACAGGCTCAAAGGTCGACTTTTGGCTTCCACCATCAGCAGGGCCAGGCCCTGCTGACCATTCACTTGCTTTGCCTTAGATTTTTCGAAAGAATGGAGTCTCGGAGCTGTGCATCGCTGTGCATCGCTCTCATCAATTGCTAGGATGTAAAGGGAACAAATGGAAAATGACTTGCGGATCTTGAAAGCAACGACTTGGTGGCTTAGAAGACAAGTGCATGCGCGACATTGCACTGTGTGATGCGCTGCTTGACATCTGGGGTTCTTTGGTAGATCCCAACCTTGTGACGCATCCTGGTGCGAGGCTGAAAGGAAGAGACTCAGTTTGCAAATCGGAAACCCCACATCTTCTCGCAAATCGAGGCTGTAATGTTGCTTCGAGATCACACGAAACCACTCAAACATAGCACCATATCCAACCTCGCTTTCGACTGCAGGTGTCGATGGGCCCCAAAATTCAAGGAACAAGGACTCAACGTTGTAACCATTGCCAAGGCGGTGGCTAGCGTCGTACATGTGCTATGACCCTTGCTCCGCTGTCATCTAGCAAGTTTGCATGAGTATCAAAGCATCATAGCCGAACCAATGCAGGTGAACCATTCTGTTGACACCCCGGGTTCATAGTAGGCAATGAGGGAATTAGGGCCCTATATATACCCTTTAAGGGCATGTATAGGATACCTCATTCCCTCACAGTGCAGCTTGGAAGCTGTCTGCCAGGCATCGAGTGGCATGAGAAGGATCTTCAATCCAGTGGCCGCGGCCGAGGACAATGCTGCAGTAGCTGTGTGGGACAGTGAGTGATTGGCCTGAGCAGCACCGGGGTCGTTTCTCAGGTGCTTAAGATTTCAAGACCTGAGATGGAGATCTGGGTCGGTTGCAGGCATGCTGTTGCGCGTCATCGGCTAATAGCTGTATATTTGGGCAAGATTGAGTATAGCACTTCTGTCATGAATTGACACATGTGGGACTGAAACTGACCATCGCGAAGTTTCCAGTCGATTATCCTACCTTGAGGGCCTGAGCAAGCACGCCTGATTCTCAGATTCGAGCTGTTGCTGAAAGAAGGCCTTCGTTGACGGCCAAGCCACCTGTTTTAGTATCACTTGCAGGTGCAGAGCAGCACTGTTGCTGAATCTTCGGGGTTGTCTTCGCAGAACACAGCGTGTGACTGCAACGAATCCGAAGTTCATGGCAAGCTGCCGAATCGCAGGATTGGCGACTGCACCAATGCAGGGACGACGCCTGACTTCAACTTCTGCTTCCGCTTGAGCTGCCAAATGGTATGTGGTATGCAGTATACATAATATGTACACATATATGTATATGTATGTATGTGTGTGTGTCTATTCAATGTGTATTCATATCTGTACATAACACTGCATGTTGTAAGTTGTCGCTCGGGCCATAGTGCAAACCTCAAGCTTATGATCCGACTTCTTAGGATCCCCCAGGCCTGTAACTCAAATACAAGCCCTCCTCAAGTAAAACTCTGGGGGCAGTCGTCCCGGTTAGAGAATGCTAGAGAGGAGCCGGCCTCCGACCTGTGCTGAAGCTCAGAGGACTTGCCAGTCGTTGCTGAGGCTTCAATGCTTGCTACTACTAGCAGGGGCATTTGGGTCAAATTAACCCAAGAGGTGAAGGCGACCGCCTCTCGAGAACGTGTTGGATAGGGGATTTTCACATGTGCCCAGGTGGGGCGCGGGGGCGGGGGGGGGGGGAGGGGGGGAGGGTTTATTGATAGGAGATCAACAGCAAGCACGTCACAATCCGGGTGTGATATGGCTTGACATTCTGCATTTGTCGTACATTGCGCTTGAGCGGCGAGATTTCATAGGGTGGGGGAGCGATCCCAGGAGCATTTCCCCCCATCAGCGGTTATTGTAGATCATGGCTTGGAAACCGTGAGATCTCAATTATCCACGTTCACGGTCTTGATGCCAGGCTTTTGTCCATGCTATCTTTAGAAAAGAGACCGCACCATGGAGCAGGTGCTTTCATCTGATGACTTTTCTGCCTGGTTGTTGGAACAGAACGAGTTCATGAACTTCATGTCTGGAGTTTGGCTGGAAAAGGGCCATCCTTCCAAACAATCGCACAGAAACCTCCAGGCTCTTGTCTATTGGGCTCAGACTTCGGCTAAGATGTACCGCAATGTAGACAAGCCATCTTGTTGAAGGTGCAACACGACCAGAGGTCTCACGGCTTCAAGGCGCTCTGACATTGAAACTGAATCAGCATCCCACTGTTGCAACACCATTAAGCTAATGTAGCCCCCCCTGGCCTCGGTAAAAGCGGCGAGGACCACCTTCTGCGTATAATCTCCGTGCAACATCCAGCACTCGACCACCGTGCCGGTACTGGTAGTTTGTCACAGTTCGCCTGACTTCGGGGCGTGCCGCATTGAAGAAGGCATCCCGGCACTGAGTGTATAGTCATAGCTGGACGTGCATGTCATTGCTTTGTCAGTTGTTCTGCTTACCCAAATTCCCTTAAATAATCAATTTTCGGAATTTACTCAGAAGCCACGGCACATCCACATGAAGGCTGGAACGCAGATGGCTTGGACCACCGCCGCGGCAACACCGCCCCGAAGTGCACTGGCACTTGCTTTGTCCATACAGACCCTGCACACAGCAAAAAAAAGCAAGAGCGGAGTACGACGGTAAACGGCGCTCAGCAGCCTCTGCTTGGCATGTGTGTGTGTCTGTTGCATGTGACTTCGAAGCTGCCTGGTGCATGCACACAGCGCCACAGTCTGTCAAACCTTTGCAAACTCTAATGACTTTAGTAATCGCTTGCTGCTCCCCTGCCTGTCCGTCTGGAAAAAGCACATGGTTGGTTGCAAAGAGCTCTTCCACTGGATGTGGACTCGAAAAGTGCTGCGGCATCAAGTCCCCGATATGCGCATGCGAGCTGTTGGCGTTCAGCCCCACCAAAGCACCATTGATCAACACAGAGTGTCACGTCACTTCGGTTTCTTGCAGTGGTTCGTCAACAGTCATGCAGAGCAGCAGTCTGTAGTAATTCTGGAAAGCAATGCAACGACATGATGCCAAATGTCCTTGAGCAGAGTGCATGCAGCTGCTAGGATTCCGGCGTCATGTGGCAGCAGAACAAACATTTCCGCTCCCGGATCATCCATCAACGCTGCTTGCAGCAGCGCCACCTGCATGGCACCGTGAAGAAACAGCCTCACAGAACTTCCGCCGCACCAAGGAGACCATGCAGGGGATGGTGCATCCGAGGTCCACTCTCAGCCTTTAGCTGTTCTGGGTTCTTGGTGGCGAGGCCAGCAGGTTGCAAGGCCGAAGGAGGAGCAAGGAGAGTCCGCAGCTGTGGACAGGCAAAAACGAAGGCTGGAAGGACCTAAAGCCCCCCCCCCCCCCCCTTCCCTCCCCACTGCACCACTGCAAAAGGCAGAGAAATATTCCGGATGTACTAAGTACGTCAATGACCACTGCAGCTACCAGTTCTACCAGCAGCGTGGCTCGGACCCGTGCCTCTGCAGCCATCAACTCGCACCATCCGGTCCCGACCTCGGCTCTGCACGACAATTCAGCCGCCTTGAATCTATCTTCAAAAAAATATATGTATTTATATATATATATAGATAACTTCTTTGCGTTTGGTTTATAGAAAAACGAGGAAGAAGTGAATTGTCCTGGGCTTTTTGATGCAACTTAAAAATACACCTGAGGCCAGGGCAAGCCTCACCACATGATAAGCTACCGTTGAGCGACCGGCATGAGAAGTGTGCAGATAATCAAAGCTCTTACGTAGAATCTTGCTAGGTTTGACTGGCCTTGGGGGCCGCCTCCGCAGATCTAATTCTTGAGAATAGGGATCCTGTAAGTACTGAAGTTCGTTCTTGAAGAGAAGATAGAAACAACAAGTTCCTTCCATATCTTCCCCTAAAGGCTGGCAGCTGCAGTCTAAGGTCTCAACCGGGTTGAGGACCTTCCGCGTTCCCGGGAGCGCCTTGCCAGGAACCATATAGCTTAAACATGTAAACTCCAAAACGCCAAGCCAGGTCTCTCTCTCTCTCTCTCTCTCTCTATCCATAAATAAATAAATGAATAAAAAACAAAAATATATCTATATATATATATATATACATATACATGTATAACAATGATAATGATGTTCTTCTCATATATATATATATATTCATAAGTTTGGGGCCTTTAACGACAATGTGGTCTTTCGGAGTTCGGCTTGGGACGGGGGTCAATCCCCGCTGTCAAAGGCTTACAGTAGCCTTTCCAAGTATTGATAAACAAATGATACGTGAGCTTTCCAAAAAAAGAGTGCGAACATCGGCCACCAGTAGATCCGCCGGGTGGTCTGAAATTGTAAGTTGTTCGTCATCGCGTCTTGCTTCCTGAGCCCTCGTTGCCCTCAACCCCCACACCCCGCAGAATGGAACGCTTGCCTGGAGTGCTGCCACGACATCTGGGCCTGGATGAGAAACTCTGGGCGGTCTGGGTTGGGTGGGGGGATTTGTGCAGAAGCGATGATAGCTGAGGCCAGCATAGTGCGTGCTCAAGTTGGGAGCTGAGGCACTTCTGCGACTTCTGCGAAGGGCACTACAAGCCACCAGCGCATAAATTTCCCAACTCAAATCAATAAAAGCCCGACGAAGGTTCTCACACCGACACCGACCGCAAGCGGATCGGTTAACACCCGCAACCCTGTCCCAACATCCTGAAATTCCGAATTGGGAAGGGGAGCTCCCACTTACAGCAAAGCCGAAAACTAAGCGCGGCTGAAGCCTTAAACTTTTGAAAAGGCCCTGTAACGACCCGACCCTAAAGCCCCTAAACTAAGCCCCTAAACTTAATGGAACTCCAGAACTGAGGGATGCGATGAAAAATGCAAGCTCTTCGTGACATGCAGTGTGCAGCAACCTCGTAGAGGTACCATGCATTGAGGGTGTCGGTGGCCTAATGGCTTTGGGGGGAGCGAAGAAAACTCCCTGAGCGACATGCAAGCAACCTGTCACCATCTTGCGGGACCTTCCAAACGCAGCCCCGAATCCTGCAATCGGCAATGTGGCGCCTGCTGCCTGAAAGCCGTCGGCCACGTGAAAATACAAGGAGACACGCAGGTGCTCGTCGGAATGGCCTGTACGATCTGCAAGCAGCAGGTATGGGCAAAGGACATGGTCTGGAGTCTGAGTTCAACGCCTGTCATGTCGAGGCCCGGTTGCAGCCACCTGAACCACACGGTGTATTTGGGTATTTGGCATAAAACTCAGTGCTCCGTCATCTTAAGGTGCTTTCTGGACAGTTCCGTGCACAAGTTGCGCAGCCCGCAATTCTAGTAGCTAGGTTGGCCCTCTAAACTCTCTGAAACATGTTTTCTATCACGAAAGGCTTTGGCAATCTTTGGCATTTGGCGAAGGCTTTCGAATAATTGCGCCGGAACACATTGAGCATCTTCAGCATGCAGAGTGGCGCAGCGCAAAACCGCCAGCTGTTGTGGCGATAGTGAAAATCGGGAAATATCAGACGTGTATAAGTCAGAGGCAACACAAGAACACACCTGTCGACAGCAGTGAAGTTTCCCCCCACCCCCCCCCCCCCGGGCCCCACGCCCCGGCCCCCCCCCCCCCCCCGCCCCCCCTCCTCCCTAGGATGGAGGTTGTCAACACATCCCAAGTGCACATCTGGTGAGTCTGGTGAGTCTTGGAATGCAAAGGGATCTCGTCATGTCTACAGAAGAATACGTAGACTAAAGATGGGGGGATCTTCAAGCTGAGATTCGAAGTTATGGCTTCCTGGTTAGTTGTTCTGATTGGTTGGGTTGGGAGTTTCAGAAATAGAGAGCGACCTGTGAAACCGACCCGCTCTCCCCACCCCAAACCCTAAACCCTAAACCCTAAACCCACTCCCCCTCCGCCCCGCTCATGTGCGGAAACATCCCAGGATGTGCCAACTGTCGCTTGCTTTCGCGCCGGTGACGACCATATATATATATATATAACATGGTATATATATATATATATAAATAGATATAGATATAGATATAGATATAGATATAGATATAGATATAGATATAGAAATATGTGGTTTTCTTTTTGTAATGACTCGTACTGGTGAGTTTTGCACATGCGCACGCTGGAAACGCACCGCGGGCCCATGACGACGAGCCAAAAGCCTTTGAAGCACTGCGGCCGAGTTCTCACTCCATATCTCCGTTTGCGGAGCGGAGTGTGATTATCCGACAAGCAGCAAAAAAAGCCGAAAACACAATGTAGCCAATGCTTATGTGAGTGCCCGTGAACCGGCCTTCGCCAGAGCTCAATCTCCACCAAGTTGGTGCGCAGCATGAACAGCAGGGCCAGCCGTCTCTCCTTCAGACCCGTGACCCTAAAGAATCCCTAAACCCTATGAGTGCAGAGCCCTTCCGATACCTTTCAAGAATTTCTCTCGGTGACAGCCTTCTTCTATTTTACTCTGGGACAAGATGAATCGTCGCCCCCCGTCCTTGGCCGATGCTTCGCCATCTGGCACGTGGGAGGCCTCACCACCAAAGAACAGGAATTTATAAAGAGTTTCATGTTACAGGTGTTTCTGGCAGTCCTGTTAACTCTCATTGTGCCGAGCTTATTCCAAAGTCTAATTAGACAAGCTTCTTCGTCCTCTAGTGTGATCAGGGAACTCAAATGTGCTAGATGCACTTGCGTCGTGTCACCGTGTAGCCTTTGCCAGGGCCCCTGCGCCTGCGATCTGAATGGCCCGCTCAATATCCTGCGTCTATCGTCTCAAGCCCCCAGCCAATTCTGACAAGGTCGGGGATTGAGTCCTTGAAGTGCACGTTATCCACTCGCGTGAAGAGCTTCCGGCCAAAGGAGTACCAAGCAGTGAACAAGAAGAGGTGACATGCCGCCAAGCACACCTAGCAATGGTGGAGTGGTTCGGGCGGACAGCTTGGCTAATGATGCCACCTAGTAGTGGATTGCTAGCGCGACAGGACCGCAAGCCAAGGTCGAGTCAACGTTGTTGTCTGAGCTTCCGGCCACAAGTGCGAGCAACGCGGCTGCTGCCAAGCAGCGCATTGCGGCGCATTCCAAGTCATCAGAACCACGCCCAAGGCTGCGTGGAACGCAGTTCTTGTTTTAGCATAGAGCCGCCTTGCTCGTGTTTGTGTTGACCGTTTTTGAACTGATTCGGCTGTTCGTTTGCAACATGAACTCGCATGTTCAGCACGCATCTAGAGCACCTCGTGTCACGTTGATAAAGACGGAGCAGCCTTCCTGCCATAGAGAAGCCTCTGCCGAAGCACTGTTTCGGAACGGTTGTAGTTGTAGTGCATGGCACAGATGTGGCAAGAAGAGAGGCAAGGGGAATCAAGCCAACTCCACTGCCGGTGGGTCGCACCACTGATGTCCAGGCTGCGAAAGAGCGTGGAGGCATCCACCTTGCTCATGCTTCAAGGTCAAGAGAGTGAAGCTCAGGTTCTAGGGTTTAGGGTTTAGGTTCTAGGGTAGTAATTGCCATTTTCCGGCGCGGGGCGCTTGGTATGCGGTATGCTGTGAAGCTGCACCAAGTTGATTACATCGGAAGGGGGAGAACAGACCTTTCTACGTGTTGTTTTGCTTTAGTGCGTTTCTCCAGGCGTTCCATTCTGACGCTTGACGAGGAGCGCTTCTTTGCTTGCTGGCTTTGTGTGTTGAAATACCGAAAGTGAAAACACAACAAGCTGCTGTAAGATGGCCCCTTGCATTGATGCGACTGCATTGCAACAATGATTCAAAGCCCTTTGCAAGCCCCAGAAAGGTCCTCGAGTGGTGTGCTCAGTGTGCTCCAAGCTCATACTACAGAAGGGCTTGGGAGTTTCGACTCTCACACTGCAAAACGCGGGCGAGGATATTTCGATAATTCGAAGGTCCGGGTGTATATGATAAAGGGCTCGCTCAGAGTTTCATCTAGTTTCTTGTGCCAGGGTGGGTTTAAGGTTCTATAATTCAGAAACTTGTTCACGGACTGTACCTCAAACGAAGATCGGATCTCTTTCATCACATGCAGCCCATGCTTGACACCCGAGGCGCTCAGGCCTATTCGTGAGTCACTGCGTGGCTAGGACAGCCACACCTGTGGCTGCAACTGCCTTCATCATGTACAGTACAGCATGAGCCACATCTCAGCAGGAGCCGCTACCACTCCGTCACCATAAGTGGGTCCAAAGTCCCAGAGTCCCATGCCCATCCGAAACTCCAAGCCTGGAGCACGGGTTTGGATGTGGCTCATGCGTCGGCAGCCGCATAAGCCACAGGGGCAAAACAGAAATGTTGTTGGAAAGTAGCCCAGCTCTGAGGTGGGACACCGAAGTGGTTACTTCCCTGATAGAGGGTGGAAGGGTCGAAGTCAAGGTCTGTCGCAGCAAGGACTTGACGAGGAATCCAACAACCTTCACGGTATTCATACGTCAATCTGCCTTCGGCACTTTGAAATTGGTGCGTTCAGACATGGTTTTGCGGCATTGAAAGCTTTTCGAATTCTGAAGTGCACACGTCACGTCATAAGGCCGTCATAAGGCATAAGGCCTAGCGGAACTGCATGACGTCTGCGCCAGACTCCCTGACAACTTCCCGAAGTTTAGGTTTAGGGTTTAGGGCTAGGGTTTAGGGGCCACTGCTCTGTCAGTGAGTCTGGCCATGTCAGGCTTTAGAATGTTTCACGTCCTCGGCTTGCAAGCTACCTTGCAGTAAAAAAACGGCTGGCAATTGCTCTTTGCTGACGTGCAAGCTCCCGCCTGCACGCGCTGCTTAAATGCCCACACCTTGCAGCAAAAATCCAAACTTACGACATCAGGTCATTCAAGAGCAAGAAAAGATCATGCCCACATTGTAGCTGGGGCAGCTTCCGCTGGTGGGATGCTGAGGATGTCCAACGCATAGCCCATTGGGCTGAGTGGTTCCTGACACCTGGCAAAGCGATGAGGGCATGATTTCTCTATCTTCCCTTCTTAGTGGCCTTCTGCAGGAAAACAATGTACCCTCTCAGTCCCTTCGCATTCACGTGCGGCAGCCCGTGCTGCAAGTGCACAGTGCGCAGCCGCCTCCACTGCCTTGCCCAAGTTCGGGTTGGAGACTCGCCACTTGATTTTCTCAGGCCTCGTAGTATTCACGTGCGACATGGACAACTGGCTTGTAAGGGCTTTGTGCCATCCCGCGCTCACACAGCGCTTGCTCTGGATCAATGGGTCTCCACTTTCCAACATGGCAACATCTGCCAACAAGCCCCGCAGAACTCGCACAGCCTGGAAGGAGAGTCAGGCCAGCCGGACTCGTAGTGTCTGCTGAGATGGAAGGTCAGATCGGGCCAATACCACGGCTGCTGCACAGGCAGAAAAGCCTCGACCTCAAGACAGCTTGAAGCCAGAGCAGGCAGCATTGTCAGCTCACAGAGGCCATTCGCAGCTACTCCCCAAGACCGCAGCTGACTTGAGATGCTTGTACTCCGGTTCCTGCAAGCCTTTGAGTGTGCGCAGGCGCTGGGAAGACTGAAGAGGACTCATGGCCATGTAATCGTCGAAGTGATGCATGCGGGCCTTTGGACCGCATGCGAGGCTCTCGGCTTCCTTGGCTTCGGTTTCAGACAGATGCCACCTACATCCAGTGCCGCAACACATGTGCCAAGTTCTCATTGTTGAGTTCCGAACGGCCAAGCTTTGCCCATTTGAGGAACCACGGCCTTTGTCCTTTGCGCACCATGTCGTCAAACTCCTGCACAGGCTGACGCCTGATGCAATCGATCTAGAACATCCTCAGCTGGATCGCGTCGTGATGTCCTTCTCAGAGTAGCCTAAGGCTTCGAGGGCGCCAAGGTGGCCTGCACTCTCTACTCTCATCTTGAGAATCCAATCTTTGAAAGCACTCGTGCTATTGCCGTTCATGGCAAGTAAAAGAGCTGCCCGACTTTGGTTTTTGGAAAACCAATATTCAGAACACCAAAAGAATCCCGATGTCACGGAACTACTATGCGAAAGCCAAATAAAGGACAAGAAGACCGAAATCGTGACAAGTCAATTTTCGGGAACTCCTCAGACCTGGGCTGCTATCAGGCTTGCCTATGAGTCTTGTTTCCAGAAGATCCCTTCTGTTCTGTTTCAGGTTTGAGTTTGTGCTTGCTTGGCTTATGTGTTTTTGGGTTCTGTGGCATTGTATGTTGAGGTGTGCAATATTTCAGCGGAAATGGGGCTTTGACCGGATATTCCTACAATGACTAATACCTACGATTGTGACGAGTGGTGCCATTCTGCTGATTGCTGGGTATGCGCAATGTGGCTATGACTTTGAGACACTGCCCCTGCGGCCGCCATCGCCTTTGACTGTTGACAAAGCAGAGAACAAAACACCAATCCTTGAATTCAAGGTTGCTGGGTAGCTATAGGTAGGGTTAAAAGAACCCCAAATAGGGTCAGAATTGGAGTTACCCGACTTGTAACCCTACCTAAAGCTACACGTGAACCTTCAAGCAGTTGCGAGATGTAGCCCATCATCTGTTGGTGGGTCTTTGAGCTCAGCTTACTATGGGATCGAAAGCTGCTGCGCGAGCAGCCAGAGCGGCTTAACGTTTCCAGGTGAAATCTCTTGATCATCCACTCGCTCCACCTATCATTTCCCTAATTTCCCTGGGCAGAAACTGCGTTAAAAAGGCTACAAGAACCGATGAAACACACGGGCACGGGCCTGTTTCGGCTAACTTTTCGCCAAGGAAAACAGCTTCTTGAAACCCACGAGCTCGTGCAAAAGGGAGTCTGATTGCATCTTCATGTCGCTCACTTCTCTCTTTGTGCAATGTCACTATAATGGAAACAGTTGATTTTGTTTCATTTGCAAGCTGCAGTACTACACTGCAATAGACCTTCTAGGCAGCGAAGGGCATCTTGTTTCTTTTGGCTTCGAAGAAGCAAGCCATTGGTAAATCACATTGTTCATATATGTTCATATATGTTGGTTCGCAGGGACATTAGGTATGTCACGAGCTAGAAAGGCACGTTACCGGAAGTTTTTATCTTTCGGGAGATTCCCGATCTAATGCATCTCAGAATGTGAAGGTTACAGTTGGTGGCTTTCAAAATATAGCTCTTGCTCGTAAGCCCTAGTTCATTCGCTCGATGTGCTAAGCACATTGAGTATCGATTAACATCTATAAACCTTAGTCCTTACAAGGCCAAATCACAAATCGCAAAGCGCTAGCGATTTGAACTCACAACCCCAAATCGCCTTCCAATCACAGACCGCACGATGTGGGTTTTGAGCTGCGAACAGAAGATCCAAATCGCTGTGTAAGTTGCTTATGCGTTGCTTATCCGGATGCGACTGCACAATAGGAATTGAAATATTCTGAGCGGGGAAATTAATTTGCGGATGTCCACCAAACGCACTTGCCATGCCAAACGAAGCTGAGGAATCTGCCCCAACCATACCTGAAGTGATATTCCACTCGTCAAACGGACTCTGCTTGCCAACATGCGTTTTGGGGGCCTCAAAAAACGCATTTCTCATGTCGCCGACCTCAACTCCAAAAGCCAAAACCTCAACGCCGGCATCGCGGTTGCCGGCGAGCAACGCTTTTCTTCATCCCTCCCTTCCTCCCTCCATACATACCTCCAGTTGCAAGCAACGTGCGTTTTGGAAGACCTCGAAACGTACTACTGCTCCTTCCCCCCCCGCTCCCTCCCCTCCTGCCTCCCTCCCTCCCTCCCAGTTATTGCGCGTACGGGATGGTGCGCGTGGACAGACACAACCTTGGATGGGCATATTAGGTCCCCTGCATCTTGGGGGTTTCGAGTTTGTAGGGTCTAGGCCTTAAGTAGCTGATGTTTTTTGGGGCTTGGGGGCGTTTGGTCATCAGCCATTGCTCTTGCAGGTCCCCACTGAGGCAGGAGACATTTCATCGCCGGGGTTACCTCCAAAACCCAGACCTGCAAAAATGCATTTTCAAAGCCCCCAAAAACTTTTTTCCGAAGCCTTTTCGCGGAAAAAGCCTTCCTGCTGCTTGCCCAAACCTAGTCAAGAAAAAAACCTTGCAGCCCGTGTTGTCTTCAGCCTACAGAACCACGGTCCAAATCGCTCGCAATTTGGGTTCGTGACTTTAAACCCAAATCACCTTCGATTAAGATCGCTAGCAACCGCTAGCGATTTTCCCATCTAAGCCCTAGTCACTAAAGTCTGTCTGAGGCTGGGGCAATCATATGAGATGTTCTTCACCTGCCGCACGCGGTTCAGGAGTGCCAGCTCTGGTTCCCCTGGCGCAGTGCATGATAACGGAGCCGCTTCATGACGCTTTTAGGATCCGGAGCTAAGGCAACAAAAGCCATGCCACATCCCGTCATGCATGTGCCAGACTCAGCCTATCGAGCCGTGCCCACTGGACCTCAGGACGCATGATGTGCACACTTTCGCTGTCTGGCTAAGGCGGCTAAGGCTTCCGCAGAATATTTTTGAGGATTTCGTCGTAGGCAAGCTCGGCAGCATTGGCACTGCAGCGGCAAAACAACCTGGTGGCAGTGCGCTGGTGGCGAAAGCAGCAGCACTATTTGTCGGTAGCGTGTCGTGGTGGCTCTGATAGTGGCGGTGACCGTGGGCTGACAACGTGCAACGAACATCGCAGTAGGATGATGATTTTGATGCTTATAGAAAGCAGCAGAAGAAGTTCGCCTCGGCTTCCGAGAGGCAATCTGGTCTTCCCATCCCTTCACCCCAACCGGAAATTTGAGGACCGTTTGTGACCTCTGTGTGCCGGCCCCGTAAGGTGCTCAACCAACCCACCTCCTATGTCCTCCCGGCAGCCCGACACGTCGAGTGCCCCCATTTTTCGTCCGCGCCCTGCTAGGGGTCGGTTCAGAGGCGGCCGCCTCACCCAACCCTACCCCCCCGCAGAACCCGACAAGCCCCCCCTAGCCACGCAGAACCGCCCGCCGCCTCCAGAAGCGCGTCTGCCCCGCCAAGGATATTCGCAGGGCGGATAGACATCCAACCCCATAAATTTGCACCCCATTTTGTTTGAGGGTTTAGGGTTTCCCCCCCTGTGGTTCATGGTGAGTAGGGTTAACGGTCAGGGCTTGGGGGGATACCGGGGGGGGGGGGCAAGAAAAGTGCGGACGCCAACTACTGGCCTGTTCTGGACCCAATAGTTTTTTCACTGGCCTCCCTTACGGCGCTCAGCCCTTTTGACCCCCTGAAAAAACTGAGGCTTCCCTTACGAGAGAATACAAACGACCCCTGTAATTACCCAGTCGACGTGCGAGGCCCCGTCGAGGCGGGCCTTGTTCGCATGAAAACTTTAAGTTTAGGGGTGGTGGCGGTGGTGGTGGCACAGCTAGTGGCATTTAAGATCAGCATGCCGTGCTTAGAGATCTCGAAGAGTGTCTGCAGCTGCAGAGTCCTCGCCTTTCGTCTGCCATTTCTTGATAAGTCTCTCTCTGTCAATGTCTTGCAAATGCCGCGCCTGTACAACTTTAAGTTCAGCCCCTCCGCGAAGAGCTCCTGCATGCAGCAGCACGTTTTAGAAGTAGCCCTCGAGCATATCGCGCAACGCGACCATGGCCTGCAGCTTATGCCTCAAGTCCGGCCTGAGGCCATCATGTTCTGGAAGTTCTGTGTGCGAGAAATCTGTGTAAGGCAGGGCCCAAGTTTGTCATGCTTAGCTGCCGACTTGGAGGAAAGGTATTCGTTGAGATCAGCGGTATCCCATTCAACCGCGATCGAACTCAGCACGCGAACTTTGAAAGCTCCATGTGGCTTCCAGGTCAAGCCATAAACATATGCATACATGTAGACATCTGTGTGTGTAGTACCTCATGTTTACTTATTGAACCCCATTGACCGTTTGTTATCCTTTTGTCGACTTTTGTCAGTAACCAGACCTATATAACACTGCGATTATGGCTCTTCTTCTGCTGTTCAGGCTTCCATCCAACTGTCAGCTTGCCATCAAGTTGCTTCTGTGAAAATTCGGCTGTCGCCTGGCAGGGATGTTCGAGGATATGCCACGCACCTTGCCTTGCAGAAAAAGAAAGAAAAAGAAAGAAAAAGAGAGAGAGAGAGAGAGAGAGAGAGAGCGAGAGAGAGAGAGAGAGAGTAAATGTCTCGATGTGCCTTTGGGATCAAGTTAAGGGCCCCTTCATGTCCGCCGGCCTGATGTTTTTTTGCGGTATTGCGCGCTCGCTCCACGAGCTGGAACTCCCCCCAGAAGTCGCCGGGCCTCCAATCGCCAGCTCACTTGGATTGCGCATGCTACGTGTGAGGTGTTGGCAGAGCAGGCGGCCCTAAACAGCTGACAGCTAAGTTCCCGGCTCCAAGATTGCAATTGCTTTGCCCCCTTGCTTTTGAACGATTCCTGCCGGTAAGCAAGCTCTGATGCAAAAGCAACGCGCTGCATGCCCCTTACGCATTCCGCCTGCAAAGAATAATGCAGCTTTGCATTGGCGAGGACAGCCAAACAGCAAGACTATACAGCCGGCGATGCCATGCAGCACGAGCACAACCAGCTCAGTCCTCCCTTGGCAAGGGCGATGATCTTCTGTACAACAGGCGCGCCGGCTGTGGCCAAGACCTGACAAGTTCAGAGCGCTCTGCATATTCTTAGGATGTCTTGCAGGGTAGTGGCAGTGAGGGGACCATGTTGCAAGGAACGTGCTCCAAGCGTGCCGACAGGCCGCCATACCCTCCTCGGCACTGTATCGCCGTCCCCTTGCAAGGAATTCGCGCAGCTCGACCTCCAAAAATGCTGGTTCAAGCAAGCCGCGAAGGCTGAAATTGGAAGCTTCATTTTCTTGCACAACATCAGTATTGCCTCAGCCTGACCCTCATGCTGATGGGTTTGCAACTTGTCAGCTTCAGTATGCTCAGTGCTCTTCTCTTGTGGGCACTTCGTTCAGAACCAGGCAGGCCTTGGTCAGGAACTCACTGAAGCCAACATCCCAGAACATCTGTTCGACCTCGTCTAACTTCAGGTCGCGTCCTCAAGCGAGATGCCACATGCGGCCAAGTGACCTATAGAGCCTACTTCCATCTGCCCGTGCGTAATTCACTAGTCAGATTTCTCAGAGTGCGGCGGTGCAGGAAGATTTTGCCTATGTGATAGGCATTGATCGCAATGAACAGCAGGTTAAAACCTGGGCTTTGCTTGTCACTGTCTGCTCTGCCACTGCCAAATATATAATCCACGCACTAGTACGAACAGTACATAGTATATCGGCACATCTCGGTACTATCACCGTATCGCTAGGAGTGTTGTTCTTAGCAATAAACCCACTATTCGGCTATAAAAAAGCTTTTGAAAGCACTTCACAGATCTTCAGAGCCAGGGCTTGCACGGACCGGAACCATCAAGGGCTTCGGCTGGCAGAACCTTTGCAAAACTCTCTGGAGCCCTAGGAGTTGGAACTATGGCTACTATGGCTTTTATTCTTCTGATTGCTACGACTGTTTTTGCGACCAGACTCGAGGTCGCCTCGAGTTGCTTCGATCTAGTGCGAGGCGCGTGACAACCAACATTTGTCTTTGGCGAGTGGCAAAAACACCGCCATGGATGAAGCGCATGCTACTCCGAAGCAGCGCAGCAATAATACCTGAGGTCATCAGCTACGTTGGGGGGCTGTGTGGCACCATACCTGCAATTTCAGCACTTGCAATCGCCGTCTGGCACTTGCGCTTTGGATTGGTGACACCGTATGACTGCAGCGTAGGGTGCATCATCCATGCACCACTGGACGGTCAGCAGCACCTGGCTGTGGGATCGATGCGGGAGTTGGATTGCAGGATTGACGCGAAGTGCCATGGCAGCACAAACGAGGATCAATGTCCATGTGGTTCGGAAGTGCCAGATCAGTTGAGCAACTCTGAGGGCAAGACGTAGCCACCAAAGCCAATGGCCTTTGAGTTCCGGCGTGTCCAATTTCGAAGCTGCTGCAGTAGATTTTCAGCTGGAACAGCTTCCTGCGAGAGTCTGAAATTTGGTACAAGACTTCCAGAATCTAGAACTCAGGCTGACATTGCTTTTGAGTAGGATACTTTCGTGGAGAGGGGGGGGGGGGGCACCCCATTTGTGCACCGCCCAACCTACTGGGGTCCTGCAAGGGAAAAAGGAGATCTCGTCGGCCCTCTCATTAGCACCGCTCGGTAGAAAGTTTGTCTTTTCCCTCCCACGGCGAATCCACGTCGCAGGAAGGTCCTCGAGGCCTCATGACTATCCATCCACATCTTCCTTTTCCCTTTTTCACCAACGTACCTTCTTCATCAAATTACTGACTAAAGCAAAGCGTTTTCAGAATTTGGCCAAAGCTTTTTCGAACCTGCACCATCCATCTCATGATCAACTCCTGTTTTAAGTCTGAGCCTTACTGAGCATAATAACGACTCTAATAACGACAACACTAACATCACTAACGCCCAAAAGGACTCCCTGCGTCCCCGCCTTGCGCAACTTCGGCAGGATGCGTGTAGCTCGGTACGCCCGCCCAGGGACCTCTCTGTACATGCGCATGGATGTTTACTCCTGACTTCAGCCGGAACTCTACGTGGGTTCAACGTTATGAAGCTTGAGCTTTTTGAGGAAGTGGTGTGTTCTCCAGCATCTGTTAGTATCGGTCTTAGCTTTCTTCTGTTCTACTCTAAGGTAGCTGAAGATGTCTCGGAGAATCGTTTGGCCAACCATTGCTGTTTCCTCTGTTTGTCACTTCCGCTTGTTGGTTCTAGTTTGAGACTTCTCGTTTGATAGCATGCGCTGCAACATGCTGCAACTTTGGGGCTTCCACTGTGCTTCAACTTCACTTGCCCACTTGTGCGTCGCGGGTTTCTCGGCCCTATGTGTACACCTCAAGCTGAGTGTCATGAGTTTCCTTGTTTGAGGAGACCGGTGCTGAGGCGGAGACAGAAAATGGCGAGCGCTTTAGTAGGCACGCAGCTTTCAGACTCCGCATGCGGACGCATGTTAAGCCTTGTCATGTCCTGAGTTTTTTGATCTTTTGCTCGACATTTTCTGTAGTTCAGTGTGTATTCGTCCTTCGATGGGACATTTGCGCTTATTTTTTTGTGTCTACGAATGCACGGCGGCTTGCAGGTGCCACTGCCTGGTTTGAGCACGGGACTGCCTAGGCCCCTCAACAAGCAGTCCCTGAACCCTAGAAGAATGCCTGAATCTTAAAAGTCCAGAAGCGTAACACCGCAAAAAGCACCTGGCTGCGCAAGAACCGCAGCTGCACAGCAGCCCTAGGCACGAAGCGCCCCAGCAGCCTCAGGCAAAAGTCGTAGCAGTAGCAGTAGCAGTAGCAGTAGTAGTAGCAGTAGTAATAGTAGAAGTAGTAGTAGTGGAAGTAGTAGTAGTAGTAGTAGTAGTAGTAGTAGTAGTAGTAGTAGTAGTAGTAGTAGTAGTAGTAGTAGTAGTAGTAGTAGTAGTAGTAGTAGTAGTAGTAGTAGTTAGTAGTAGTAGTAGTAGTAGTAGGAGGTAGTAGTAGGAGGAGGAGCAGTAGTAGTAGTAGTAGTAGTAGTAGTAGTAGTAGTAGTAGTAGTAGTAGTAGTAGTAGTAGTAGTAGCAGGAGTAGTAGTAGTAGTAGTAGCAGGAGTAGTAGTAGTAGTAGTAGTAGTAGTAGTAGTAGTAGTAGTAGTAGTAGTAGTAGTAGTAGTAGTAGTAGTAGTAGTAGTAGTAGTAGTAGTAGTAGTAGTAGTAGTAGTAGTAGTAGTAGTAGTAGTAGTAGTAGTAGTAGTAGTAGTAGTAGTAGTAGTAGTAGTAGTAGTAGTAGTAGTAGTAGTAGTAGTAGTAGTAGTAGTAGTAGTAGTAGTAGTAGTAGTAGTAGTAGTAGTAGTAGTAGTAGTAGTAGTAGTAGTAGTAGTAGTAGTAGTAGTACTACTACTACCACCACCGCCGCTACTAAAGCTGCTACTACTACTACTACTACGACGACGACGACTACTATGACGACGACTACTACCACTACCACTACTTCTACTTCTCCTACTTCTCCGGCTGCTCCCTACTCCTACGGTCCTGCTGCTGCTGCACACGCTGCTCATTTGCTTTGAACATGTTTTATCATTTTTGTTCACACCAAAAATTAAGATTGGGATGATGGTTGCGATTGTATGGTCTGACCGAGACACCCGAACCTGTGGCCTCCAATGCTGGCTGAGCCCCTGGCCGTGACCGCCAGTGGTACGAGCACTGCATGCGTGCTCACCATTCCACAAGGCCTGCCGTGCTAGACTTTATCGTGCATCTCAGGATGCTCGTTGCTTTGTGGCCAACCGACCATAGCAGCTTCAGCTTGCAAACCACAGGCTACAGGGCTTCAGCTTGAGGAATCTATCGGATCGAGTAGCTTGAGGCTGCGAGGGCTCGGAACCAGCTACACGCATCTTTCATCTGAGCTCAGAGATAACGTCCTTGGGAGGTGCACCTGGACCAAGGCAGGACGCTTCAAGAGCTTCGCTCTGAGAGCCCTCCTGGTGAATATTCGGCACGCCTCTCTTCGTATGTTTCAAGCTATTCAATGCTGGGGGTGTCTAGGTGTCAGGACAAGGTGATGGCGCACTTAAGCTAGGCTTGTCTCAACAGCATGGCTTGTTCAGCTGACTCGAAATGTCGCACCCGATGGTGCAGTTGCGTCCCAAATGCACGTACTGGTGACAGGCACTTGGATGCACTTTGAGAACATGTTCGTTATTATGAGAGGTGACAAGTTAGAACGATTTTAGATGGCGGACAGTGTTTTGCAATCATGCCTAGTGGTACTCTCTGGCCGTACGTTGACTGAGCTACTCGTCTTGCTCCTGGGGATCTCCCAAGCAAAATCGAACTGAAAACAAGAGTCGCTGAATGGTTTGTCGTCAGCGAAGAAACCTGTATGGTTCATATCGCATCTGCAACTCGCCAGTAGTCACAGCTACGTTGCGGGGTTTCTGACCAATGCTCACCGTGACCGGTCAAGGACTGAAGTTGATCTTGGATCAATGGGCCCTTTCACAGTCACCTATGCCAGCAGCATGCCAATCAGCTTCTTACACTCCTGCGCAGCGGGGGTATTCCAAGACCCAGAGGCCTTGAACACATGTCGTGCTTCCTTGTACGTGGCAAGGGCCGCATCCAGGTCACCCAGAGAGCGCTGGACATGGCCAACGTTGACCAGGAGAGCAGCGCCGTTCGTCGTCTGAAAGGTGCCAATGGACTCCTTAGATGCTAGGCTCTGGGTGCGCTTGGGGTACAGTGTTGGCAAGAAGGCTGGAAAACATACGTTCAAATCGGTCGAGTTTGGCAAGTCTCCATCAGCTGTCGTGCCTCGGCATATGACTGCAAGGCTCCTGCCAAGGTTTTTGAGATATGACGTCTGCGACTGTAGACTGGCCAAGGAAACAGCAAACACGCGACTCCTTGCAAGTCGTGCTGCAAGCGCCTGATGTGGCCCATGCTGGCCAGCAAGGCTGCACCCTGCGGCGAATCGATGTGCTCGCTTGTGCAGAGTGCCTGATGGGCCTCACACTGGGGCCCTCTGGCCGCAAACTGGAACGACTAGAGCACTGGAACACACATGGATTTCACATGCCTGACCTGCTCGTAGCTGACCAATGCTCCAGGAAGGTCTTGACGTTCACGCCGGATGTGTCCGAGAGACCTCGGAGAACAATTTTCGCCTTGTCCAGAAGTCTTCTAAAGTGTGCCGATGCCGGGGGAACGCAGGCACCGACAATCGGATTCGAAAAGGCTTCTGGTTCTCTGTTGCAGCTGGAGCAGCTGAAGCAGCACACCTCCGTCATAGCTCGTCAGCGTGTTGCATTGCTCATGAGCACGTAAGGCCTGCAAGGCTCTCTCTCAGAGTCTCTTACTGCCCTGACCCCCCGGCATTTAGGACACGCGCATCGGATATCAATATCAGCAAAGACAGCAAGCATCGTCAAGCACCAGGACGTCGTGCCTGTGTGAAAAAAGACTCGGCCCCCTCCAGATCTTTATTTTGCAGCTTGACATGACCTTGCTGGAGCTGGCAGCCATCATAGGCATGGAGACCCGAAGCTAGAACCCATGATTCTTGTTCGGAAATCTAGGAACCACTTCGCAACTTCACAAAGTCGGAGGACCCCTATCCTGGCGCCCTTGAGCCCTTCGGGGTGCAGCTGCGCGTCCGATCCGTGTGCACACTTGCGCAGCTTCAGTAGACTCCAGTTTGCCAGCGTCTTGCAGTATGCCGTAGGCTTTGAGGAGCAGGTCCGTGGCCTCGTCCAGGTCTCCTCGTTCCTGAGTGCCGAAGCATCATCAGAATCAAGAATCATTAGCATCGTGCTCCCGAGAATACGCCGCAGCAAGTGCAGAAAGTTCTATGCATGCTTATGCTACATACATATATACATGTTCATCGACCCACTGCCTGCATACTGGCGCAAGCTGCGGCCAAAGCTGCTCGGGCCACGTGGCCCCTCAAACCCAACAGTGCCGCGTGCAATGAAGTGTTTACCTCGAAGCTTGCTTCCAGCGAATCAGAAGCAGACCTTGCGCATACAGCAGCCCAGCCCGGAATTGTATGCTTCTCACAGCCACTTCGCAATGCTTTCGTTTCGGGAAGAGCTATCCAACATACAAGCAATGATGTTCAGCGATGCTTTGAGAAGATGGTCTTTGCATGACAAAAAGCTGGCCGGGTAATTCGCAAACCAAGCGACTGCAACAACTCGTCCGCGGTATCCAGCTTGCCCAAGGATCGAAAAAGCTCCGCTACCTGAAAGCGCCCCGCACATGCTTTGCACATGTCAGTCCAGGCAAAACAGTACGGGGCCTGGAGGCAGCCCCCTGCCAGCTCGGCTGACTTGGCTTCCATCTGCTGTCGGATCTGGTCCTGGGTCCGTGACAAGGCTGTGATTGGCAGGGTAGCTCGCTCATCTTGAAGCATAGGATTGCTTATGATTGCATGTTTTGTTTTGTCCAGGTGCATGTGCCACGTCCGCAAACCAGCTTTGAAGCTTCCGGACCACGTTTCCTTAGAGCTGCATTCGCACTGCGTCCAGCATGGAGTGGTGTTGCCACCACTACCACTACCGCCAATGACCTCCTCGCTGACGCGGGGCGATTCAGTTCGGAGAAGCCTGGGCTGTGCTCCACCAGTTGGAGGATCCGGTCCCGGTCCGCTGCAACGGAGGCCTGGGCCTGGCGCTTTGGGGGGAATTGCGAAATTAGGGGTACCTTATGGGGATCATTATTCTTAAGGGAATAAGGGACGATCATTATTCTTAAGGGAATATATAAGGGGCCCTTATTTTCGTAAACTCCCTAATGTTCAAGACATCCAAGGCGAATTTCAGGGGCCTTCTGCAGCTGCGTCTGGGCGAGGGTCCGCCACTGCTCCTGCATCCATGCAGGGCTCAATCTCAACGATGCGAGTACCAAAACATCGGAACGTGCAAGACGACTGAGGAAGACTGGACCCCCAACACAAGCACAGGGCGGACAGAGGATGACCATGATATACCACGAGCGGTGGCAGAAAGTCCTGCAAACCAGAGCCTTCGAATATTGCTTTGGCATAGCTTTCCGCCTGACGTCATGTGGAAACATCTTCGTCGGCTCTTACTCTGGCAGATGCGTGCGAGGCTCTTGGGTCTAGGTTTTAATCATGTTCTGGCATGTTTGCTCGAGTCGGTTTCTGAACGTCATACACAAATGACACATGGAGTTTTTAGGCCCTGGTTCCAGAACTTGTGGGTCCTCCTTGCTCTCAAAACCGGTTCGCGAGCCTCTGTGGGAGGCATAATGATCTCCAGACAGCAGTCCTTAGAGTTGCGCCGCAAGGCCGTGAATGGGCTAAAGAAGCTGTATGTAAGGAGGCAATGAGGCAAAAAGAGGCCCTGTCAACTGCCACAACGTCTACCGGGGGTACGTCGCGCAGCCAAAGTGCAGGCTGCTCCGAAGCAGCATGGAGCTCGAAGACACACCATGCGCGCTGACAGTACTTTGGTGCTCTCCACGGCTCCATCAGGGCAATCACATTGCCTAGGACAAGTTTGCAATTCTGGAACAATGAGATGAAGGCAGATTCCCGACTCTTGCAGGCAGCAATTAGGAGGAAGCTCGAGCATCCCTGCGTTACCTGAACGTCCTTCATGCGCACCTCTCACTGCGCAAGCAGCAGAAGAAGTTGAAATCTGGCTCGCGGCCGATGCTTCTCACGTGGCTCCCAAATGTCGCTGCGAGCTCATCGAACGGGACGTCAGAGCCAGCAAGTCTCGACTCCTTGCATACGGGACGTTCGGTAGCTCTCTGCTCAAAAATTCTAGACATTAAGTAAGCTGAAAAGCGCAGGCTTTACTTCTTGGTCTCATAGCTGTGCAGGGAGTCCTGAATTCTGTGCTGATTCACTCCCATAAAGCACATCCAAACCTTGGCTGGGAATATTGCATGCCTCCCGACATGCCACCCATGCATGCTCGCCATCATTGATCCAGAGTAGCATACGTCCGCTCGGGTTTCAAGCTTTTCCGATGGCACCAGGCCCCCAAGGAGTCGATGATGCAGTCGACCGTGTACTGCCATGTGTAGGAGAGCATGTGAGTAGCATGCCCCACATTGTCCTCAAGCGAATTTTGCAGACACGCCCAGCGGAAAGATGAGCCCAATGCACCCCCCCCCCCCCCCCCCCCCCCCCCCCCACCCCCACCATAGTACCCCTAGCCAAAGAATCGACACCAAATCATCTTCAGGACCCTATTTCGACAAGGTATATTGCCTGATGAAGGGGTCTTGGCTTCCTGGGCAAACATTGCTCTAAGCCAAGGCTCAGCGCCCTGCAGGGTGTCAACAAAGGCAGCCCCCAGACGGTCATCCCTGTCAGTTGGAGCTTTGACATCTCTTGGGTTTTGTGGCTTATGTTTGGATGTTTTGGATTGCTGCAAGCATCTCAGGCAGTCCATCCACCATGATAAACATGACACCCTTGACACAATGGGTTGCAAGTGGGGTCTCTGGCCTTTTCCATGCAGAGAAATGGACGCACACATTTGTCATCGTGATTTGAGGATGCTTCCAAGCGGCTTCGTGCTCTTGGGCAAGTTTTCACTTGTACTTTTCGCGTGGCCCGCACAACTGGAACCCGACATACTCAAACATGCTCAACACCGGCCCCCCGACTATCCCCGATTCTCGCCTTGGACAACGCACCTGAGCTCCTTTGGCACGGATCAAGGGCTGATCGAGCTCAAAGATGCAAGAGGCACGGCTGAAGCCAGCAGCCTGTAGCTCCTCGCAGAAGCCGGTCCTGTTTAGCACTGCAGTCAGGGGATCAAAACTTCCGTTCTAGGGCTTCTGGGGCTTTCTGTGAGATTTCTTGGCTTTTGCCGATCCAAGGGTCTCCAGGTAGTGCACGCTCGGTGCCAAGAAGGGATCCCTTCTTTCTTCCCTCTTGACGCCGGCAGCCGCAGAGGTGCCAAGGTCGTCCACCATGGGCGCGGAGGTACAGCAGCTGCCCATTGCGCGCGCGTGGCTTCTGTACGAAAACTAGCAAGCTTGCGGTGTGGTTGTGGGGCTGGGGTTCGGCTTGCTGGGGTCACCGGTACATCCAGGGTACGTGGTTGCTGGTCGCTTCTTGGCGGTCTGGAGAGCGAAGCTCAAGTGAAGCGCACAGGACCGTCAGCCGCGCAAGCAAGCCTCTGCCACCCAGTCCAAAGCCCCGAGCATCTCCTTCCCCTCAGGCCTTGAGGTCGAGGGAGGCAGCTTGGGGGGGCCGTTCTTCGGCTGAGAGAGCCAACCCGGCGGCGAGGGCGGTGTCTCTCTTAGTGGGTCTCTGTATCCAATCTGTGCCTGCGTGTCTTGTTGCTCTGTGTTTGCGCGTGAAAGTTATTTCTAGAAGCAAGGGGCTGTCCACTCACGAAGGCATGGAGTCAACAACTTTGAAGAGAGTGGCTCAGCACCCCATCAATCACTGAGCCCCCTCTTTCCTCTTCTCCTCCTTTCGTTCTTTCGTTGGGGATGGGGCCCAATGGCACTGCGCGGCCGATAACCGCGTCGGAGGAGCAGATAGGTGTATTTCTCCCCCCCCCCCCACCCAATCGGTTTTAAGATGACACAGTAGGCCCTATCTCCTGCACTTCCCCTTCAAAAGTGTCACCCATCATCAAAGCGAAGCTCGCCGCATTCGACAGAGCAACATGCACGGCCATTTGTCCGTCTTCTTGCTGTTCTTCTCAACGGGCCTAAGGCCTAAGAATGAGGAGCGAACCTCGTCATCCCGCGCTCGTTCCATGGGCACGAGGGTTGGGAGGTGCACCCCCTTCCCCTCCTGTGAAGTTCCTGTGAAGTCAGAATTTCATATCGCCGGCAAGGCGAGTGCCAAGCAGTGCCTCTCTACCTCTCTCCCTCCCTCTTTGTTTCTTTCTGCGCGCCTTGCCCCTCCCCATTCTCTCTCTTCTTCTTCTTCTGCTGGGCTTAGGGGTGCCCCCCCGCGCTCGAAGCGCGCCCGAGGGTGAGTCAGGTCCAGTGAGACCACAGCGACCGGCGCACTTCTGTCAGGTCGGCGTGACACTGAATGAAAACAGAAACCGCTGGATTGTAACAGCCAAAGGAAATCTCCCCCCCCCCGTAAAGGACAAGTGCTGCGGTTTCCCCAGGTGCAACCGAGGAAAAACATGCATTGCTGTCTCATGTGGGTTCGTATGACCCCGCCCTTGAATTATGCCTCGGGTTGCCCCAGTACTACAAGGTTCCCCTGCCAGAGATTGCTGGCTGGGGTCTCACGGCGTTACTCTGAATGGAACTAGAAAGCAAGGAGTGATGCTTGTCTTTCCCCCCACCCCCCCTACTTGCCTCGCTCCAACACTCCGCGTCAAAGCATCACTCCGATTTTTGCACGGTACATGGATTTGTCTACTTGTCCTGTGTTTACCTGAACGATCACCCCTGGTTAAACAACGCCCACAAAAAGCCTTTGCTTACCAAACGAAAGCCTCCCCTTACCCCCATCAACTTTCATCCTGTTGTTCTGGCTGCGGTGAATCGCCTTCTAACCCTTCCACACAATCTTCCTTCGAGACCCGAATCATCCCTGAATCCCTCCTCCTATTCCTCCGAAAACCTCCCCCCCCCCCCCTTATCTCTTGGCTCTCATTCATCTCATTTCATCTTCGGCACGTGCGTTCCCCCCTCTACTTGTTGTCATTCTGGAAGTGCTGCCATTGTTGCAAGACAGTGTCCCTGGAGTTTGCTCCGGGCGGTCTGCATCAGCTGGCGCCTGGTACTCCACGGCGCGCTTCATCTCTTTGGTGTCTGTTGCGGCTGCTTTCCAGGTGCTCCTTTGTCTCATGCTTCGGCGTTGCTCCGTCTGGCTCTCTTGGTTGTCTCGCGATCCTTCTCGATGGCCACCTCCCCCTGCTGCGGGCCCACCTGCTCCGCTCCCCCGTGGATCTTCTTCAGACTCAGGCGGCGCATGATGACGACGTAGTCCTGCTACCTCCTCCTCTTCATATCCCTCCGTCGTGGTCGCCGCTAGTTGCCCCCAGCTGAGATTGTCGTCTTCTCCTCCTCTTTCCCTCCTCCTTAGCAGCGGCTGTCTATCACAGGCATCGCTGCCGCTATCCATGGCTTTGGCTTCGGCGGGCCCTGCTTATCCCCGAAATAACGTTACTCGACAAGTGACGTCCTGGCAACCCTGCAGAAGCTCGCAAAGGCATGCGCCCCCTACCGTGCAAGATAGCTCTACGGCATGGTGCAAGTGATGAGCAAAGACGGTTACTCCCAACAAACTGTCCACACACTGCCTACACTGGTCCTGTAGCTGCAATCTCAGGCCACCGTAGTAGGGATCACCCCGGCCCCCCCCCCCCCGTCCTGTCAAGTTGAAGCAGCTGTCACCCCGAACGCGAACCCAAAGGGAACTTAGGGTGTAAGGAGGTGGCACCTGAGTTGGAGCTTGTTGGATCGGCGCGGCGGGCTCAAGCCACCCGGCGGAGGGCGGGTTTCCCCCAGGCGACTTGAGCCAAAATGGCTACCTCTCTCTCTCTCTCTCTCTCTCCTCTCTCTCTCTTTCTCTTTTTGGGTTTGGTTGCAGGAACCACAACATGGTAGCAACGAAGTTGGCGGGCCAGGGTGTTCATCAACACACTAGCTCGCCATGATTGGGCGACTTGGGACACTCAGTGCAAAGCTCCATTCCGCCGTAGTTCCGCGGAGACCTGCCGCAGGAGTTCCTGGCAAAGCGCCGAGAGCCATTCCGACATTTGCAGGAGCTCTGGCCGTGTGATAGCAACGCATTCCTACTCGAGAGCCGTGTCTTCCGAACGAACACATTGAACACAAATCGCAGACGTGGAAATGAGGATGTTGCTCACATAGGGCCCCCTTGTGGATACAGGATTCCTTGCGACAAGCGGCCCCAAAAGGGGAGCCTATTGCTGAACGACCCCCAAGCGCTTCACTGATTCACAGCGTAGCTTGGATGACGCCTGTGCAGCCAGGCCAACTGGCACTTCCGGCAGGGATGACGCCTCCACCAACCAGGCGCTTACAAAGACTCAGCACTTTGCTTAAGCTTCTTTTCTTGAGACTCAAACACTCTTCCAAGCACGGAACCTGCGCCCTAAGACATCTAAGCCCATGAATCTGCCATCAGGTAGCCCGCGGATCGATGGTCATCGCCAGGTCGCCTGGAGATTGCAGTCGCAAGCATTGGGTAGGCGTGGGGATTTCTTGTCGAGAGCTTTAGGGTTCGGAGATGCCAGAGATGCTTCGAGCTTCCGTAGGGTGTAGGGTTCAGGTCAGTTTAATCAAGCTTCATCGCGGTCTGCGTGCCTCGCCTCCAAGAATCCGGCAGAAGTCCAAGACGTCCACGCCTGCATTTCCTGTTTCTTGCACTGCTCACACTTAAAAAGGTTTCAATCTGGAGAGATTTGAAGGCAATTGCCATCCCTCAGCCCGCAAGGATGTTGGAAGCCGAGTGCCATCCCCCTAAGTTCTGAACAAGGCTCGATCCATGCCCAGCCGTACGAGTACAGCTTCGCGCTCATAGGCGGAGAGGTTTGGCCTTACACCAGACAACAACAACAACAGGAGATTGCCAGATTGCCCTGCACGGTTACTTGGAGAGTTGGATCATTCTCCGACCATCGTGTCTAGAAGTAAAGCATGGTAAAGCAGATGTTCCCCACCCGGCAAACCTGGTCTCTTCCCTTTGCGTGCTGCTGTGCATCCAATTGCTGAGGGATGGGCTCCAAACGGAACAGTGTCTGCTCCACCCTTATGTGAAAGCGCAAGTCTGTGCGCACTGATGCATGTCAGCAACAAGGCCTAAGGCTCTCCAAACATGTTGATCGATGATTCTTCAGGATAACGGTCAAGAAAGACGCAGCGTAAGCAGCACATTCATACTTGAAGGTTCATGGGTCGTCATAAGCAGGGTTATCAGTACTCTAAGTAAGGTTATAAGTAAAGTTACCCTACTTATAACTCACGCATAGCTACCCATGAATCTCCAAGTAAGCGTCGCAAGCCCTAGCAGGCGTTGCAAAGGCCAAAGCTCTGCTCTGGAAAGCGTGGCGGCGCGGGCGTCCAGTCTTGTGAGGAAGTCGTGCGGCCTGGGCAAAACCACAGGCAGCGCCGTGAGTACAGAAGTGGGTTGTTGGTGACGGGATTGTCGCTGGGCCTGCGCCCACTCCGCGCAATAGCTGCAGCAATTCGGCCAAGGACTGCCTCACAAGCCAAGCACGGACTTTCCGTGTCTCCTGTGCACATGTTCCTGCCTTTTTCTACGTGAGGCACAATGCATGACCACAGCACACTGCGCCGATCTCTCAGCAACATACATTGCACCATCATGTACTACGCTGGATGCCGCCGTTCATTGCCTCAGCAGTTGCGAGCTGCTGGCGCTGCAGCTCCTGCACGGACTACCGACAGCGGAAACCCTAGACTATTGGAGGAATATAGTATATAGGCCCACCCGCAGGAGTTTGAGGGGCCTCTCTACATGATGGTCCCTTTTGTGGTTCTTTTCGTCCTACGGAGCCTGGCTTTTCTTCCCTGTGTATGTTTACATGCCCCACATTTCATGACATCCTGGCCTGCGGGTGCAGCGTCCTGTCCAGGCCAGCTTGGACGCCCACTGCCTGCACCTCCAAGGTTGAGAAGCACATCTTTGCTACTTACGAAGTCGTTCTTTAGTGCTCGTTTTGCCAAAAAAATACTGTAACAAAAGTTGATGGCCTCCCCAGGCTTACACGCACGAGGCAGGCAAGGCGATTTTCCTTCAATCCGACTGTCCACATCACTGTTACTGTACGGGCGGCGCATTGGCCACCAACCCTGAAGTGATGACCGGCTAATCCGTCTGCGCCACGAGGCAGACTCCTCGCAGTCTCCAGTGATGAGGATGATGCTCTCCAGATCTGAGCAATAGCCTGAAGATGAGGTACCTGTCATTTCTTCTTGGGTACTTGTAGACAGCCGCATTGAAAGCGGGGTAAGGCCCGGATGAGGAATTCATGGCCTTGAGTGTCTTGATCTCGACGGCCGTGACATAAATGACCGGCATGTTCATCTGAAGCTTCTTGGCTTCGCTTTCCTCCAGCTTTCCCTCCAGCCGGTTCCACTTCCCGCCCTCGATGAAGAGACCGTGGATGTTCTGGCCTTCTTCTGGAAGCTCCCGAACACGGTCGGGAGTGTCCAAGGTCAACACCTCCGTGTGTGTCACGACCTCATCCAGCGCCCACTGGTCTCTCTTGTGTTGACGAGTCACCTCCTGACGAATGCCTGTGAGGAACCCCTGTGCGTTCGTGAAGCCAGTGATCCAGTATGATTTCATCTCCTTGCGTCCAAATTCCAACCAGGTGTTCAGTTGATTGTACCTGTCCGTCAGGCCCGCCGCCCACACGCCAAGTGCCGGCTGAAGCCAGGAGATCTCCGCTCCAGAAGCGTCATGTGTCCAGCCGCGGGGCACCCGGCTGTCGAACACGCAGTTCAAATCCTCCAGCAGATCCACAGTCATCACAACAGTACCATCGATTGCCATGACGAGGTTGTCCAAGTTTGTGCGAACGATGCTGATGATGTTTTGCAGCCGCTGTAGCTCTTGAAACAAGAAGATGTTCAAAGGCGCCCCGAAGCCTCTTTCATCCATTCGGGGAGGACCTTTCATTTTCTGGATTTGAGCGCGGAAAACCTCTTCTACCAAATCTGCCGGCAGCTTGCCAAGCAAGTCCGTTGCACTCTCCTTCGCCTTCTCATCCACAGACTTCCCCACTGTTGCACTACCCTCCTTCGGCTGCGTTTCAACGATTGTGGTCAACATCTCGGCAGCTTCCTTGATGCGGTACGTGATGTCCGCATTTGGGTGTAAACCAAAGATGAGCGGCGAATCCACCGGTGGTATGGTTTCGATGTAGTCCCTGTAGAAGCCGATGTCGAGAGCATCCGGAATCTTGTAGTCGAAATCCGAAGAGTAGTTATTGAAGCAAAAGGAAGCCTTGAACACCTCATCGCAAAACCACTTTGCAGCGTACGTGTTGATGAGGTCCCTGTCCAAATCGTCAGTGATCCGCCCACCATACTGCACTTCAGCAATCATGTACTGGATGGTGTTCCACGTAAGTGGCATTCCTACCAAGATAGTGGATGAGAGATGCTTCTCCAAGAACAGCAAGGAGGCATCCAAATCGGAGTTGTTAAACTCGTAAGGAATGCACCAGCCAATCGCTCCAAATTTGCGCCGCTCTTGGACAATGCTGTGAAGGACGGCCACGGTGTAGAGCAGCGTTCGCCACTTCTCATGGTCTACCTTGTCCAGGGTCTCTTGTGTGACCATGGTGGTGTACGTTCTGTGCAACGAAGCCTTCAATCCAGCTGGTGGCTCGAGGGTGACTTTGATGCACATCTGCAGCAAGCCGATGGGAAAGCGTGATGTTATCTCACATGTTATCCAAAGCCTGTAGTTGAGGTGGATTTCTGGTGTCTTTGTCAACACCTCCTCCACCTCGTTCATGTAGTCTGTTCCAAGGTGACAGTTCTGCAAAATGACCCAGCCTCCGGTTATGAATGCTGCACCATTCTTTTCTCGAGCAACCTTCTCCTGCCCTTCGCCCATGGAAACCTTGTCCGTGGGGAACTTCTTCTTCCGCTTGGCCAGCTCCTGGTTCATGGTTGGGATAGCATTAAAAATTTAATTTTCTATTCCTTATTGGGTTTAAGTACCCTTAAACATGTAAAATGTTACCCAACTATGACAAAGGCTCATCAATCATATTTGTTGGATCTGTCCCGGCGGACAGCAGATACAGCACAGGCTTGCGAGCACCGCATTCCTCATAGATGTCGCCAATCGTATCGCTGACTGGCGCAGTGAATCTGGGCCCAAGCTGCCTGTCGACAAACTGCGCGCTGGCAATCCCAACTCGGTCCTCTCGTAGAGCCCGGACTAGGGCAAGGCGTATGAAAGGACCTATGGTTCTTTCCATAACAATTCTGTCTTCGTACTCGGGCACCGGACAGTTCTCCGGCTCACTCTCATCAAACCACTTTCGCCAGCCCAGCTCATTCCTCTGCAGCATTTCCGTCAGATCTCGGAAAATTGGAATCTGATCTCGGCCAAACCCGTGGCGGGTAAGCTGAATGGCATTCAGCCATGCCTTCTCACCCAGCCACTTGTTGAATGGATTGCCCCGCTCGTTGTTCTTGTCTAAGGAGCCCCCGGCCTTCAAGAAAACCAGGACATCGTCGCCGGTCAAGTCGCCATTCACAACCATGATCTTCAGCGCCACCATCAACTTGAACATCATCTTGTCACGCTCAAAGAGGCCGCGGTTCATGTAGCGGTAGACGTTGTAGGTCAGAGCGTCAATGATGCGATCCACCCGCTTCGAGGTCGGCTGGACCTTCTCCGAGTTCTTGATGGAGAAGTCAAAGCGCTCCAAGAACCTTAGTTGCTGAGTCCATGAGCCCCAAATAAAGTGTACACTTTCAGTTCTACTAGGGAATATATTAACCAAAAAGTGCAAAGTGTACTCATTCAGCTACCAAGGAACTGATCCAAAGAACAGTTGTACATCCAACCGCTCGGCTGCAAGGTGATGGGGTTGTTGACCAGGATCATTTCCTCAGACGTGCAAAAACGGAGCCCCTTCTAAGGATGTCATAACTTGCTACGGGCTCTCTGCATGATCAACAAAACGCATTTCCCCCCCCAAAAAAGCAGTCGGGTTTCGGTCATGTTGAAGTACATGAGGCTACCTCTGGTAGCAACCGGCCTGAACTGCTCCCGCTTCTCGTCAATCTCAACGGTCCGCTGCTTGGCCTCATCGAGCTTTGCTTCCACCTCCTTTGCTTTGGCCTTGGTGTTTGCAAGGACCTCGATGAGTTGAGTATCGTCCAGCAAGTTCCCTTTTGCATTGGAGAGCCGCTCCAGAAGCTGCTTGCCAAGCGTTTGCAGAGCCTTCGTGCTGTTGGTGGTTTCCTCCTTGAGCGCAGCCAACATCTCTTCCAGGGTGCGCTGCTCCATGTTCAGGACGCGGCCCAGCAGCTGCTGCTCCAACCCCCGCAGCGTGACCGTGAAATCAATGACCGTGGTCTTCGCAGAGATCTCCGGGCTGAAGTGTGGGCTGGGCAGCCGGGAGGTCATGTACAGGCAGAACCTGTCATCGTAGTCCACGTTGGTATCCCCGATTCTGATGATCGACTTCTTGGCCTGGACCTTGTAAACCACGGCTTTTTCGAGGACAGGATCCAGAATTGGGTCCGACTCATTTTCCACGTTCTCAATGATGAGACAGAGCCCGTGGCTGATGGTGCATTCCAGTTGGTCCTTCAGCAGCCTGTTGCCCAAGGTGGTGACGCACATCGTAGGCTCTAGAGAGATGCGCTCATGCTCCCTGTTCTTGATCCATGTCAAAGCTTGCCCTTGTGGGTCGATCATCAAGGGATATCGCGAGGAGCGCGTCACCATGATGGCGTTTTGAATTGACAGCTCATCGCTGGGTAGACCTTCCAGTGACCACTCGCCGATGGTGCCTTCATCCACCAGGAACTCGACAATGTTCATGCGCTCATGAGCTGGCAACTTTTGGCCGCGTATGTCTCCCAGGAAGCTCTCGAAAGTGAGTCGCTCCCGGAACTCAGAATTGAATGGGCCACAGTACGTCACAAAAGCCCCAGCCAAAGCAACATCACCGACCAGAGCCAATCTTTTTGAGGCAAATGTGGTTGCATCCTCCGTCCAGCGATCCTTTTCTCCTGATAAGCCATGAAGTAGCCTGTTCGCCGCTTCCGTGCGCTTCTTTGCCGCATCTTTATTCGCCTCCAGCTCGGCTTTGGCATGGTACGCAGCTTGTAGCTGCCGGTCAAGTGCGGCCACTTCGCTCTGCACTCGGTTGAGCTCTGCTTCTGCTTCTGCCAATTCCTGGCGTGCTTTGTCAAGCTTGGCTTCTTGCACCTTCAGGTAGTCCATCTTGGGCTTCACGATCTTGGAGGCTTCATGGTACATGACCATGGCCCCCACAAACTTGCAAAGACCCTCGGCTGCCGCGTTGGCTTTTCTTGCCAGCTTTTGGTCCAGCACAGCATGCTTCCAAGTCAACCAGTGCTTGTTGGGGTCCGGGTCATAGCGCAAGTAGGGCTCGATCAGCTCGCACGTTTCATCGTTGATCCCATCGCGCTGGTACTCGGCAAAGTACTTCAAGTTCTTCAAGAAGTTGATGTCGGCAAGCATGCTTTTCGCGTACTCATCAAAGGAGTCTTTGATAAAGGTGCCGGTCACCTTGTTGATTGTCTTCTCCTCCGGCTTCACCTCCACAACCTTCAAGCCCAAGAGCAGCAGCACGCCATCGAAGGTGTACTTGACAATGTCAACGGGAGCTTTGTTTCCCTTGAGCTCCACGATGTCCTTGTCTTTAATCGACTGGCATGCCGCATTTGCCTCGTGCAAGTAGGGAAGGGCTTCCTGGAGTTGACGGTTGGCCTCCTCTTTGTCTTCGTTTATCGCGGCCGCGTTGTCTTCACAGTCCTAGTTCATGGTTGGGATAATGTTGAAAATCTAAATTTATGTTCCTTATAGGGTTTAAGTACCCTTAAAAATGTAAAATGTTACCCAACTATGTCTTCACAGTCCTTCTTGATGCTGCCAACT